TACAATTTTCTTAAAAATCGTTATCGTATTAATAAGATGATTTTTTTATATTTTGTTGAGAATAACAGACAGACGTCAATAATAGCTAGAATTTGAAAGTACACCCAGGGGAGGAGAAATATTGGTGTTGTATAAAAATAAACTGTAACATTTTGTCACAAGTTTAAGATTTTTCTTACAAATTAATATTTCAATATTTTTGAAACCACTTTGCTACGAATTAGTAGTATACAAATAAAGTTTAAAAAATTGTTGTAATTGGACAAATAGATTTTTTCTTTTTTCTTCTTTTTTTACGAGAGTTCGCAACAGCAGAGGTCATATAAACCCTCAGTGTGCCGGTGTTTTTGAAATAAATCACATTTGTAAGTATGTCGGGTTCGAATGCAGGGCCGCTGGATTCGAACCCGGGACCTTTACCTTACAATGATGAACGCCGTGTCAACGCCTAAACTGTTGCGGCCACCGACGCCCCGTCAAATACATTTTGTCAATATAGTACCGAAAAATGGTCACTTTTTGACTTCTGTTTGAACAACTAAATGATCTACAAAAATTGCTGAAGTACTAAACAAATTTTTAGACCCTGATGCTTAAATAAAAAGTAAAAACTCGCCTGAAAAAGAAATGCGTTTCGAAATTGAAATCCATCTAATAGAAGTGGAGTTTAAGAAAATTTATTGGAGCTCGATCGCTTTTCCTGAAAAGTCGTACTTTCTCACTTTTCGGTACAATTTTCTCAAAAACTCATCATCATTTTAATAAGATGTGATATATGTATTTTTTTAATTAATTAATTTATTTTTATTTTGTTGAGGAGGAATAGATAGTAGCAAGACTTTTTTGAAAATACACCCAGGAGAGAAGAAATGTTGATCTTGCATAAAAATAAATTGTAACATTTTGTCCTAACTTTTGATCGTTCCTATAAATTAACGTTATGATATTTTTACAAACCCTTCACTACGAATTAGTAATGTACTAACAAAAATAAAACAAAAAGATATTGGTTGTAATAGCTCGAATAAATTTTGACAAAATGGTACCGAATGATAGCCGCATTTTGGCCTCTATTTGAACAACTAAATGACCGTGAAAAATAGCTGAAATTGGTGAAATTTTTAACTGAAAGTAAACTCTCTCTCCTTAATAAGAGATTCAATTCGTATCCAGTTTGAAATCCATGGAGTAAAAACGGTTTTTAAAAACATTAATGGGAAAAAAATCAACTGTTCGTCAAACAATCCAACGCTACCCCCTTAAACCATACCCTGCATACAAACTGTATAGTTTTATTAACAAATTCTAATACACACTATCTAAAATAGTATTTTAAAATGTCTAATCTACCATCAAACTGAGAAAATAGAGAACGCCGAGTGGGAGGATGTAGTCCTCAGATCGCTGGTTAAACTGGATCGCCTCTATCTCTGCAGGAATATTTGTCGATTTTTATCTAGAGCGACTTCATTAAGTAGTCTCATTATGAAAAAGGGAGAGAAGGTAAAAAGAAAAAGAGAGAGAGAAAGAGACAGAGGGTGAGGGTGAGGGAGATAAACTTTTTAGAACTTTGATTTCAAACCAGTTTGTTCATGTTGTATTTCTAAATCTGAATATTACAAGATAAGCCTTTTTGCACCAGAAATAAATTGGAAAACTTTCAAGACTCCTTCCTTAAACCTTTCATCCTTCTTTAGTTACTATTAACAGAAGTTAATCCTTAAAAAATGTTATTTTTCTAACAGATTCCTCCCTTTCTTCCACTGCTACCTAAAAGATCTATTGTGGAATTGATTCTTCTTTATGTCCAAACCTCTAAAATTAGTTTAGCACTTTCCGGCGTTCCTCTTTATTTATTTCTTTTCGCGTTATTATCGTCATTACGAAGAGACTGCATCATTGACGGCAATCACATATGGCTGTCCAGATTTCTACATCTTCATGGCATACTCAAATTTTCATTTCTATCCGAAAAATGTACTATTGGCCAGAAAAGGGTACGGTCAGATTATTAGACATCAAGGCTATAAGAAGGTTGACTGTGTCAAACGAGACGTGCAGGTGCGTATTTGTATTTTAGTCCGGTTGCTTTTAAAACTCTAAATATTGTATCCAGCTGTCGAGTATAAAGTCTTGAGTTAATAGCCCTGACATCTGGAACAAGTTTAAAAATGCATAACACCTCCCTTTCAGTAAGCCGCTTGTTTGAACCTCTTTTGGCCATACGTAACTTACGGTCATGGGATTTTTTTAAGAGCCACTTTTCAGCACTTTTGTATGATTGCTTTTTCAAAATTTGTCATATTGTGGATATAGTAGCATCTGTGCTTGGAATCTGACCAACCTTTTATACATCTTTCCCAATAGCCTCAGAAGAAGGTAAACATTTTTGTGTGGTGATTAGTGACCGTTAATCGATATTTATTTAGAAATCATGAGATGCGGTTTGGTGTGATGTAGGTTTCAGAAAAACATTTTCTTTATCACGAGTGAGTAGAAATACTTTGATTGAATATATAAAAAATATATTTTGCATTGTATAAATTCACTTTTCCAAATCCAAAATGTAATTGTTATATGTAAACAATGTTTGTAAATCCCAGGCTCTGAAGATGATCTCAATAAAGATCGAAACGTTGGCACGATAGAGAAAATGTTTTTCTGAAACCTACATCACACCAGACCGCATCTCACGATTTCTAAATAAATAAAGTAAAAACTTTTCTTTGGGCATTCTTATTTTATTTTATTTTATTTTATTTTGTTTATTATGTGTGATGATTAGTGACAGTTAGTCGATGATTATTCGGAGATCGTGAGATGCGATCTGGTGTGACGTAGGTTTTAGAAAAACATTTTCTTTATCGTGCCAACGTTTCGATCTTTATTGACATCATCTTCAGGGCCTGGGATTTACAAACATTGTTTAAATTTAACAAATACATGTAGGATGTGGAAAGAAAATAAATGAATTTAATCAATGCAAAAAAAAGTTTTTTATATTCAATCAAAGTATTTCTACTCACTCAAAGTGTTTGTTTTCTGCATAATTGTGTCATTCTTGTGAGAGTGCACTCTCAACACGACACACAACAATGGCACAATTACGCAGAAAAAAAACACTGAGCCCTGACGATGATCTCAATAAAGATAGAAACGTTGGCACGATAAAGAAAATGTTTTTCTAAAACCTACGTCACACCAGACCGCATCTCACGATCTCCGAATAATCTTTTGTTTATTATATTTTATTTATTTATTTTAAATAAAAGTTTATGAAATGTAATTTTACGTAAGTTTCGATGACTATTGAGTAGTAACTTGAATCTTAATGCATAATTTCTTCTCTTAGCAGAAAGAATCAGACAAGAGAACATAAATAGTCAAGTTTTGATTATCTCATTGTAACATTATGTAAAGGTTGAAACTAAATGAGACAAAAAATAAAGAAAAGGATTTAGACACGCAAGATTCACTAACTTAGAAAGGCATTCAACACATATTTTCGATCATTTATGAGTCTTTTTTCAGCAACATTAAGCTTTCTGCGCTATCAAAAACTTAACACTAGCTGTCCAAATCCATTAAAAAAAATTTATAAGAACAAATCAATTTAACAAAACGGAGTGGGTTTTCTTCATCTTGTTAGTATATTAAACTTCCTCCCGTTAAAATTTAGTTGAGTTTTAAAATATCTGTAATAACCACTCCATAATCTACAAAACTCATCGTCTTGACGTCTTCACAACATAAGCAGTTCTGCCCTGGAGTACTTTGATCTTTCGATTGGCTCTGGCATACTGCTTAACCTCAAATCCTTCTATTCTCATACTATCTCATCCAAAAATCCAATTTTATAATTTCTTCCACATAAGCCGGGTCCAGACGAGTGTAATGTAACACGTAACGTAACGCGTAATGCAAGGCGAATTCTTTGTGTGGACGCTACTACGAGCATTACATGTAACGCACGCCCAACCGTTCGACCGGATCCATCGGGGTGTCGGTTTTTTGTGCGAACACAAAGGCGCTCGCAGTTCTCGTTTGGACGGCGTTCGTGGCAGTTGTGTAGTGTGGACGTTCATGATGTAGAGTGACGAACAGTCGCTTGAACTTATTGGTTTATACCATGTTCGGAGCAACTGAGTGGAACAGCCCCCTCTTCAAGATTCGCGTTACATGATTCGCGTTGAGTTCGTTTGCCGTCCACACTGTTCACTCTAAATTACACGTAATCTTGCATTACACGTTACACCCGTCTGGACCCGCCTTTAGCTACCGAACCTCTGGTGTTCCTCAAGGGAGCCTCCTAAGTCCGTTACTTTTTCTCATAACACGGCAGACTCCCGTCATCTCTAACACACTCACCCTTTCCTTTAGCAATTCCTTCCTGCCCTAGCAGTACGAGCCCTCCAAGACTTCCTTAGATCTTAGAACCGCGTTTACTCTCAAATACAAACTACGTATATCCGAGTCTGATTCTGCGGCAGACGCTCAAATACTTAGGAGTGTACATACGCAAAAGCTTGACATTGAACATACGCAACTTAAAATGATAGAAGTGAACTACAGGTACAAGACACTAAAAACTTACTAGACATATGTTCAAGATTAGTCACAACAACAAAAAATACGTTACACAACTCTTCCAGCAGTCCTATATGACTTAGGACTGGAACTGTGGATGAATAAAAAACTAACCTACAGGATTCCAATCTCTCCAGACAAAACTCCTCGGCACGATCACCGATGATCTTTTCTTTGTTAGTAACAATTCAGACCTACAAATTGCTTATATCACTGACCTAGCAAAATCCCTATACCAATCCAAATTATCTCTTCATTCCAACTCCCTCGTGACCTTTTCCCTCTTACCCTCCGCGCCAATCCCCCTGGGAGGTTGAGGAGTCGCTGGCCTCGCGACCAACACCGCAAATAAAGGGCATGTTACCGAGTGGCTTTTTTCATGCATCTTACTTATTGCATAAATTGATGAAGTTGTAAATTAATAATTTTTAAAAAGTTTTAATACTTAAAAGCATCGAAGAAGATTCGCATTAAAAATAAATAGAACGTGTCGTTAATATCGAAACAAGTCGGAAACATTTACAAACATACAAAGGGATTAGCGATCAGTCTTAAAAGAGTGAATGACAGGAAAAAAATATCCCTGCAGTTGATTTTAATCCCGGCTCAGACATAAATTGCGGTCCGGGAATTACCCGAGTATGAATAACGTGAAAGGGCTAGTTTTAAACTATAAAGGACGACAATCGTCAAATACGGGCAGCAGGTCGTTGTCCATTTCAATATGAAGTCGGTGAGTTTGCTAACGTTGTTGATCAAATTTGTCGTGGGTGAAGACTTTCCACCTTTGGGTAAGTCTGTAACAAGCCCTTAAAATTTTCTGAAATTTTGAATTTTTTAAAAATAAATTTGACTTATCTCAACGCCAGAAAAAATATGATTAATATGGATTTTTATAGAATGGCAATATTTATTTTTAAAGGTTGCTACCCTGAAAAAACAAGAATTTTTCTAGGAATAAGAATTCGTAGAGTAATTTATCAGTTAAGAAAAATGTAGTTAATCTGTCGCTAAACGAGCTAATATAATATTCATCGAAACAAAACAAATTTTTATCATTTGACAATCGGATTTATTTTTCTGAATATGCCATTTTTTTTTTTATTTAGTAGTCAATCTGTGCTTGAAATCTGACCAACCTTGGCCATCCATTCTCAAGTTTCATTATTTTATAGTTTTCCAGGCCAAAGATGTAAAAATAATTATAAGGTGAGTCCATAAGCTCCTTGAAAGTAGTGAAACCTGAGAAAAGATAGCCAAGGTTGGTCAGATTCCAAAATGTCCAAGAAGTTTTTATATTTTTTATTTGATTTAATTATAACCTGAAGTCCTTCTCCGAGTCATTAAATAGCTCAGTAATTTTCCTATTTTATCATTCTTGCATTAATAATACAATCAATTAAATCCCTGATTACTTAGTCAAAGTTTTGTTCCATCTTTGATTATAGTATCACTCAAGTTAGTAAAATTATGTATGAATTCTATTCAAATAAAATATTCTCAGGATGTAAATGATTCAAAAACTTTTTCAGACTAATTAAAAAAAAATATATCAGAATCAAGAACTAAAATATTTTGGAATATCTGCCATTTTTACAGACACTAAGGCTATTTTTATTTTTAGATTTTTTAGCTTGACTCGAATGTTTCAGATTGCATTGACGCATATCGAACGCTTAGATGTGTCTGGCCCCAAAACTGCCTTGAACACCAAATAATAGCCGAGAAGGGCTGCCCATCCGGTCGGATATGCTGCAAGAAGTACAAGTCAAATATTTATCTCCCTTTACGAGAAGTCCCAAAGTTTTTTACACAGAAACCTTTCAACCGACCTTCACCGTATTCGAGAGAAATTGCCGCACAACCCAGCATCCCAACTAAGAAACCCATTACACAAAAACCAATTGCAAAAGATCCAACAAATGATGACATCCTTGTATTTCCTGATGACGATTACTCTGCTTACAATGAAGACATCAAAAAACCAAAAATTGATGAACAAATCGAAAGATATTTTGTGTTCAACACAAATAGGATGATGACAACAAAGGCGATACCATCAAAATCAAAGGAAAAAGACACAAAGAAAATTGAAGTTTCAGATCAAACAACAGTCTACAATGGCAAGAGTTCCTATTGTAAGTATATTCAATAGAGTTTTTTCTTTATTGATAATAACCACTACTTTTTTCATACAGATTGTCAGAAATACACGCAATTGGCTAAGAACTTGACAAAAGAGCTACCTCACTTCCCATGGCCGATTAAAGCTGACGAGAAAGATATTTGTCCACCTCGATTTCAACCACTCGTCGTTGGAGGGAGTAGGGCATATATTAGAAACTATCCTCATATGGTACGACTTAAATTAATAAAATTTTCTTTATAAATATACTACATAAAATATTCAAAAATGGCAAAAAGGAGGCAAAATTCAAAAGGTGCGGTTGAGATGGGAAGTTGGTTTCCGAGTGGATCGAGGTCACGATAGCTCAGGTGGTAGAGCAGCAGGCGGCGTATCTAGCCGAAGGTCGTGGGTTCGAATCCCGCTCATGCCATTGTCTTTTTTATCTCAACTAAAAACCTTAATTAATTGTAATATATTAATTGGTCAAGCGGACCACGAAATTAGTGAATAAACTATTGTGTTAAAGGTTGCCGTTGGATTTGACAAGAATGATTTCATCGACTATTTATGTGGTGGGTCATTAATAAGTGAGGACTTTGTTTTAACAGCTGCACATTGCACAAATACAAGATGGTAAAATTCAACTATTTTTATGAAATGTGTTTTGATTAGTATACAAAATTTATAAACAATTTGCTCCATTTTTAGGGGCCCACCAATTGTCGCTTATTTTGGATCAGCAGAACTTTATTCCGATAATGGTATCGAAGCTCCAATTGCAGATGTAATCCCTCATCCAGATTATAAACCCACATCCTGCTACCATGACATTGCTTTGTTGAAAATCAGTACAAAATTGACGATGACGATCAAATTAATGCCAGCCTGCTTACCCGCCCCCAATTTAAAAAACCAATTTATTGGAAGGCTAGCAATCGCTACAGGCTGGGGGAAAACTGGTTTTGGTGAGTTACTACTTAATATTTTTAATTATCTCTTAGACAACCCTCCATTGATCATCTTATAATATTTGGCCTATTTTAAAGATTAGAAGTAAATAAAACACACATAAAATTTCCCACTTGTGTTTACAATTGGATTTTGTAAATAAATCTTCGAATAGTCAATCTCTTCTTTGTTGGTTTTTCTGTAATGCTTTTTTCTAACGTTCAGGTGGTTTGATTTTTTTTTAGTTGAACAGTATTTTTAAGTTTCAAATTTGTACCAAGATTGTTTCAAGTTTGAATAATGGTTTTAAATTATACAGATTAGGCTAGAATGATAGCATTTGTAAGATGAAAGAACTCAAGGATAAGTGGCCAGGGTGCTTAACGTTCCCAGAGCAACTGCCCGAGGGGTCTTCCACTGCTACCAAAATACTGCCAGTTACTCAAAAAGGCTTGGATCAGATCACCATCGTGTCACTTCTCAGAGGAATGATCGTTTTATTGTTTCGATGTACTTTGTAATTGACATTCTACCACTGTTAAGATCAAGCAATGACTTCAACAAGTCAGAAATGTTAACATGAGTTTATGCACTGTAAGGCGAAGACTTTCAGAAGTTGAATTACATGCGAGAAGGCCTGCCACTGGTCTAGAACAGCAAGAATCACATCAATTGTTCTGAGAAGATTTGACTAAAATCTTGTTTTCGAATAGTCAAGGTTTATAGAACTGATTTGAGGTAGTCCTAAAGCCCTAGAAGAGTTCGAAATGGCAGTTCTTGTTTAATGGGAAAAAATTCATCAGGATTACTAGAAATCTTTTCCCAGGAATGCAAAGGAGTTTAACAGATGTGATTCAGGCCATAGGTGGAAATATTCAGTATTAAATTCTTTTTTTATTTCATTTAAATTTTTTTTTTTAATAATTACAGTGGTTCTCTAGTTCTCACATAACCACTAATTATTTCATCTGTAAGGAATGCCATTGTTACTTGAGCCGTTTCATGAAATTTAGCAATACCTGTTGGTGTTTTGATGACAATACCAGTATGTACAACATGGTGTCTTCCGCTCAGACTGAAAAAAAAAAAAAAAAAAAATTAATAATAATAATGATGATAATCAAATGAAACTTGAGATTAAATTAAGCTGTTTAATTATAATGAACATTCTTCTTAGGCAAGCAAAAATAATTAGTCCTTATGTTTCTCACATTGTAAAATAATCTGTTCTGTCTAAAGGTCGAGAATCGAGTATGGATTTGCTTAAGGTCGCCTTGGAAATTCTTGACAACGATAAATGCAATGAATATTACAAATCCGACGCCAAAACCGAGAGGCTCCAGCATGGCATTACACCCACTATGATGTGTGCTGCCGGGCCAGAATCGAGTTACGGCGATACGTGCCAAGGCGATTCGGGAGGACCACTTCAGTTGTACACAAACAGGGGCGAATGTCTTATGAAAATTATCGGCGTGACTTCCTTCGGCAAATCTTGCGGAATGGGCACGCCCGGGGTCTACACTAAAGTGAGCAGCTACGTTCATTGGATCGAAAATATCGTTTGGCTGTGATTTCTCTAAAAATATATAAGTTGTATATAATTTTAATATGTATGTTTGTACTGTGTTTTCAAATATTGTAGATGTTTTATGTATTTTATACCGATTTGTAAATACATTTTAAAAAATTTCACCTTAACCATCTTTTCTACTTGTAAACTATATTTATAACTTAATATTTGACAAATATATGTAATGTATGTTATAGATTAAATAAGAAAAAATTATAACTACATTTTATTTTAAAAAAAGACTTACCTACATAATATTACTTTGTGAGATTTATATTTGTGTTCTGCTGGGTGATGAACCTGTAATTTTGATAATTCATTAGTGCTGCTTAGTTGTGTTAATTTCTACATCCCTCCAAAGAAAAAATTTTCTTAGAAGTACCATTCAAGATCCAATAATTCCAAGAGATTGTAGATCTAACTTGACTTTCAAAGTACTCCTTTCAATCCACTGTTACTGGTTTTACTCCTTATAAATAGGAAAATTGTAAGAAAAATTCAATATGCTATTCTCTTGCAGTGGAACTATAAAACAATTATGTCTCAGCATTTAGATGCGGTTGAGATGGGAAGTTGGTGTCCGAGTGGATCGAGGTCACGATAGCTCAAGTGGTAGAACAGCGGCGTATCAAGCTGGAGATCGTGGGTTCAAATCCCGCTCGTGCCATTGACTTTTTTATCTCAACTAAAAACCTTAATTAATTATAATATATTAATTGGTCAAGCGGACCACGAAATTAGTAAAAATTAAGAGGAATAATGGTGTAGGAAAGAAACTTTTTTTTATAGACTGTATTTTTTAATAAAATATAACATTCAATTTACAGTGTCTGTATTTTATAGAATTGTTTATTTCCAGTTTTGTACTATCTTAACCCATGTATATCACATTTTAAATAACTAAAACCTATTTTCAGATCATTGAAATCAATTACTTCATTGAAGTGATGAACTTGATTGGTGATCTCGATAAAAAAACCGAAGCTCGGGATGCTCCTGCTTGATTTCTGATGCTTTACACCAATATTATGAAAAGTTAATTTTCACTTTCTTGTCTCTGATACCTACTCCTTACAGTCCTGGTCGACAACCGGATATTCTTGATAACATTGCAGTCCTGAAAAATAAAATAAAAATCATTCATGCACTAGCAGAATTAAACACTGATCATGCTCATCTGCTCAAAGCAGAAAACAAGGGATCCCCTTTTTAACACAACCAGTAAACTGAATCTTGTACCATAATTTTATCAATGGAAACTTTAAAATTGCAGCAAAACCTTTTAAGGAAAAAATAACTAGATGAAGAAATCAAAGACCTGAAAAACATCATCAAAAGGCTTAATCAACAACACAATTCAAAAAGATTCAACACCTGGGACACCACCATGACCAAGAAAGCCCTAACTTCTTCTAATCTTCGAATAAACTTTCTCCAAATAAGTGTTTCTATAGCATTACACTGACAAGCCTAGTGCAAGCTCTAACATCATTTTTCTCAATGCCTAGAAGGCCGATATTCATGGTTGATAATTTGTTTTAAACAAATTTTCAAGTGCATTTTGTAACTGTATGAAACATTAAAATCAGAATATTATTTCCATTTAAAAAAGGAGGTTAGTATCTGATAAAAATATTTGCTTATTTTATATATTTTCTTATATTTTTAATATTTTAAGGATAGATACATCGTTAAAAAACTATGTTTATCTTCTTTTAAATGGTATGTTTGATGTTAAAATCCTTTGCCATTCCTGAATTACAACTGTTTCAATCAGATATTCTGAGGACTTCTTAAAAATCAAACAAATTTTAGGGGTTAAAAAATTGATAAATTTAAATTCAAACAAAAGTTTACATTTAGGGGTCTCTAAAGGTGCTATAATGAAATTTCATATTAGTTTCCTGAAAAAAAATTATAACCTAGTTTATTTGAAAAATATTTGATTTTTAGAAATTTTTTGGTTATTGATAAACTCTGATACCTTTTACTATATTTTTTATTGCAATCTATAAACAAAATCTGTAAAATGATTATTCACATAGTTGATTTGAGTAAGTAGAACGGCAAAATAAAAATATTAAAAAACAGAAAATTTCAATTTTTTTTTGACGAAACTAGATTCATCTAGACCTATTCACAAGAAGTGGTGGATATGTTTGCAATATTTCGAAGCGTAGAAGCACCAAAAAAAAGTTTGGTCCAAATCCATGACACACCAACCTGTTCATCCCCTTGTTAGATAACCATTCTGTATTTCTGTGTAGACAATGGAAAATTAAATTACCTTGTCTTTAGATTAGCGATTATATTAAAGCAAAAGCATTTAAGACTAAAACTTAAATAAAAATGAAAATCCAAATAATCAATTCCTTTATTGACCGATAGATTCGTTGTACGCTTTCCTAAGTACAGTTCAATTTCTTTTTCTTCCACAATATTATAGGTCCCCTTATTTTGTTTTTTTCACTTTCTAATTTAAGGGTTTTCACGCCTGAAAGTGTTCTAAGAGTTTGAAACGGTCATGTTATCATGAATTTGCCACAGCTCTGATTGTTTATCATACACTGTTTTGAAATTTTTAACTCTTGTAGAAACTTTAGCTTGAAACTTTTGTGCAACCTCTTCTGCAGTCGCAGAGCCTGGAATTGTACATAAACCAATGAATACAAGCTGTCTATGAAGCTGTTTGGCTAAAAACTTCACTACAAGCTTGATACAACTAATATAATAGTTACCCAGACTCATTTCGAGTTCCATCTTCTTCTTACGGTCATCAAAAATCCAAAGAAGATGTTTACAGAAGCTATGAAGAGGTAGACCAAGAACTGTGTAATAATCCCCATTAATCTTCTCAATTAAAGAACCTCCGATTCCTTGAATTCCATAGCCGCCAGCTTTATCCCTATAATTATGTTTATAATTTCTTAAACTTGTTTTTATTTTTGAAAAAGACATTTTTTTAAAATAATTACAGTGGTTCTCTAGTTCTCACGTAACCACTAATTATTTCATCTGTAAGGAATGCCATTGTTACTTGAGCCGTTTCGTGAAATTTAACAGTAGCTGTTGGTGTTTTGATGACAACACCAGTATGTACAACATGCTGTCTTCCACTCAGACTGGAAAAAAAATAATCAAATGAAAATTGAGTTAATGAAATTTAAAAATGAACGTACTCTTCCAAATATTGCTGAGCAGTTTTTGAATCTTTAGGCTTCCCATAAACTTTCCCATCCAAGGTGACCACTGTATCAGCACCGATTATTATATCGGGTTGGTTTAAATCTTCTTTCATTCTATCTGCGACGTCAAGCACTTTGCGATATGCAGTTTCTACTGCGTACTCTGCTAAATTTGGGTAATTTTTCGGATCTAGATTTTCAGGGAATAACGATGGCATTATTTCAAACCTAAGACCCTAGAAAATAAATAAAGTCTTATTAATATTGAACATTGTCAAGTAGAAAGTAAAAAAAGGGGCTTTAAATATTTTTAATACAAATCAATTGCAAATAAGGGGTTATTTAAACAATTTTTAATACTCCCTTTAGGCACAAATGACACTGACAATTGTCACTATCCAAAATGTCAGAAAAATACTTTAAAGAAGGTTGATGAAATTATTTAAATGTGAATTATTTGATTGACAAAAATCAATATGGATTCCAACCAGTTAAATCTGTGGATCAAGTTTTGTTTTGACTGGAAATGGAAAATTTCAATAGAGGGAAACATGTAGTTGGCCAGTGCATGAGTCCCTGAGGGAACAGTCTTGGTCCAATATTGTTTTCAATATATCTAAATGACTTTCTTAAAATAGACATCAAAGTTCAGCCTTGTGAAATTGAAATTCAGCCTTTTCCATTCCTAGGAAAAAATTTCTGATAAAATCCTGAGGAATTCTTTCCCATTCATCAAGAACAGCCGTTTCCAACACTTCTAGGCTGTTAGGACCTGGGTTTCGCTGTCGTACTCATTGCTTCAGTTGGTACCAAATGTGTTCAATTGTGTTCAAACCTGGACTTTGAGCTGGCCATATCGAACACTCAATTCCAACCTCATTCAGGTAATCATCCACTATACGTGCTCTATTTGGACATAATATTATCCCCTTTAGCAAGAATCTCTCATCGATGTAGGGGCATATGACAAGTTCTTTGAACTTGTAAGAACCTCTCTGAAGTTAGAGATCTCCCTCGTACAACTAATTCAGTGCGAGCATCCAAGGAAAGTCACTCCAGAACATCAATGACCCACCGTGAAATGCCACCTGAGGAACCATACACCATTGGGCGAACTTTTCTCCTGAGCATCTCCGTATGAAATTATGCTCATCTGAAAATTTGAGGCCAACTCCCACCTCATCTATAAAGAATTTCTTCAATCTTCCAACCTCCAATTAAAGCCTGGATATTTTCTCAACTGTGGTAGATTACATTAGATAGGAGCCAGCCTCTTTACGATCTGTACACCATCACCAGGATTGGTCTTTTGTCCTTCAGGCCCTGGCTTTTCCTCTCTTAGTATTTGGTATCTCTGCCTACATAGGCCTTCGCACCAACAGATGATGTGTTCCGCTGTTTCTTCTTGGCAAGATCTGCACAAGCTTGTTTCTGCCACTCCGAGGCTATACATATGCCCCCGGATCTACAGTGCCCAACTAGCAGTCCAACTTTTATTCTAGTCCTAGCACGTCCTAAATTTAGCAGTTCTGCCATTAATTTCGGCAATGGTGGTTTGATAAAAATTTTCGCATATCTCTGTCCCAAGCTACATTCCTATTGGGCAAAGGACTTTTTATTAATCCACTGTCTAATGGATCCAGATTTTTGGCAGTTTGGTACGCCAGAAAAGGGTTCAGGACCAATAGGTGTCCTCATTGAACTTTCCTTGGCCAATCGGCAACGAACTGTGGTAAGAAGAGCCACAAAACGGGTGCCTAGAGTGAAGTTATTTTCATTGAGCCTTCTTCTTACAGTCCTGGAGGAAATCGAACCACTTGTCTTATCAGATTTATTATTTCATATCCTGTAATGATTATTTGGAGATCGTGAGATGCGGTCTGGTGTGAAGTAGGTTTAGAAAAACATTTTCTATATCGTGCCAATGTTTCAATCTTTATTGAGATCTTCAGGGCTCAAAGTGTTTGTTTTCTGTGTAGATGAGTCATTATTGTGTGTCGTGTTGAGAGTGCCCATGACACACAATAATGAATAATGATAAAGAAAATGTTTTTATAAACCTAAGTACCAGACCGCATCTCACGATCTCCAAATAATCATTAAATAACGGTCACTAAACACCACACATTTCCGTAATGTTGATTTTTCATACATCCTGATGACGGATGAATCTATTGTCTCTCTCATCCATAGACCTAGGTCGTTCCTGTCCTAACCTTAGCCCTGTTTTTCTGAATGCTGAAGAACCCTTCCTATTATAGAGTGATTTACACTCTCTCGACTTCACACTGGCAGTATCTTTCCTCTAATAATGTTATGACCCTGACGCTTTCATACCCAAATGTCCGACTGGAGCCAATGAAAAAGGTTTAAGATTACGAATAATATCAAATGAAATCAATGAAGAAAAAAGATTAACTGAAAGCAATCTTTAGGCATAACAGAATGGAAGGGCATGCTACTTTTTGTGCAAATGGGATTAATCAGTGCAAAAGTAAACAAAGTATAATTTACTGTTTATCCTGTCTGCGAAGAAAGTAAGTATGCAGAAAGATTATTTAATTTTCATCTAAATAAATTGAGAAGTGTGTTAAATTTGTCCATCAGTGTATTAAATTTATATTGAAAAATGTGTAAACAGTATTAGCTCTATTAAGGCGAGAATTCTTACAAGCCTACACGACTTCAAGACAATAACTAGTGTAACAAGTTCGATATTATTTGGAAAAAAAAAAACTTACTACACTTCTAAGGATTTCACTCCTCCGAGCCGAAACGCTGGCCAGGACTATCCTCTTGAATTCAAGCGAATGCTTTATTGGCTCCAACATTTTTTTACAAGGGCGAAATTTAAGGTTTAATTTTTTCAAATGAACACTGACGAAATTTTCCAGGGAATTTCAAAATTATCCAAGTAGTCGGCTCTAATGTCAAACATCTGATAAGGATAACTGATGTCAGATTCGTTGGCCATGTGGCTTTGCCGGGATTTTTTTCTTTTTCTCCAAGGTTTCTCTCTTTCCAAAATAAATCTGTTTGAATTTTTATCTAATGTTTTATTCAACAGTTTAATATTTTTATAAAGAATACTTCAGTTGAAATTCCATTCCGTTTTATTTTTTCCCCCGCCGCTTTGTCTGGTTTCCCACATTGCGCGGGCAAGCGAGCATTTCGTCCATCCTTAGCAAGTCCGTATAATCAAGTTCGGTTGTTCCAAAGGATCTTTTTAAACGTTTAAATTTATCATTTGGCCCTTTTCGACATATTTTAAGGAAGTTTATTGATTAGGACAAAATGTGGAACGATGACAACGGTGAGGCATCAACAGGTTTCTATATTATATCTGTAACAAAGCACTTCTAACCTCAGACTTTAAGAATACAACTTAAATAAATACAATATATTGAATTTATTGTGTTCACTTGAATTTGAAATAAACTCTCTATAAATAAATAAAGTCTCCGAAAAACTTCTACTAAGTTGATTGACAACACAATGTCTTGCAATTACAACTTTAATCGACAATAAACACCATATAAGTTCAAGCAAAAAAACACATTTTTCATACGTTTATTTACTGACGCTTATGCTAGGTTTATCTCAGTAATCTGTAGGTCCATCCCTAATTAAATGGTTTTTCATTGGTAGAACTAGTGTTTGTTGTTTTGTCACGCCCAGGGATGTTTTACTCCACTCCTGTAAAATCTCTTCTTTTAAGTGGTTTTTGTTTGTTAAGCTGCCTTCCGAATGGTATCCAAAAGTGCTCAATCAGGCAATACGGGTGGTATCTGGAGGTGGTCTTTAGGTGCGTTTCCCAAACTTTTTAACCAGCGGACCCCTTTCACAGAACAAATTCCAGGGCGGACTGCTCTTATTCGAGTATTTAAAATTAGATACTTATAGTATGTAGAAAATAAAAGTTGTATAAATTCGCCAGTTCGTTCCTAATTAGGGGGAAAGGGATATCACTATGAAAACAAACATTATGTTGACATTTTTGTGTGTATTATGCTGCGCCCTTTAAGAGCTATTTTATCCCCCGTTATGATCTCAGTGCATACCGGTACATTCAATACTTAAAGGATCAAAGGATCTTGATTATTAAGCCTGGTTTCAGTGGTTGGATCACTTCTAAAGTTACATTGTACACAGGTGTTCGGTTCCAGAAAACTGCCATGAATGTTAAATCCACGCGTGTTGAGTCTATTTTCCTATGCTGTAAGGAGGATTAAGTTCCATGACACCAAAGACAGATACAGTTCAGAACTAAAAAAAAGCTTATTCAAAATAAACGCAATAGAAGATATAACAGTGTTTGAACATATTGTTTTCATTGTTTGTATTTTTTGATATGTAAGGGAAGAAATAACTATTAATTGTTTGCCGTTTCGTTGAATAATTAATTTCTTTTAGAATTTCAACATAAGAATTTAAAGCGAGAGACAGCTTTTCGTAAGTGATTCTCGCGTTTTGTTGCACAAATGATTTTTTCACGCAATGTAAACCAGCTTAAAAACTGTTCAGATGTATGTCTTGGAATTCCCATTCTAGTAGGCTCACTTTCGGTCTCTGGAGATGGGGATGTGTGCTACCAATTCTCTCCTCCTGGTGTTTTACTTAAGCCTTTTTCAGATGGGGCAGCTAGTTGGATAGGTAGGTGACAAGGAACGTATAACCTGATAGCAAATAATTCAGAATTTCCTGAACTCAAGCTGTCCATTCGTCATCCCCACTGACTCAACACAAAAGACAACTCTGCATTCATTTTTCACTCCAGTTGCCCAGTTGTGTTAACACAATTCACCATAGAATTTTTATGAGCTTGCATATTAGCAGGTGTACAGTTCTGTTGATTATTTCATCATAGGTAGGTGGGGGGAAGAGTTGCATGAAAAAAAGGACCAGAGGTGTTGGTGGGAATTGAACCCACGAGCCGATAGTCTAACACGCTGACCTCTCGGGTACCACAGTCCTCTAGAAAGTGCAATTACAACTTTGCAGTTCGGTTGCAAAGCAACACTTTTCTTCGTCTGGGTTTTTGGCTTTTCTTCTTGCAGAAAAAAAAAGAAAGAAGGAAGTGTTCCAGGCTTCCTCGGGTTCAAACATCATACTGGCTCCCATAGTCATTGGGAAGAGAAGTTGATTCCACAAATTGCCTGGTGTGAAACCCGCCTAGAAAAATTCACATGGCAGGCAATTTAGTTGAATCCTTCAAACTCTCTTCGTCTGAAAGAGGCCTTATTGCGTTAACCAAATCTTAAAAATGATTATATAATTAAAACCAGTCCAGTATGCCTGACAAAGTTGTATCATCAACTAATCAGATGTAAAGTTTGTCAGTTTTTCTGCTTTTGTATTTATGAGGGTTGTTTTATCGACTTTTTATCTGAATATATTTATCATCTTGATTCACTTCTCACCATTTATTTTGTTTTTATTAAATGTTTTATTTTTATTTGTTTTTAAAGATTCAATTGGAGGGCCATTTTACTTTGTGAAGCTTTCATTTCTTTTACAGTCGCTGATAATGTTTATATTTATTTTATTAACATTATCAGAGCCTGAAAAATATACAAAACCTTGGAAAACTATAATTGTGCTTTAATTATTGGTAATAAATAAATCTAATGACAGCTTTTACTATATATAAAATCTACTGTGTGATAAGGCAAATTTTGTATCTACTCAAAAAATTGGTCATTCCTAGCATTTTGGTTTACCTATCCTCGTTGGTTTCTTCTGTCAGGCGTGCCATAACATAATATTGTAGTTGGTCAATGTTTTAGCCTTGATGATAAATTGCAAATATTTTATCTTTTAGATTTCAATACCAATGGAGGAGGGGGATTCGATAATACGACGAACATGTTTCAAAGCCCAGCTTCTCAACAAGCAAAGGTAAAACAAAGATCTAATTCATCTACACCTATCTTTAAATCTGTAGAAAAATCTTTCTGATTTAATTCGATGTTTCCACAGAGTTCGAACAAACCTCGTGCAATAGCGCCAGTTACTATCAAACAGGTTTTAGACTCACAAGGAGAAGGCTTAACGATAAAAGAAATTGATGTCCAAATGGTAATTATTATTGTGATATATTGCACACCCACAAGAAAAGTGACACAAGCCGAAAAATTCTAAAAACCGGATTATTTAGTTTTCTGAAGTATTCGGGTATGTAATGATACAGGAAAAATGTCACAACTGTAGGTGGACTCTTGGCTTCTATGCAGCACCATGTGTCACTTTTGAATTGGTGGGAACGCACTGTCTCCATTCACGAAACATGGGATATTTTAGTTCTTTTTACAAGCTTTAAAGCATCAATGTGAGTATTTATCAGGAAAAGCGGCACTTTTCGAGTTTGGTCAGTTTCTTCTTGTTTAGTGAAGGATTTTACGCTATTCTGAGACACATTTTAGTTTGTCACAGTAATTTATAACTTACTAATAACCGACACATCTTTTTAATAGTTCATGATATAGAATTTATTAGCAAATTATATATAATTTATACATATGTATTTTAAATATTAGTAAAAATTACTTTTACTTTACTTTTACATTCTAATTTTTTTGAAAACCAACAAGAAGGCAACTGCCATCAATAATGGTAATGAAGTCTGTCAGTTTTCAAATTCAACCTCTTTGGCAACTACTTTAGGGCTAGTTGGATATTGGACCTTTTTGTTCCACTTTAATAACAGGTAATGAGAAGAAAATTATGACCTATAATGATGATAATTCTGGCTCTTCAGATTTCACTAACAAATCTGGGAAGCATGAAGCTCATCTTCAAAGTTGCAGGTCGAAAATGTTACAGAAAATCAAAATATTGTAAATACTGAATTACCACAATTATATTTTATGCGAAAAAAGGAGATTGGAATGTCCTTAATTAAATATAACAGCATTCCTGGTTTTTATGCTGCGTTTTTCTTTTTATCGCCAGAGCCAAGTAGTACTAATTTTAGTATTATTTTAGTTTTCAATTTTAGAAATATTGACCAGTTCTTCACTCACGAACACTCTGGACCAAGGTCTTGAAGAAAAAAGCAAATTTAATTGTTACTGCCAAGCTTTCGACTTATTTGAAGGTCATCTTCAGTGCCTATATTAATTTCATGTTGTGAAAAACAATTGTACAAATATGTTTTTCATAATGTGCAATTATTATAGACCTTGATGATGCCCTTAAAATAGATCAAAAGTTTGGCAGGAACAACTGAATTTGCTTTTTCTTCAAGGCATTTTTTTTTTCTTTTTTAAACAATGTCTTTTAACTTATATATAATTTTATAGTTTCAATGATGTTTTAATGTAAAACCTTTAGTTCAATAATTGATTTATTGTAAATAATTAGTGAAAAACATTTAAAACCAAGTTTTTTGTAGTTTTAAAGTTTTTTGATTAATTTCCTGTAATAAGTCTGTCACTATTCTCTTTAATCTATTGACCCTGGCCAGGTCACTTTATTGTTTAACTTATGTAAATTAAATTAACTTTATCGTCCAATGTATGTATATCTCATTAATTTAATTTAGTTTAATTTAATCTATCTTTCTTCATATCGCGTCTTGCTTCAACGTGGACGGGAGTCAACGTAGAGGAATAGGTTTCAGCGAACTACCAAGGTACGGAGCGTTGCTGCCAATTAAGGATAGCCCCTTCTTCCAGCAGTCAGGGGTAGCTTTTTAGGGATTTAAAATTTTTGCTTAAGTCTTGGACAAACAAAAGACAATATTGATGGATCATGGCAGTTTTTATCACCAACAATCGTAAAGGCGTGTACTTAATACATAAGTCAAAAATAGTAAACTTCCAACTGTCTCTACTGTAAAATTTTCTTTTGTTGAGTTGTGTCACTTTTCTTAAGGGTGGGGGCGATGTAATTAATTCCTTTGTATTATATATAAATTTTCTCCTCTGATTAAGGCTTGTCTTATCATAATATTCTTATTGTCTTATTATGTAATAAAATACTTTCTCTTCTCCTTCTGTACATTTTGTAGGTGAGAATAGTCGGCATAGTTAAAGGGATCGATGTGTCTTCTATCAAAGTAAGCTACACAGTCGAAGATGCGACTGGGTCAATTGTAGGAATATCATATCTCGAAAATGACTCTGTGAGTAAATTAGTTAATCTTGAGTATTTATTTAATTATTGATGTGTTTTTTTTTCTTCTTCTTTTAGGAAGAAAACTCTTATCCAGTGCCTGTTGTCGAAAACACTTACTGTGTATTGACCGGCATTATAAGGACACAGTCTGAAGTCAAGCATATCATGGTTTTCAACATATATCCAGTGACAAATTTCAATGAAATCCTTGAACATTACCTGGCAGTTATTCATATGTCACTTAAAGCCGAGCAGATCCCAGCGAACATTGTAAGTTCGTTTTGTTTGGTTCTTCAGTATTTTCATGCATACTTCGTTATAGTACAGAGGTACTTTGAGATACGAGTTTAATTTGTTCCATGGTCGGACTTGTAAGTCAAAAGTCAGTATATTTGTATTTCAAATCAATTTTCACCATTGAAATTAATTGAAATGAGATTAATTTATTCATCCTCCAAAAAAAAGTTTTATGATAGTATATGAACAATTATTGTATATAAACAAAATAAACCAAACCAGTAATCTCTTAACGCGGAAAGTTTTTACATTTGCGGGTCTCTTCTTTATTCATGGAAAAAAACAGTTCCATGCATAAATGATTTTATTTTCGTATCGAAAATGATGGTGTTTTTTTTTTCTTTATTTTTTTTTAAACGAGGGTTCGCAACAGCAGAGGTTATATATACCCGGGACCTTTACCTTACAGTGATGAGGGCTGTGTCAACGCCTAAACCATTGTGGCCACCGACGACCTGAAAAAAAAAAAAATGATGCTTTAAAAAATGGATTGGAGGCTCAAATTGATTCTCAGAAATTTTTGCCTGCTTTCTTCATATGTACTGTTCCTTCATTCTTCTCAGTTTGTTTTATTCTTCTGTTTAAGTTGTGTCACAAAATGTCTCCTCCTCCAAAATGGACAAAAACCAACCTGAACCTTGGTGAAAGAATAAAATTTTTTGACGTGTTGCATTTGCTCTGCAGGCCAAAGCTTTTCTTCAAAACCGCTCAGGGAAATTTTAACCTTGAGGGACCAACATATTAAACAAGCAATTGATTTCGACCATCTTTAAATCGAAGTTTTAATTTTAAAAAGGTTTTCGTGGCCGATTCAAATCCTTGTGTGGAAATATTTAAAAAATTAATTATTCGGTGAAACAGCGAACTATTAATAGTTATTGCTTTCCTTGCATATCAAAAAGTACAAACAATGAAAACAATTAACATGTTCAAACATGTCTTCTATTATGTTTATTTTGAATAAACTGTTTTTTGTTTTGGTTTTTTAGTTCTAAATTGTATCTCAATTTTTGGTGTCATGGAATGTAACTCTCCTTATAGCATAGGAAAATAGACTCAACATTTGTGGATTTAACATTCACGGCAGTTTTCTGGAACCAACACTTGCGAATATTAAGGGTTACTGTACATACAAACTTCACTTGTAAAGGAGAATTTAATGAAATAAATAGCTTTGCCATAGCTGATTTGCTTGTAAATAGTACAAATTAAATTGCTTCGAATAAACACTGGAAATTAGCGTGACCTAACTGTTCTGACATCACCATAGCAGGCTTGTATCTCAAATAACAACACAAAATTGTGACTTATTGATGGCTCATATCTCAAAAAAACTCTTATATTGGAGCACTTCTATCTCAAGGTATCACTGTATTGAGTTGGTACAAAATTAATGCAGGTTTTGAAAATTTTTATTTTCACAGGTACTTGTCATATAAACAAAGCTAAATCCATACATCAAATTTATGGATTACAATAAATACTTTTAACGTTATGTTTTATTCAAAATATTTTGGTTTAAATTGAATTTTATAAGAGTGAGGACCTGCAAAATTAAATATGTCCTAACTATATTTTCGTAAAATTTATTTGTAAGAATTTAAACGGCTGAAATGCGGCCCAAATCGCACGTAACATCAATACAGTTTGTGGGGAGGGAAGAATTTCTAGCATTGCATAAATTCTTTCTTTCTTTTATTTTTCACATCCTACCTGTATTTGTAAAATTTAAGCAATCCCAGGCCCTGAAGATGATCTCAATAAATATTGAAACATTGGCACAATAAAGAAAATGTTTTTCCAAAACCTACGTCACACCAGATCGCATCTGATGATTTCCAAATAATCTGTAAAATTTTATTTCATCTTCTTCCAACTTCTCAAAAAGAAAATGAAAGGCTTAACGTTTTACGTTTTTCTATTTCTTTTTGTTTTTTTCTTGTATAAATAGTATGCCAATAGATTTTTCCCTTTTATTCTTCAACATTATACACACGTATAATCTCCTTGGCTACTAATTCAAAACTAAGCCAGGGATTGACGATACTCGAAGGTACGGTCTGGCAGAAAACCTTTTTTATTGTAGCTCTGTTGTCCGATAGAAAGAAAAAACTAACAAGCACTCTTACGCCTCCAAACCTTGCCTATTCTGACTTTACCTGTCCCACTCTCTAGACAACCACTTAAAGCATGGGAATTTTTGAGTAAATACACTGAAAATCAGACTTACATATTTCTTCTTGTCTTGGTCATCAGGCTTTTACAAAAGTGGATATTTCTGCCACCAGAACGGCAATATGTTATAGAAAACTAAGGAAATTGTTCTAGATTAAAAATAAAATGCATTTACATTTTGAAAATGGGACTGTTTTTCTAAAAACTGAAAAAACTTATGCACATACCCCTATATTTATATTAAATAAGGTCTCTGTTTTGTATTTCAAGCAATTAAGTTTAATTTCAATTAATTTTATTTCCAGCCTGAAAAGTCCGACCTAAAGCAGGACATGGTGGCATCCTACGGGGACACCAATGGTAGAAATGAATCATCAACATTAGGCAGTATTGATGTCAAATACAGAAAAGTATATGAAGCTATCATGGTAATCATTGAAGTTTTTTTGTTTTTTTTTTTTCACTAGGTATTTATAAGAAAACCGTTTGTTAACATTATAATTTTATTTTTCAGAGAGCCACAAGTGACAGTGGCATTAATATCGATGAAATTAGAACAATCATGACTGTTAAAATGCCAGTTAATCAAATTAGGTAAACCATCTTGTCAATTGATTTGTTCACCATTTTAATTTTTTTTTCTCTCTTTAGAGCCGCTTTGGATTATTTGGTAAATGAAGGACACATTTTCACCACGATCGATGATAACCATTTTAAATCAACTGAAAGCGCATGTTGATGGATATTCAAAAACAAATCTACCCAAAGTTTTGCATATTTTCAGTTATGTGTCCCGCCTCATCACTATGTACATAAATACAGCGGTTATAATCGTTCATAAACTTTTTTTTTAACTATACTGTTTTACTTCCTATTGTATGAACAAATTTAAGCAATATGAAAGGTCTCTTGGCAAATATGGGAATTCATTTGCAAAAAAAATTAAGAAAAAATTGATTTTAGATTATGTTATTCTAAAATAATTTATTAGATACTTATTACAATTATGTACAAATTTAAATACATATAACAAATTTTTAGGCATAACAAAAAAAATTGGTTTCAAAACATTATAAAACGTATTCATCGCTGTTTCATAATTGCTTTTAAACAGTCTAATTTAAGTCCATCTCCTTTATATTTAGCAATTTCTTTAAGTAGCGCCTGCTTTTGTGTAATATTGGAACTTTCCAGTTCGAAGAGAGTACAGACGTTGAGCAGGAGAGCTTCGTGGAGAGCCGCTGTCGGATTAGATTTGATCACCGATACAAGGATCTCGACTGCTTTTTTCAGTTTTCCCATGTACAAGAGGCAGAATGCCATATTGTTTACAACCATTATGTTATAAGGGTCTAGCATTAAAGCTTTTTGAAAACATTCAAAAGCCTGGCTATGATTCATCTCGGCCACGAAGAAAAGCCCTTTGTCAACGAGTTCCCTCAAATCGGCTGTGTCAGCGCTGAGGGTGCCTTGCTGTTGTCGCTTTAACTGTTTGGCTTCAGCGAAGCATTTTTCAGCGTTTTTCAAATCGCCTAATTGGAGGAATATCCTACCTAGAGCTGAATGCAATGCCCTTTTTTGATTTCTCGAACTGTTTTTTTTAATTACAAGTTGTAAGACCTCGATAGCGAGGATGTAATGTTTTGACATTAAAGCTACATTAATTATTGCGTGTTGTACTCTCGCTTCTCTGGAGCGCCATACTTTTTCGGCTATTTCCCTTTCTTTTTGACTCAGTTCGATCAGACTGCCCTCTTCGGTCTTGCCCGCTTCCAGATTGCTTAACATTTGTTTCACAGCGGCCAAAACAAAATAAAGTCTGTCTAACGCCATGGAGTATTGTGACACATAAGCCGGAATCGTGGCGATTAGTAACCTCATCTGAAAAGGCACCATAGTCCCTAATTTGCCACCATACAGCTCAGGGTAAAATTGGTAGTAGAGATCTGGTCTATCCAAGTTCCACCACACATTTGACTCATCAAAAGCAATTTTAAAATAATGCAGTTTTACCAAAAGGCAGAATCGAGTGAACCAGAGCTGAATAGAATAAGGAGTGTGTTTTGTTGGCTGGTTCTGCCTATTCAAACCTTGACCGCGTGACGAAAGCAATTTGCTGGTTAAGTTGACAGCAGCTCTAAAGCAATGATTTTGTATCAATTCCCTTAGACCTTTCTCATCCTGCGGCACATCGTTGACGGTCTGTATGTTCCTTTTGCTCGCTTCTTCGTCACCGAATACTTGTCGGATAAGCTGAGTCAATTCACACACGAGCTCTTCTCTTAAGAGGACACTGGGCATCGTCAGCAGCTGCTTGTCAGGGTGATACGAACCCGGTGAGGACGTCGCAGCTACGATAAGTGCTTTTCTTGTAACTTCCGAAGGGATCCAAGCCTCTTTCGTCCTGTATGTCTCCGGGCCGGTCAAAACGTCGAAAGATTCTTCGAACCCTTGCAGTGGAGATGGGTAAGGACCTTCGTTGTTCGTGTCGAAATTTATCAAAGAAGAACCGATGAGGGACGGATCCCCGTCTGGAGAATCTATATGACTAGGGCTTAATATGTCAAAGAAATTCTTATCACTGCTATCGACGGTGGGCGTTTCCGAGAATATTTTACATACTGACGGCTCAGGTTCTTTTTCTGACAATTCTAATTTACCGATTTTGTCGGAGAGAGGGTCAGGTCTCCTGCTGTTGCTGAATAACTCTTGCTGCGGGCTGGATTGCACGTTTGTCATCATATCTAGATTTCCAGTCGAAGAAAGCTGGTCGAAAAAAGTTTCCCCCTCGGGTGCATCGCCAAAGTATTTTCCCAGATCTTGCGAAGTTTCTTGTTCCATAATATGGTAATTCCCCTTTTCTCGCTAGGGATAAACGGCGAAATCAAACGGACCCGTTATCATAAATTCATAATTGCAACCTCTTCCTCTACAACATTCTTGGCAAACTTAGTCTCACAAATATCCACGTGGATGTGTTGGAAACCGAAGATTTTTCAAAGACCTGATCTTTTTCCAAAATAATATTTCTTTCCAATTCTAACTAAAGTATATTAATTTAAAAAAATAATAATAAATGGAATATATACTAAATCAAAGTAAATTTCAAAACACTATCAATTACTTTTATTCAGAATTCATGTGTAGTACTTTGCAGTAAACCTCAGCAAAAGTATCTAAAAAATGTGTGGTGATTAGTAACCGTTAGTAGAGGATTATTCAGAAACTGTGAGATGCGGTCTGGTGTGATGTAGGTTTCAGAAAAATATTTTCTTTATCGTGCCAACGTTTCGATCTTTATTGAGATCATCTTCAGGGCCTTGGATTTACAAGCATTGTTTAAATTTAGCAAATACATGTAGGTTGTGGAAAAAAGTGAATTTATACAATGCAAAAAATATATTTTTTTTATATTCAACCAAAGTATTTCTATTCACTCAAAGGGTTAGTTTTCTGCGTGTGCTATTCTTGCGTGAGTAGAAATACTTTGGTTGAATATAAAAAAATACATATTTTTGCATTGTATAAATTCACTTTTGACACATCCTACATGTATTTTTTAAATTTAAACAATGTTTGTAAATCCCAGGCCCTGAAGATGATCTCAATAAAGACCGAAACGATGGCACGATAAAGAAAATGTTTTTCTGAAACCTTCATCACACCAGACCGCATCTCACGATTTCTGAATAATTATCTAAAAAATCTTCAAATTCATTCAGTAAAAAAGGCAAATTTCAGTATGGTGGTAATAGCCATTTTGTTAAATAGTGAAGTATGAATATAATGAAAGATTTCTTACTGTTTTTCATTTAAAAAAAAAGTGTTTATTTATTATATTAAAATATTGTGGTTCTGAAGAGGAACGAGGGAAATGGCCCGAAATGCCATAACCGTACAGGTCAGTACAACATTGATGCTGAATATAATTTAAAATTTAGGTATGATTGGGAATGTGGCCCATAATAAATTAGCAATTAACATATATTGCATAAAAATAAATGGTGTGTTTAGTTTAAAAAAACTTTCTAGATTTAAGCTCTTATGATTCAAATTTCAATTATTTTTTATTACTTTTAATTTAATGTGGTGGTAATAGCCGTTTTGCTGAATAGTGAAGTATGATTATAAAGAAAGATTTTTTACTGTTTTTCATAAAAAATGTGTTTATTTATTATAATAAAATATTGTGGCTCTGAAGAGGAATGAGGGATATGGCCCAAAATGCATTAGCAATTAAAATATTTTGTGGGGAAAAACAATTGTTTTAAGCTCTTATGATTCAAATTTTATTTATTTTTTTATTAATTTTAATTTAATATGTTTGTAATAGCCATTTATCTAAATAGTGATGTATGTACATAAAGAAAGATTTCTTATTGTTTTTGATAAAAATGTGTTTATTCATTATTACAAAAAATAGTCTAGCACTAAAGACAGACCAGGGATGTGGCCCAAAACGCATTAGCAATTAAAATGTTTTGTGTAAAAATAAATGGCTAAAAAAAACATTCATGATTTAAGCTCTTATGATTCCTTTAATTGAAAAAAACTCCGTTATAAACAACAATATTAACTTTTAAACTATTAACAATATTAATCTCATTTTTTACATGGCTGATATTGTGTGGTGTTTAGTGACAGTTTGTCAACAATTATTTGGAGATTGTGAGATGTGGTCTGGTGTGACGTAGGTTTTAGAAAAACTTTTTCTTTATCATGGCAATGTTTCGGTCTTTATTGAGATCGTCTTCAGGGTCTGGGATTTATAAACATTGTATGAATTTTACAAATACATGTAGGATGTGGAGAAAAAATTATGAATTTATACAATGCTAGAAAATTTTAGATTAAAAAAAAATTAATTTATACAATGCTAGAAAATTTTAGATTTAAAAAGAATGAATTTATACAATGCTAGAAAATTTTAGATTTAAAAAAATGAATTTATGCAATGCTAGAAATTTTTTTTTTAGATTCAATCCAAGTATTAGAGTCTAATTCTTCAACAATTGGCTTTCCTTTCCCTAATTATCCCCGCCTATATAATCCTGATGGGGATGGGAGCTCTATCGGCATACTGCTGCTATTGGTCTGAGGCGAAACCTGGTCGTGTTGGCTAAATACACTCAAGTGGTAGAGCAGCGGTGTATTTAGCTGAAGGTCATGGGTTCGAATCCCTCTGGTGACACTGACTTTTCTATCTCAACCAATACCTCACATAAATATTAATTAATTGAAAGATGTTATTTGGTCACTCTTCACTAAAGCTCTCCATGGCCATTTCATTTGTCGCCGAGAATCAAATAGATTACACGACATTTGAAGAATGGCAAAAAGGATAGAACATTCGAAAGGTTGGGTTGAGATGGGAAGTCAGTGTCCGAGTGGATCGAAGTCATGATAGCTTAAGTGGTAGAGCAACGCGTATTTAGCTGAAGGTCGTGGGTTCGAATCCCACTTCTGACACTGACTTTCTGTCCTTAACCAATACCTTACATAAAGATGAGTTAATTGGAAGTAAATATAAGTTAGCTAGAGATCATTTCAAGCAAATGTGAAAAACTTGAATTAAAAGGGTGGGCGACGCATGCTCGGTTACTTTCGGCACCTGTGAAGGGGACGCGTCAGTTGACTTCTAACCCATTTTGACTAAATGTTGTATTTACATTACCTACAATAAAGCTGAAAAAACTAATACCTACTTTTATATTGTATTATGGAAATATATATTTATTGTAAATGAAAACAAATGTCATTCATTTTCTTCAGGTATCAATGTATGGTTTTTCATATTGATCCAAATAGGCTTCTTCCCCGATGTGCATGATAGGTGGAGGATAAAGAAAATGTTTTTTCTCACGTTTTTCTAAAAAATAATAAATACCATTATCATCGCATAAGTAAAACAGATAGGCTAAAATGTGTTTCGTTCAATGCTGGATAGTTAAATATTACACTAAAAATTAGGGTAACAAACCTATTTGCTGACATATTTTTCTGCATTTATATTGGACATATTTATGCAAGAGTAATATACCCAACGATGGTATCACTGAAATGAAAAGATATAGTTTAAAGTAAGTTTTAATATTTATTTAATTATTTATTTATTGTGCAATAATTATTGTTTTGCTATAGCTACTTTTGTTTGATTAGATTCAATTGTGCAACTTAAATTAGCACCATTAAATTTGTTTCTTTATAAGTTGCTTTTAATGTTTTGACTGACAACTATATTATTTATTCAATATATTGAAAATATCCTCAAAATGTAGATTAAAAACAATGAAAAAACATCAAACTTAATTCTTTAGTAGCCAGTGGGAACCTCAAGAAAAACAAATTAACATAAAATTTATGTTATCTGATCAACAAATTTTTGTAAATAAATTCGTTAGTAATAATGATAAGTTAAGAACATAGATCAACAAAAAATAAAATCATATAATCTTTGACAAGACAATAATTCTACTAATTTTGCTAGTTATATTTATTGCAATTCCAATTCAATCTTGTCTTTAGAGCAATCTAAGTGGCAATTTGACACAAATAATAACATTCCTATTAGTTTTCAACGCAAGTAATAAAACATTCGAATTTGAAGTTTTGTTTAAACAAAAATTCAAACCAAAATATTGCAGCTCGAAATCGAATCGAAATATTAGTGTGTACTAAAGTTATCAGATTGCTGATAAATACAATTTTGGTAAAGAATTTAGGTTTACATCTGTACTATGCCTGAATTGTGGCTGAATACGCATAGACTAAATAAAATAAAAATAGCATCAATATTTTAACTAGTTCTATTCTCCCATATTTAATTCTTAATTTTCTCAAAGGCCATTTTAAAATGTGTGCTATTAGGATCAAAAGAAATATAAGTTTTAAAGACAACACCTCTTAAAAATGTTAATACTTAACAACTTTTAACATTTGGTGGCAAAGGCCAATTTAAAAAAAAAATGGTTATACAGCAGAAATAAAGTAATAAAACAACAAACACATTAACAAGAGTTTAATTATGAGGACAGGTTGTATCATTAGGTGCAGGTCCATATCTAGTCATCAAATTACTTCTTGCATCAAAATGCACAGATCTCATGTGCTCTCTAGGAGGGGGTCTTTCTAATATTCTAATATCTACAGTCCTTGGAGCATCTAATTGAACAGGTGCTGCACATTCCACATGGCCACAAGGTGGTATAAGCGGCTTGGGGCACAACTCATGGGTTTTAGGCCCCACCAAACAAAGATCTGGAACTTGAGGACAGCCTTGCCCCCATGGATCTGATTCAAGACTGATCGGAGGCAGACAAGCCGAGGTGTGCGGATTGCTAGGAGGGATAGCAGGACCCTTGGAAAAGCACATGGACTTTTCGGCTTGAAATTTATGGGGACATAGTTTTGTCTCCCTTCCTGGATCTACAAGTTCTGATTCGAGCGGTTGAGTTCCGGAAAAATCATATTGGCCAGGTGCACAGCTTGATTGGCAATAGTTCCCTGGCACTGAGCTGGGCCTCCCCATTGAATGCCTGGGTAGTGGTGGTACCGGTGGTGGTCCATTGAAAGAATAACCACGTCTACTTTGACCTATACTTCTAAGAGATGATCTCCTAACAGTAGGACATGGAACTAGTGGTGTGGCACATCTTTTCATCATGGCTACAGGATTTCCAACATTTTTTACAATAACACAAGAAGCTGCATCTCTACCATCGGGCATTAACTCCAAGACTTCACCACCACCACAACAGCTGGCTCTGGTCTTCTGACCTCCTGTCATACATTTTTCCTCCTGTTGGAACGATTTTTTTGGAAACATGGAAGGCCCTTCAGGGACGTCAACTGACCGTGAAGTTGGAAACACAGTTCTATATTTCGGTGATGTCCTCATCGGCGGCAAAGGTGGCAATGTTGGAGGTTTTAATGGTGTAGCTGGTAAACGATTTCCACAGTGAGGTTCGACATAAGCACATGGATTACACGCCTTGGCTTCTTTAATTTCTTTAGGATCCCCGACAAATTCCCCTGTTTGTAAATATTGCGCTAAACGAGCAGTTCTTGGAACTCCTGTTTTTGGTGCATCCTCAGCATCATCTGCCATGTCGTTACAAGGAACATCATCTTCATCGCTTTCTTCCAGTAGTCCTTTTCCCCCGCGGAATCTAGATATGTCCGTTTCATCATCTCCCAAATAATGGTCCTTGGTATCATAAACAACATATTCATCTTCACCTTTTAATGAACGGTGATGGACTATCATTAATATCACACCAACAATCATTACGACTGAAACAAATACCAAAATATTGACCGAGAAACTAAAGGCATAATCAAAACATTCACACTATGATAAGAATGCTTAGTTACGGTCATCTATCCTTTCAACAATCCATTTTGGCTGGTCAGTACATTGGTATGTTGGTACACAATTGGTACATACAACTGGTTACAACGTTTTGAAGGGCATAATACATATAATTTTCATTGGTAAGTCATTATCGTTTTGTTTTTGCTACTAAATTGGACACTGTGTAATGTTTTTTTTAATCGATAATATTGCAGTTCAGTAGAGATAATTCTTCATATTTTACAGTAATGTGCACCAGAATCTATATCAATGTACAAATGTATTGACTAAATATTTTTTGAAAAAAGCTCAAAATGATCTAATACTTTTCTAGTGACTATTGATCAATTATTACTAACAAAGTTGGACTATAGTTATTTCAGAATTTCTTCTTTCCTCACAATAACTATTATGATGTAACTATGTTGTTTAAATCTTGTTTTCACTAGCTTAAAAACTACCTCTATACTAATTTTTGAATTTTAATTTCCTTTAATGAATGATATTGGGCACTTTTTAGTTATCTTAATTTGGATCTTATTTGTAAATATTGTTTAGAATTTTCAATTGATTACATTTGACAACTAGAGAGAAGGTCCACTCCATATTACAACGTACTAGTTGGATATAAAAATTACAAAGAAACTTATAATGTTATGTTAACTATAAATAGCATACTATTAACAGTATTGCTTTTGTGGCCAAAAATTTCTTATAATAAATTAGAAGTAAGAATGTGAATCCTCAGAGCCATTTTTTATTTTAAACAGTAAACTACTTTTATGAACTCGAATAAAAAAGTGAAGAGAGTAAAGCGCAATATCACGCTTTCAATACCTCACTTGATGATGGCATGATATTTTGCTGACAGTCCTCGATGGGTTCAGCCCTTAGTACAGTCACATGACATCTAGTTCTAATTTAAATTGTTATGGCATTTACAAAAATATTTAAATTATATAGCTTCTTTCATATAGCTGGAAGTGATCAAATAAATTATTATTATTACCAAAGAAAATTACTCGCTGAATCAAAAATATCATGAAATTCATTCCAAAATCTTTATGTTTTTGGTATAAAAGGAAGAAAAGAATTGTGCAGAGGACATGGGCTAGAGTTGTGCAGATGTATATAACTTCCGCAATCAATACCATTGTCAAGTTCTCCTACGCATAAAAAATAAAATAAATAAAAAAGCAATAAATTATTATAAAGAAGAAAAAACAATAATTCACCTTTGAACTAGCTATTATGAGTAGAAAAGATGGTGGAACCAATATAAAATCACACATCAGTTTGAACAGACTTGTCCAATCTGAAATTAATTAGGTTTTGTAATTTCTAATAGTTTCCGGCTGTTCCATATTGAGCTAATTTGTTTAAGTTTTATCAATACTTCAATTATTGATTTTTTAAAATTTTGCTGTTTATTGATGCATATTACCATGGTATACGCTAACAATTACAAAAAATTCCAGTGTTCCTTCTCCTGTTACTGATTCCACAAAAATGGACATAATAAGCGAGCTCGTTATTGCCTTTGGGGGTACTTGGTCACTGATAGAGCAAAGTTAGCTTCTACCATGTGGTTTGTGATGCCAAGAAATGGCTAGAACATGTCGGAGTAGTTAAAGAAGAATTTGTTTTCTAAACATTAGTATACGTGGTTTGTTATATTTTCAAGGGCTCTGTAAAAACATTTGCTCACAATCCGTTGATTCAAACAAAAAATTTGCAGTCAGAATGGACAAGTGAACTGTGGAAAATCTAGTTACTTTTTAATACCAACGCTCAAAAACGTCCACCCGCTTTACAAAAATGTCCTCCAGAACCTTCGCTAGGTTTTGTAGGTCTTTACGGGGTCACTCATTGTTTAATTGGAGGCAGGTGTGAGGTGAAGAATGTTAGGTTGAACATTATTACCAAGGCAGCAAAGGAACCACCATAATTTATGATCTGCTAATTGCATGGACTTCGACATGGCATCATTGTTGAAAGTAAAGGTATGTTTTCCTCAGTGCGACTATTGCAATGATTGTTCAATGAAGATCATGCTAAGGTAATCACAGAGCACAATTTCTATGTATTTTTTGCTTGAGTGACGAAGCTGGTGTTGTTAATGATGTATGATTTTCATTGTTTGCATTTGGGTTAACACAATAAAAAGATAGATAAGACATGGATGACATTTATAACAGACTGCCTTTCACTTCGACAGTGCTTCCTCGAACTTCATTGATTTATATAAGTACATAACTACGAAACGTATTCATAAAAGTACATTTTGATTAATAGTCTTCATCAAATTTTTTCTTTTAATATTTTCGATGGATTGTGATACACCTATAAGTTACAGAAGTAGGGTAGTATTTATTTCACAACTCTTATCTTGGATGTGACTTCTCTTGTTAGGACTATCTTTAGTTAGGTAAGATATACCTACATATCGAATAGCATAATCCATCATTTGATTTTACAGCAGGTTCTTTTGTTTAAAATATTGTCAACAATCACAGGTAGCCAACAATCAGATGGAATTTCTTTGGAATAGACTTGCTGTTTTAATCTTTAAGGAGAAACCTTTTTATCAAATTGATTTAGGAAGTTAATTGACCTTTTATTAAAGACTTTTATGATCTTCTATATTCTGTCTTTGGAGTTAATAATTTGTGAGATATCAGAAGAACATATTTTAAGGGCGAGATTTTAGCAGTTTTGTTTGGGAATCAACATCATCCTTTGTTGTAAAAGAATCACTCTTTAACCATCCTTGCTTACGAATGTATGAAGTTCTCAGTTGGCTAGTGGGCGAAGTAAATTCTTTTAGGGTTGCATTTTAAAAGTTCCGTTAAAGAAATTTTTACATAATCTTGATTTGGTAATTTTCTAAAATAGCCTGTGAAGCCCAAAAATTTGTTCAAAATTTGGAATGTTTTTGGTTCGAGAATTTTTTTACTGCTTTAGTTCTATATTCAGATGATCGAATATCAAAATGGAGACAATACTGGATCAAGTGCTCCCAACTCTGTGGTTTCTGCAAGTGACAGTTGCCCTGAGAGAACTTGGGGCATTTTAAAAGTAAGCCATTACAACATATATATAATAACCTAACATGAAATAGATTATTGGAAAAAATAAATTCAAGCAAGAAAAGAGTCAGATATAAACTCTCTTTCAGCAGAAATTGTCTAAAGGATAGAAAAAAGCAATCATGTGGGTAAATGCCCACATTGGGGTAGGATAATGAAGGAGCCTACTGCCAGACAATACCTCAGCCAAAAGCTGAGAAATAAGTGTAGAACATAACCTAGGTAGCAAATAGGAGGGTGACATTTTAAGCTGGGCGGTTCCTTGCAAGTTTTCTTATTTCTCTGCATGGGATGTCTAAGGCTGGGCGCACACGAGGTCGGTGGGGCGGCGCGGAATTATGAAGGTCCGTAGTCCGCACACTATGTAGGAACCGCTCTCGGCCGAATGGTCGAATTTTCCCTTCCTTCTGACTGACTAGCGCTGCGGTTTAGTGTTGAATTTCCAGGAGTTCACGTCACAATCGTTGCCTTCGTCTTTACAATATGGCGTCCGAAGGCAGCCGAATATACCGAACCCAACGATTTTCGACCGCCCCGGCGCACAGTAGGCCAGTAGCGCGGTGCGGAGCAGGAGGACTTTTAAGGTCGATACTCGATTCATATCTACCAGCACAATAGCGTGTCCAGCACGTAGCGGCCACACCGTCCTAGTGTGCGCCGGAGCGGTCGGAAATCGTTGGGTTCGGGTATATTCGGCTGCACTCGGACGCCTTAAGGTCGATTCATATCTACCAGCACAAGTAGCGTGGCAGACGGCACAGACACTAGTATTCATACCAAGCGGTAATCACAGCAACAGTCACCTACAGACCAACGAACTTCATTCTTCAGAAAACCAATGGACAGGATTCTTTCCATGTCCGTATTACAAATTACGTACATTTCACCACATACAATATATAATATTATTATTATTTTGTGTGGTGATTAGTGATTTCTGAATAATTATTATTTATATATAAAATTATTATATATAATTATTATTATACACATTTTGTAAAATAAAATTTAAAAAAAAACATCTTGAATATGTACTGATCGGCGATTCAGAGTTTACCCCGAATTTGGATTAGCGCATGTTCGGTTTACCGAGACTGGACATTATAATTAAAATTATAATGTAATTTATTGTAGGTAGGCACCTAAGTTATTGGCATTGCACAAATCTTGTCTGTCGTCTATTCATACTAACCTAATTGAATCAGAAAAGACAACCGCAGACACGTACCAGCACCGGGCAGCGTTGTCGCCGAGAATGTTTTGCTTGTGCCGGCACATGTCTGCGGTTGTCTTTTCTTGTCTGTGTGATTCAATTCGGTTAGTATGAATAGACGACAGACATGATTTGGGGGGCAGCCGAATATACCCGAACCCAACGATTTCCGACCGCCCCGGCGCACACTAGGCCGGTAGCGCGGCGCGGAGCCGAGTTCCATAAGTCTGGCAACTTCCTCCGCTCCGAGCCGCCCTACCGTCCTATTGTGCGGGGTTACATTCATTTCAATGTATTCTTCTTTGGTGGTTGGTTCCGCGTCGCGCCGCGCCACCGACCTAGTGTGTGCCCTGCTTTAGAAAGTCTACATGTAGAGTGAGAAACTAGTATAGCCACACGAAAAATATCTTACAGTAATTAGTGGAAAGAATTCTAAAATGATTTTAAAATACTACAAGTTCTCCCAGGACGATTGTCACTTGCGGAACCAGAGCTGGGAGCATTTGGTCTAGTAATGTTCCTATTTTGAAATACAACTCTAACAACCTAAAGATGTATAGTCATCAAGAAGCTGGCCGCCAACCTACACTAAGTTAATAACAGAATTTGTGGAAGAGTTTCAGTTCTTTCTTTCCGGAATGGTTTTTAATTTAATATAAAATGCTAATTGACCAAATTTTAAATTTAACAAAACGTTCAAAACGAATACGATTTATAATAATTTAGATAGTGAAATATTCCATTTAATATGCAACATATGGTAAAAATAAATGCCCTTTTGCTACTAACCCTGTAACCTTAGCAAGAGTAAAAACAAATTAAAAACATAATTGCCACGAATACAAAAAAAAAAAAAAAATCTTTCTACAGCTGAATGTTAATTTTTGTGATATGTTTCGAATTTGAATCTAAACAATATTTTAAGTTATTTTTCACAACAGTAAAATCGTCATTTTTTTAATGGTTATCTGTAAGAGATAATGGATATAGACTAATTGTCCAAGTTAGTTTCAATCGCCATTGATTATACAACTTTACTTGAAAATTTAAAAGAAAATAAAGGTATGCATCATTGAATGGCATGCAAGCGCATATATTATTAGGATTTCTACAATGGATTGAGAATATTGCTAACCTGGATCTCCTCTTTGAAAAATGAAATCTACGAGAAACAGAGCGATGTTTGCGAATGCATAGAAGAGCATAATTATAGCAAACCCGACGCATCCTGCTTTGCCGACCGACATTTCACCTGATCACTAGAATACAGTTTTACTAAACTGTGTTGAATTTGGTGAAAATTGGTCATGCTTGTCTTCTGGAAATGTCCTGGACGTAAACAATTTTACAACAGGCGATGTAAAAAATGGTTTCATTGTTGTGAGATTTTCCCTTAATTTATTATTCTCTTGTGGTATTTTTAATAAAACTTAGAACAGCTTTATTTCATTTTTGAATATAAATAAGCACATGATCTGTTTCAAACTGAAGCAATGTGAAAATCTCTGTAAATTTTTCTTAAAAATGTTATGTTCCATTTATAAAACAGTGCTAACTTAGCTAATAATCAGATATTGTAAAGGTGTGATAAGACAAGGAACAGTTGTATAATGTTTCTCAGTTAAAATGTTGTGCGTGTTTCTTCTCCTGCACAAACACCACTTCTATTTCTTCTTCAGGGTAACTGGTGACCAGTCTCCGTTGCAACCTAAAAGATCTATTCTTTCTTTATTTCCAAACCTCGAAAATTTCACTATCCTTTAGGTAGATTTCCACGTTACAGGGTTTTTCTACGCTTATTTCTTTAGTTACAAAGGGCATGCTCCGCTGTTTCTACTTCTCCATGGCAGATTGGTATTTTTCTGTCTCAGTTTTTTTGCACTTTTTGAGGATTGGCCAGTACAAAAGGCATATTATTTTATTTGTGTACTATTTAGAGAGTGGTAGAATTTTGTTTTCTTGGTTGAGATTTTAATGAACGTCTTGGATTGTTTCAATTAATTAGTCTTTATGTAAGGTATTGGTTGAAATAAAAAAGTCAATGTCACGAGCGGGATTCGAACCCACGACCTTCGGCTAAATACGACGCTGCTTTACCACTTGAGCTATCGTGACTTCGATCCACTCGGACACTAACTTCCCATCTCAACCCAACCTTTCGAATTTTTCCTCCTTTTCGCCATTTTTCAAATGTCGTGTAATCTATTTGATTCTCGGTGACAAATGAAATGGCCATGGAGAGCTTTAGTGAAGATGTACTACATTTAACGTATTAAATTCATTAGATTCCGTGGTCCGATTGACCAAATAACATATTTAAATTAATTACTCTTTATGCAAATTATTGGTTGAGATAAAAAAGTCAGTGTCACGAACGGGATTCGAACCCACGACCTTCGGCTAAATACGACGCTGCTTTACCACTTGAGCTATCGTGACTTCGATCCACTCGGACACTAACTTCCCATCTCAACCCAACCTTTCGAATTTTTCCTCCTTTTCGCCATTTTTCAAATGTCGTGTAATCTATTTGATTCTCGGTGACAAATGAAATGGCCATGGAGAGCTTTAGTGAAGATGTACTACATTTAACGTATTAAATTCATTAGATTCCGTGGTCCGATTGACCAAATAACATATTTAAATTAATTACTCTTTATGCAAATTATTGGTTGAGATAAAAAAGTCAGTGTCACGAACGGGATTCGAACCCACGACCTTCGGGGCTAAATACACCGCTGCTATTCCGCTTGAACTATCCTGACTTCGATCCACTCGTCCAATTTTTGTGTTTTGGGTTGCGAAACGCGGCTCAAATATTCCAAAGGTTTATGAATTCTATTTTTGGAGACATAAACTACATTTTTGTGTATGTTGACGACATTCTTATAGCTTCAACGAATGAAGACGAACATTCAGTTCACATAAAAGAGGCTTTTAGTCGTTTACATGAATACGGCATTACAATAAACCCAAATAAAAGCGTTTTCGGGGTTCAGGAAGAGGAATTTTTGGGAAATCGGGTGAGTAATAATGGTATTTCACCCCTACCAGCGAAGGTATGGTAAGCCATTACGATTACCAAGAGAGATGTTTTCCCGAGCAACATTTTCAGAAAACGCTGAAGAATTTGTGGCAAACCTCAGAAAAAAGATGTTTGAACTACGTCCGGCTCCTTACCGTGCTAGTTCAGCATCCGCTTTTGTCTCTAAAGAGTTAAAAACCTGCTCGCAAGTCATTATACGGGATGACTTTGTTAAAAAACCATTAGTACCATCTTAGTCTGGTCCATACTCTGTTGTAAGAAGGAGTGCAGACCTTAAAACATCTGATGTCAGATTACCATCGGGGATAAGAACAGTAATTGTAGACAGATTGAAATCAGCGTTCATTCTATCTAAAGAAGAGCAGACTTCTACAACCCACCTTCCAACGGTAACACGGCGTAACCATAACGTCTCTGCAGAATCTTCGCCATCGCAAACTACTCGTTCTGGTCGCCGAGTGCATCTTCCTGTAAGTTCCGCGACATTATTGCGGGGCTGTATAGCGGTCCGGTGGAAACATCGGCGCTAAGCGCTCTTCGCATGAAGCGTATATATATATATATATANCAGATTTCCCGAAAGCATATCGACGAGATTTGATTTAGATTCATAAAGTTCTGAATGTATATCAGCCTTTATTTGTAATTTCTTTGAATAAAAGTTTTTTAAAAACACATTCGACCAAAGAAATTATTTAACTTATATAAATGTATGTATAAAAAAACTGTAATTCCAAAGTTTAATGTATCGATATTTTTTGATCGATACAGACTCTGTTGATGCAAATATATGTCGCGAAAGCTCGGCGAATTGTTTGCATAACTTTGTAACTTCATTCAAGATCATAAAACCTGATCCTCTTCAACATTGTGTATTTTGTTTTAATCATCCTGATCTTGAATTTAGAACGATTTAATAAAAATACGCAATAACATTATTTTGAAGTTAATTAATATATTTTATTTTATTATTGAATATTTAAATGTACGATAGTATTTACACATTATGTATTATTACTACAATTCGCCATTTACTTTATTGTCTGAAGGCATTTTTAGTCGTGTTATGTGGGCCTGTTATGTCTGTTTAGATTACATAATGTAGGAAACAAGTTGAAATTTTTTATTATTTTGTAGGAATTTGAAGCCTGAATCTTTTTTATTTTAAAGAACGTGGTTTTTATAGCAACCAATTCTCCTATTTGTGGTGTTTTCTCAGAAGCATTATTGTGTTATTTCAGCCCCTGTTATGCGCCTTGCAGAGGTGTGTCGTTCCTATCTTGAGAATCTAAACTTGTGATAAGGCCATGTGCCAGGTGTGCACGTTAAAGAACTTCGTGTGTAGAGATTAGTGACCGTTAATCGATAGTTATTCAGATATCGTGAGATATCACACCCGACCGCATCTCACGATATCTGGAATAATTAAAGAACTTCGTTGTCCTAATGACATCGCAACCGCAAATGTGAAACGTGTCTTGGGACATGAAGAGAGAAGAGATAAGTCCTCAGACCATCGTCCCCTGGCACAAATCACCTGACTACATCCTTCAGGGAATCGCAAACAAGCACAAACAATACTGTAACATATTCTACACAATCAAGCTCAGAATTCTTTTGAAAATGCTTATTTGGTTAAGAAAAGAACCTATTTCAATATTCCCTGACTGAGTAGGGGTTTTAACGTTAGATCCAAGCTCTGTTGATTTCATGAATAAATTATTACCAATAATTCTTCTCCAAATTATTATGAATTAATCAATTTTGAGTAATTGTATATACTTTTAAATGATTGAAAAACAAGGCTTGTAAGTTTTGTTATAATTGTGTTCCATTATATGAAGCCAACATTTGCTCCTCGGACTCTCCGCAACCTCTGTTCAGAAATACCCCTTTTAACAAGACAATTAGTATCATCACCTAAAATGGGATCAGGTCCTGGTAAGCCTCTATTTCCTTTAAACTCTCCTTGCAGTTCATTTATGGGTCCAGCCTTTAGTACACAAGGATCACTTTTTGACAGCCTAGGTGGTACAGGATCCAGTGGTGGTGCTGGTGGAGGAACTGGTATTTTATCAGTCTGTGCCCATTTACTTTTCATTGAAATTTCTCCTCCAGTCGCAGCCTCTTTAAATACTTTTGGCGGACATTTAATTCGCTCTCCCAGGCTCAAGACATCTGGTCTTCTCATTGTTTCTCTGCATTGATCACTTATCCTGTGAACCATTCCGTAGGCTGGTTGCTCCTGGGTGCCTATGGTGCAGGCACCATGAGGTGTTGTAAATGGTGGATAATCAACTGGAGCTAATTGGGGTGGTTGGTCTTCTCCTATAGGGAACTGTTGAGGAGGATAATTTTGAGCTCCATATCTCTCATTTTGCCTCATAAATGGAGATTGAACTTCCGGTTGTCTTGCAGATGGAACCCATGCCTGTGGAGCATTTCTTCTATCAGTAGTTCTAAATCGTCCAATTTCTCCTTCACCTTGAGTGGAAGGAGAGAAATTAATTGTTCTTTTGCTGCCGGCCAAATCTTCTCGAGATCTGCTGATAGAACCACCATATTTTGTTTGTATTATTTGAGTGCCACTTGAAGAAGTAGCTAATCTACTTCGACTGCCAGGACTCCTTGGGCTAGCACTGCTGCCTCCACTACCTCCAATCCTCCCTAAATAAATATTTGGTGAACCAGTACTTCCTCCTTCACTGGTTGGAGACCGGGCATCTTTTGTTGTTGGGTTACTCAGACTAACACATCCTTTCTCCATTTCCGGTATATAATTCATAGATAAATTTCTTCCTTCTGCATACTGAGGTTGAGTGTATTTACTGATTGCTACTCCACCTCGTTTAGCTATTGTTGATTCCCCTGTTCTTGTGTCTCTCAAAGGGGCGCATATAAACTGAGAGGTGTCTCTCAATTCATTTGGTCCTACCACCCTTGGTAAATTGTAAATGACATTCCTAGCCGGGTCATATCCCTGTCCTGGTCTTTCCTTACACATAGGAACCATAAATGACATCTTTGAGGGTGAATCCCTTCTCATTGTATGACCAGGGCCTCCAGGTGTTGGTCTTGTTACAATATCCTTACATTTAATTCGAGCTATCGCTGCTTGTTCTTTGTCACACCTCAAACTGCACTCATACTGAATGTGTCGTTGTACAATATAAAAACCGTAAAACATAAGAACTGAAACAAAAATAGTTTGATATTAGATGTTTTCATCAATAATTTAAAAATATACTTTATGGTTAATGTACTTTTCAAGAAAAATTATTTGTGAACCAAAAATCTTCAAAGTTAAAAAAAAAAACTCAAAATTCGGCAACATATATCCAAATCCAACTCAACTCAGCTCTCCTTTCCTAATAAAATTTAGAACATTACTCTCAGAGAAAATTGGTAACACAATGGCAATGAAAAAGAAATATCCCAAGTTCCTTTGGACGAGTATTATCACATCTTAATGGGAAATAAACTTTTGAAAATTTCTGATTGAAAACAAGCCATTTGACAACCCATCAGGATCTGGGCCAAATGATGGCCTTTATGCTCAGAAAGGATAACATCGTCATATTTTCAGACAGTCTGTTAGTGTCCCTCTCTTAACAGGTAGTTAGAGTGAAGCTTTTCTGTTTGATAAAATATATATAATAATTCTTTTCTTTTATAGAAAAGTAAACTTTTGTGTTTTCAGCAATTCCCATTCATTTCACTTCATATTCTAACATCCCCCTCCCACAGAAGCCATGTATAGGAGAAGAGTATGCATCCCAAAACTAGAGGGGCTATTTGCTAACATGAATGATTAATTTACAAAATATAAGAGTGTAGTTATTTATTTAAATAGTATTTATATACAAGGGCAGTAAATTATTGATGCAAGACTTCTTTAACACAAAGCCTAATTGTAAATGTGAAAACTTAATGACTAAAAATTCCCTTACATTACATTTACATTACTTTCTTTGTTTCTAACTTGTCAGACACCATTGTTTTATTTATTACAGCAAGTACAATTTCTGCATCGTATTTTCTCCTTTTATGCAGCAAATAAAATAGATTTACATTAACATTTAAAAAAATACTACATTTAAATAATAAAATAATTGTTGATCAATCTATTACTAAGGCATTGCTTTCTTACTAAAAAAAAAGATTCGCTGGATCAGAAAGTATGCAATTACTAATCCCACTTCTTCGTCATTATATAAAAACATGCAGAGAACAGTAGCAAAGAGTAGATGGGCTACTCCTGAGGTTATGTACATTGCTTGAGAAATTAAAACTATGGTTAGATTCTCCTGAAATTAAAAGTGTCACAATGAGGTTTTGCACATTCTCAAATTTTATTATTACCACTTGACTATTATGATTGTTTTTAATTATGACAGTATTATTATAACAATTTTAGTTTAAAGCAATTAAAATAATTTTCTCCAAAAGGCTAGGATCAATTTTAAAACACAATACATCACCTTTTTAATACCTATTGATAATAGAAGAGAGGGAGGTATCACAATGAACTCAGACATGATTTTGAACAACGCGATCCAACCTGTAAATTTAATTGAATTATTACATATATTACAAAGTCAAAACAAATAGAGATTCATTATTTATACATTTATTATGTTCACATAAATGTACATTACATTTTAGAAAACGTTTCTCTTTATTTCCAATATAAAAAATGCTGCAGCTATGCAATTAATAAACAAATAAAATAAATTCCTATTCAATTGAAGCTTTATTAATTTATTTGTGTACACTGAAATATATTTGTATTCCCTTCAATATTTGTATATTTTTCATGCAATAATGTAGTAGTAATAATGTAAACAATAAATATAATTCATCAAGCGGACCGTGAAAACTAGTGAATTTAATAAATATAATTATACACACCATATATATTTTTTGAGAGATGGCCTCTACACTAGTTTAACTATTTGAAAACAACCGCTCCACATTCTGAATAGCGATCCAGAAACTCTGATTTGTTTCTTGTGCTCAGTTCTGTTTTCAAATCAGGTTTCATTTCCACTCTATATGAAGCCAATACATTGCCTTCCTTCATTTAGTTCATTGGTTATCTTTCTCTACACGACAGATACATTACTCTGTAAATGTCTTTTCAACAACACACAACACACCTAATTTGAGAGAGAGGGGAATGCTCCTTATTTCTGATTCATACCCTATGTGGGCTACCTCTTGTTTGATACCCAAGAGCTTACATGTTCCGAAAAGGTAGCTATTTATTGAAATATGGCTGATTTATATACAATCTATTAATTTATTTAAAAAAATTATGATTTTCTGTTATACATGAGGCTTTACGTTTCTTTATTGGTAAACCAGATATGGTGGCTGGGACATTATATTTGCAAAATCTATCACATTCAGTTTTAATGCTTGCACAAAAAGAAAGTAAAAACAGCATTGCAAGAAGTGGTCTATAACTTTCTGTAAAAAATTCTTATTGTCAAAAAACTACGGTATAATAAATTATTAAAAGGCATCATTGCTCAAGCATAACTCAATATTAAAATTTCAGGTGTAACAACTGTTCCTATATATCAGAATATACTGTATTGAAGGAGTAATAAGGTTGAATGTTATAAATGTTTACCTGGATTTAAAGAAGTCCAGAAAAAATAGAGAAATTCAACGATGTATATACACGTATGACCTATCATTACATATGCAAACATCAAGCATGATTTGCTTGTAGACTTATAACACATTTTTATAAGCTTTGAAGAGATATTCCTTCATCCAATGAACTACACATCGAATTCCACCGTGATTAATGCATTCAATTGTCATTTATCTATAAATGGAATAACGCCAGAGAATAGTTTTTGTATAACTTTTATAATATTTTTTTTTTAAACAACAATGTATTTTAAATAACAGGTGACTTAAGGTTCAATAATGAGCAAGTCACATAAAAACAATTGGCTTGCTCTTATTGTAATCTACTTTTTACCTTTTTCTTCTAATTTTTTTAAATCAGAACAATAGAAAAAAGTATATAAATACAAATGGAGATAATACATTTATTTTTATTAACAACCAGTTATGGCTTTTTTAATTTTTAATTTATTTGTACTAACGTTTACCACTCATTTTGACACTAATGATACACAAAAACAATTTGTGACAAACAAGAAAAATAACATTATAAATTTTCAATTTAATCATTGTTTCCAATTTGTTTTAAAATTATTTTTCCTAGTTAGTTCCTGCTGTCTCCACTACAGTATTATAATGATTAGGGATGGTTAGGGGGTGTCTAGGGGGGTGCTGTTTGGGTGCCCATCTGGTGGTGGTTGTGAAGGGGTGTCTGGGGCGTGTGATGCTGCCAGGGCCCTGGTTTCCGCTATTGGGGGTTCCTGAGCTGTGGCCCACTCACCACCCAGCTTGAAAGTTTTTTAAGGCGGAAAATGACCCAAAGCGGTTGATCGTCTTTTATAATTAAAAAAAAAAAAAAAAATGATTTGACATACATTGATGTATAAATCTTGTAAAAATTATTTCTTATTTAATAATTTGGTGAATTTTTCTTCAATCAACCTTTTTTTATAAGAATTATTATTTATGAAGATTACATATTACAAGTTTTAATATGAAATTATATAAATGATAATATGATAAATAATAAATCTTGGTAATTTAATGTGGTTCTCTAAACGAAAGTGGTATAATAGTATAAAACTNTATATATATATAATCGTTTGGCACCACAATGGCAGTAGTATTAGTACACACCTGCTACCTAGATCACCAAACAAAAGCATCCTAGTCTTCAGCAGGAAATTCAACATTTGTAAAAAATCTTTACCAATGGAAGTTGACACAGCGTACTATACGTCATGGTAATATACAATCCAAAATCATGTTTTCCTGTTTTTCGACATCATAACAATAATCAAGCAGAGGCGTTGTAGAACTTTCACATTCTATTAGATGACACTTGCACATGAATTGTAATAGAACAAATCTTTGAGCTCATTATTTACCGCTATACTCATTTATTGTTATTGTTAATTAAAATGTGTGGTGTTTATTGACCGTTACTTAATGATTATTTGGAGGTCGTGAGATGCGGTCTCACGACCTCCAAATAATTGTTAATTCAAATGTGTGGTGATTAGTGACCGTTAATCGATAATTATTCAGAAATCTTAATCTTTTTAATCACAGTCTTATTTGTTTGTTGATTTTATTTGATATTATTCTTACTCTTAAACCTTTTTCAATATCTCCAGTCAGGCATTTGAGTGATTTGAGTGAGTATGACGGTTTCTGAGTCAGAACATTATTAAAGGTAGGATATAGCCAGCGCGAAGTCGCGAAGAGATTGAGTGTAAATCAGAGGTAAATGGAAAGGCTCAGGAGAAAGGTACGTAATTCTTGACTATCCTCTCAACACGACACACAAGAAGAAGTGAGTACAAATACTTTGATCGAATTTAAAAAAAACTTTCATTTGCATTGTATAAATTCATTTTTTCTTTCCACATCCTACTTGTATTTGTTAAATTTAAACAATGTTTGTAAATCCCAGACCCTGAAGATGATCTCAATAAAGACCGAAACGTTGGCACGATAAAGAAACTGTTTTTCTAAAACTACGTCACACCAGACCGCACCTCACGATCTCCAAATAATAAATCAGTAAATTTTAAATGCAGTACTTGCTGGTTTAAGCCTCAAGGACTCTACGGTAAGGAAGGAAATGTCCAAATTCATATGTAGGTTAAGCTCAAATCACTATAATTGTAACAAGATTCAAAATAAATTTAGTAAATTCAAATCTTTGTATATACGTTCAGTAACAGAGACTTGCGAACACTTAATTATGATATGCCCCAAATATAAGAATGAAAAGAAAAAATTAATTAATTGCATATTTTGATGTCTGGAACTCCCGCTCAACTATAAAACAATTCTAAGCACAAGTAATCTACATGTGTATCACTCAAAAGTAAGATTCTTAAAAATAAATAAAACATGAAGAGTGAAGGTTGTGTCGGAAAAATACCAACTAAATAAAAATGACATTTCTATAGCTATATGAAAAAAAAAGAAAACAGAAAAAATGGCAAATTGAAATGCGATCCGCGAAATTCCTTAGCTAAGTACGCGTGGGTCCATGTAATGTACTTTTCAACAAACCCCAGGCGTTGCAGTAGTTTCCAATGGTTGTGTGGGAAATATTTAACATCTCTCCAGATCCCCGGTCGTCAAAAAGGTACTTTCTTTTAGCCTATGCCTCAATATGTCGTCGTCAGACTCCTGAACGTCGTACACTGCGCACATCATCTTCAACAACTTTTTTCAATTCAGTTGTAACAGTTGCATTGCTCCCTTTTTTGGAATTCATAAAGTAAATAATGCCTTAAATGTGATTCATCCAAGCCTACGTATTAAATTATTCGACAGTAAACGAGGTGAAAACATAAACTGTGAAGAAATGTACATATTGAGCTAATTAATCCTATAATTGAAAGACGACATTATTTTCCAGACAAGCCAACAATAAATAGAGTGGATATAACAATCTATCTCCACCCCATTTGTCGTGTCGCCAAAGCAAGGCGTAGGGACACCTTGTATTAAGAAGTATTCGTACTCAAGCTTTTGACCGGGCCTGCCAAATTTGATTTGTTTCTTTTCTGAAAAAATTTTCTGACCTATGGTTGCACATTGCACACCTGATGAAAAAAAGTTTCGTATGTGTTTCTAATTCAGTTTAAAATGAAGTCTGTTAATTAAGTGTGTGGTGTTTAGTGACCGTTAGCCAATGATTATTTGGAGATCGTGAGGTGCCGTCTGGTGTGATGTAGGTTTTAGAAAAACATTTCTTTATCATGCAAATGTTTCGATCTTTATTGAGATCATCTTCAGGGCCTGGGATTTACAAACATTGTTTAAATTTTGCAAATACATGTAGGATGTGAAAAAATGAATTTAAACAATGTACGATTCATTTTTTCACGTCCTACATGTATTTGGATAAAGATCGAAACGTTGGCATGATAAAGAAAATGTTTTTCTAAAATCTACGTCACACCAGACCGCACCTCACGATCTCCAAATAATCATCTGTTAATTAAACTGAGTTTGTCTAAATAAGTTTTCACGACATTCTAAGTTGATTTTGCAAAACTTTTGTCGGTTAATTATTTTTATTAGTTCTCTACAACAAATGCAATTCCAAAAAATGTAACCAAACTTAATAATTAAAACTGTATAATATAAGAATAAAAATGTATTGTTGAAAATAACAAAGCTGTCGTGATACTTCTCTGCCAAACAATGGTCTTCGTAAAGTGAGATTTTTTAGAAGCACTTAGGAACGCTGGTCGCTCCTTTGGCCGGTGTTTGCCGTGCCGTGTATGTTCCTCCGTAGGTCCCTGGTCCCGGCATGTCCTTACACAGTCCCAGAGATCCTGGGAAACCGATTCCGAGGCCTCGGATGTTCCTGATCCCTTCAAGATCAGCAGCGCTAATGGGACGCCCGCTAGTGAACCTGAGCGTACCTTTCGACTGCCAGGTCTGACCTCCGGGAGTTCCGCAGCTTTGGCAACCTCTTACCGGAGGATAGCCTGTATATTTTACCGAACTTCCAAAACCACCCGTTCCCGGCGATCGTCCGCCCTCGAGGGTTTTGAAACATTCCTGGCCTGTAAACTGGGTCGGAGCAGCGAATCCAGCAGTCGTCCGTGGACAGGGCTTCAAAAATTTCAAGGCCGAAGGGGCGTTTTTCATGACTAAGTAGTCATTCTTTTTTTTTGATTCCGGCATTTTTGCAGGTTTAAAGTCTGGGTTTGACACCGGTGGAGGGTATGGAGGACGTTGGCCGGGTTCGTTCATTTCTGCTATGTGGCTCCCGGCAAGTCTCCTTTCAATACTGCAAGAGTCTGCCAGATTCCTAGATGACAGCTGGAGAGGGATGATTTGTTCTCTACTAGGTTTCGCCGAGAAATCTTTTGATATGTTATACTTCCCTCCTGATTTGGAAAAATCTGGTTTGGGGCAACACCAATCATCTTCGTCGCCGTTTGGCTGAACCGTACTTCGGTACTTGTGTAAGTTGATAGATCCCAAATACTCGGCGGCTGAAACAGACATAAGATATCGTACGTACAATAATAACTATGTAATAAATTACCATGTTTTAAGAATAAGCATTTTTAGTTTATCGGTTTATCAGAAAAAAAGTTTTGTTTTTACCAAAATAACTGAAATTAACATCCTCTGCTTGTTAGCAAATAAAGAACTTTTGGTTCTTCGAATATCAAATATCATTTACAGATATTATAGAATAGAAGTATTTCGTTGAAGAAATGTTATTATAGCAAATCTGAACCATGTGCACTACAAAATTATCATAAAAATCGTACTTTTGAGCGAGACGTTTTCTTGTAGAAGTATCACATCATATTGTTAACTACTTGGTGTTCGAATAATACTCATGTTAAAGTATTTTTTCTTTGCTCAAATAAAATAATAATATAAAAGTAAGAGCGAAATTCACAATCATTCAAATAACAAATCCACCAACCTGGTTATTCAATTAATTAATTTATTAGTTACCTTAAGATTTTATCTTTATGATAAAAGTATTCTTTTTTTGCCATTCACGCTTATAATGGTATAACAGTATAACACAAATAAATTAAGAGAAGTCTGCAGGATCTGTTCACTTGGCCAGAATTTATATTTAAACTTCATCCAAATCCGCAGGTCCGGAAGCGTGAGACGATTGAAGAAAATGATTATAACATTTCTGTTTCCCTCGAAGAGTTATTGTTTGATTAGTTGTTGTTTGCTTTTGATGAAAAATTGATAATTTCACACGTATTGCGGTGGCACGTTCCGTGGGACGTACTCCCTCTGGAAGTACGGGGAAAAGGACGTGGGCACGCATGGTGGCCTGGGATCCCGGGCTGAAAGTAATGTGGCATATCGAGTCGGCACCATCTTGACTGGCACACACTTCGAGTCGACAAATCTCGGCGGCCCGGTCGTATAAGAATAGCGGTAGTGCTTCACCCTCTTACGGACGTAGGGGATCGGAGGCTTGAGCCGCGAACGCGCAACACACAGCAGTGATGATGTAAAACGTTTCAGCTTGCCAGCTGGTTTAGTTGCGCGTTTGCTTTTGGAACTAGAGCGTGTAACGCTGCTTATATCCGTCCAATTGTCATCGTCCATCAGTTCACTTCTATCCGTCCTATATATATCTGTACATATAAGCGTTATAACCGATAGACCTGAAACAACACAGGAGCTTCAGCAACTTCTCATCATTTTAATCCATTTTTGTTCTAATAGAGCCTTTTAAGCAAACAATTAGTAAAACTTTCGCTAAATGTACTATTTCTGCTTTTTTTTACAGTTGAAATTTTTCTTTTCATAAATCTTCATTCTGAAAGAAGATTTACCTGTATTTTTCTCATAAACATACAGCCATCAAAGGGGATCTTTCCAATTTATAGGAAAGTAAACTATCGCAATTGGTTTGAAGTTACGAACATTAATCCTCTAGTATTAATTACATCTTCATCTCAACTTACTGAAGAATAACCTATTTATGTAGTGAAGTTTCCAGATTTTTTATAAGGTAATACAAAAGCTATTTGTTACGTCTTTCAGCAGGCTGACATTTTTCTTCAAACCTTCGAAACCCTTTTAGAAAGGTTAACTTACTTCTAATCATTTTAGGTTACCGATGAGCATCATGAATAAACCAGTAGTGGATTATGCGTTTTTATGAATGTTTCTCAACAAAAAGTGTTAAGAACTCCCGTGTTTTGATGTAAACTGTTTATTTATACAATTTCTACTAAATAAATCGGACATTTGGGTTAAGCATTGATGTTTCTGTTGAACTCATTATTTCCAAATACTGTTTCTTTACTTAAACCTAGGGCAAAACTTCCTTGACTTAGGTTGTACAGAGTAAGGGAATAAGTGGTCAAGTACAAGTAACTTGTTCAGTACTTTTGTAGAAAACAATTATAATGTTTATTTTTGATATTGACGAATCTCTCTATAAAAAAGTTAGAAAAATGGAGGCAGCTCGAGTCAGCTAAGACGGGGTTTTCAGAATAAAAGGTTTGCTGACTTCTTCTTGATGTATACGATGAACCTATAGTTAGGTCTTTCCTACAATCGCGGCCCGCCTACTTCGCCGTTTCCATAGAACATGCTAATTTACAAGCTGGTGACAAGACGATGGAAACATAAGTTTTCAGTATCCCTTTGAATATTTACAATCAATGCCACCTTCGGGTTAGCTTCCTGTAGAACTGTACTTCAAAGCAGGATATATAGTTATGCTATCGAGGAATTTATGCAAAGGAGACAGTATGGGCCAATTTGATAGTAAGAAAATTTGGTTGGACGATACTACACTACGAAATATTAGCTGAAAAAGGGGAAATTTTGTGGACACCCTTCAAAGATATTTAGACACACGAGGAGACAGCGAAAGGTCATTTTTTAAAACGGTTCTAATTCCGGCCGTCAAGCATTTGCTATGCCCATAAAAAAGTCACAACCACAAAATTTTGAGAAAATAGGTTTGATTATAAATCCAAAAAACATAATTTTTACACCTTGAAACTATTGACTAATTTCTAGTCTAATAACTAATTATATGTAGCCCTATCGAGGTGTACGACAAAGATGGGCGTTAAGATTGAGTGCAAATTAAAAGAAAAATGCATAGAAAATATTGTTTTCGATGAAGCGTTCGAGTAGTGTATTTATTTTTTCTACCTAACCCGCCAAAAACCGTGAGACACGGATGTTTTTGAGCTTATTTTTTTGGAGTTGCACTTTTTACTTATTTAAAAACATGATAAAATAAAACTAGGAGGAGCTCGACTCGCCAACCCTGGGCCTTCCCACGGCAGCTAGTGCCTGCTAGCTTTATCGCGACAGGATGAGTGGGCAACGAAAAAAAGGGAACAGGGGCCGGAGACCCCTAGAATATACAAGTAAAATACACATTTTATTTATTCTCTCTCTCACATACACCCTTTCACTATCGCTTAATTGTTCGCAGAGAATATTCTGTGATTCCTTTTCCTACCAAGGGACAATACCCATTATGTTTCTCCAACAGATACAACAGTACAGCTTTGGGCTAAATGACCTTTTTGTAATTTAAAGTATTATTCCCAGCTAAATGTAACTATTTTCCGAAAAATCATATCGAAGTAGAAATTTCGAAGTGATAACCAATTTGGTTTAACTTCAAAATATTCAAATTATGAAATTACATTTAAATTGCAGAATCGTTACAATTGTTAATGTAACTAAAAAAATCTGGATTGATTTATTTAAATCAAAAATTAAGGAAGATTTGTTCAATTTTTTGACGTCTTTTGTTTATAATGCAAGCCCTCCTTTTTGTTTAAAACCCATTAAAATGGTAATATACTTTCTTACCAAAGAAGAAAACTCGTTGCGCCATAAATGAAATGAAGGGGGTACCAAATTCTTGCCGCTTTATGAACAATATCACGAAAATGACTGCGTAGAGCAAAAACCCTATGGATGTGGAAAAGTACATGGTTTCACTAATCAACATTATCGTCAGGTTGTCCTGTAGCGAAAAACATAAATTTAGTATTAATGACAATGATTCATAACATTTTTTAGTTGGGGAAAATAACCATGAATACTGTTTGTATGAAATAGAATCACCTTCATTCACCTTGACAATTGCTATTAGAAGTAGTATCGAAGATGGTAGCAGTATGAAATCACAAACAAGTTTGAACAAAACTATCCAGTCTGAAAAACATGAATATATCATTTTTCCTTATGAACATAAACAAAATAAGTAGTTTAGAAACAAATCCTATGACTATAAGCGTTTAAAAATAAATTGACAAGCCTAATGAGGAGTGCGCATTATTTATGTTCCTTTCAAAGAAAATATTCTCTCGTCACGTTTACCTGGTTCCGAGTTATGGTGAAAGAAAACCATCATGAACATGCACATATGCACGAGCGAGTAAAGCAGCATCAAGGACGCGAACACATACACACCACATCTCTTTGTGCAGATCCTCATTACAACCGTAGAACTTGCTCTTGAAAGTCAGGCAGAAATAGATGAATGTGGACGATTTTGTCGGCAGACAAAATTCCTCTGGATGTCTTAATCATTTTTCACTAGTAAAAAGAGTCGAAAGTATACAGAATAATTATTATTTGCAGTATTTAACCAGGTAGTAACTTTGTTCATTTTCATCAACAAATTATTATTGTATTAAGATTGAACGGGTGACTAATTGAAACTTCCGCAGCCTTTTTGATTGCTTGAAAAAATGTATAAAACTGCTCTTTTTGAACTCTTAATTGTAACTGTAAAGTTAAAGTAAACGAAACAAAGCGCAAAGGATTTTTAAAAATCGTTATACATGTAGGAGGTTGACCTGACCACCAAACGTCATCGGAGGCCTACGCGGCGGGAACTGTGTTTCGGCCCTCCCCTCTATCTGGGCCTCAGCTGACTGTCTACCAGTTGTATCGACGCGGTCTACGTACTCGGTTTTTAAGCTGACGTATTTTAATGTTATTAAGTTGTTCTTGTACGTGTTTTATGTGCTTTTTATCAATAAAATTTAACTCTGATGACTTCGATCTGCGTTCTTGGATCGCAAGTTTCGAGGAAACTGCCGTATTGTGTGAATGGAATGATACGCAAAAACCCATTTTTGGTAAGAAAGCACGTCGGCTCGGCAGCAATGTTCCCAAAATCTGAATCTGGACTGATCTCATAGAATCTACTGACGGATACCCTTGAAGTTGGCGAAACCACTGAACAGCGCAGAAATCCACATGCTTTTTTCGACATCAAGAAAACAGTAAAATGAAACGTTACGACAGTACTTTTACCGCTTTCGCGAGATCGCGATGGGGGTAAGTTGGACGACGATGCTTTATTTATATAAGTAATCAAAGGGATTCAGGACACGGAATTCAATAAATCCGTCCTGTACGGGACTAAAAACTTATCAGAATTTAAAGATAAAATGACCATTTACGAACAGATGATGAAAAACAGCATCCCTACAAAAAGTGACACGTTTCAGTCTATTCCAACGCCGGACAGGAAATCTGTTCAACACTACGACCGAGAAAAACTGCTACTACCGTGGATACCACGTCTTAAATGCATGCTATTCAAAGGAAAAAGGTATAAAATGTTTAAATTGTAATAAATTTGAAGGTCACATTTCCAAAAATTGCGCTCTGAAAACGAAATCGCCAAATCTCACAGAAGGACCACCAACCCCTTCCCCTACGGTGAGTTCGTCCCTTCATATGAGACTTGTGATCATTCCGCCAAAACCGCCTCACGCTTCGTTCTCTATGACATTTGATGTCACCATTGGCAATCAATGCTATAGGAATTCTCGACACCGGCTCAGACTTGACCCTGATGACGTCACGATTTTTCTCGCTTCTCGGAAAAATTTCCCTCCACCCAGGAGTAACGATAACGGCCTAGGATCTCACGAATTCCATACACAAGGAAACGAAACGAGGATATCTACGAAATTTTAAATATTAACACTGAAGACTGATTTACAAATCGAAGTTGGAAACTTGTACAAATTTGGAAAATTTTTACAATTACTTTCGTTCCCTCAAGGAATAAATACCACCTCGAGCAATAAAATCAGCCGGTATAGAATTAAATGTTCTACTCATTGACGGTATACACCTGTATCAGTACCCACGCCGGCTCTCTCGTCCAGAACTGTTGACGGTTGAACAGGAAATAAAATTCTGCCTAGAACTCATCTAAGGACGGGTTCGGTGCTATATTGATGAAAACAATGAAGGACAGATGCAACCGGTGCAAAAAAACTTCACCCGCAGAAAGCAAATGTACCATTTACGGATTGGAAGTACTCGCCGTTGTCAACGGCTTAAAAAAAATCGTGTTTATCTCATTGGAATACACTTCAAAATACTTACAGACTGTGCAGCAATTCGAGCAACGTTGGAGAAGAAAGAAGTCATACCACGGATCGCGAGATGGGCTCTCGGACTCCAGGAATACGACTACACGATCGAGCATCGCTCGGGAAGCCGGATGCAGCACTGTGATGCTCTCAGCCGCAATCCAGCGATCCTAGCAATCCGATACGAATTTCTAGCAAGAATACCCGAAACGCAACTCAAAGATAACGAATGCCAATTAATTAATCAACTTCTTGGGAAAGGCCCTTACAATGACTACAAACTTCAAGACGACATTTCGTTGAAGGGAATCAACGGGGAATCTAAACTCTTGATCCCCAATGGCATACCATGCATTTTTTGCCAACGGAAACACGGAAGATTGGAAGGAGAACTATACAGCATCGACAAGGGGGATGTTCCTCTCCACACGCTTCACATCGACCAGCTGGGACCGCTCCCGGCAACACGAAAAGGGTGTAAATACATTTTCGCCTTAACGGACGTTCAACGTGCAATAAACAGCGGTCATTTCAAACGACACAGTTTAAGCTAATGATCGGTGTCGTGATGAAACAACCTAACGAATTATGACAAAAGTGTTATCGAAGAGGAATATGTAAAACATTTCTTGGACGGTCGTGAAGAGGAAAGAATCAAAGCTAGAAAACAAATCCAGTCCGCTCAGGAGGAACAACGAAAAACCAAAAAACAGACGACGGAAGCCGCACGATCCTTTCAACTCGGAAACTGGGTGGCCAAACAACGCTCACAATTCCTTCCTTCGGGAAAAATCACCTTAAATATCTAGGACCATAGGTAATAACTAAACTTCGAGGGCCTGACAGGTACGATGTTCGTAACATAGGGAACCCCGAAGGACCACTACAACGTCTACTGCTGCAGAGTACATGAAGCCGGGACGGACGATATCCAGAATGGCCCAATGTAGGATGTTGACCGTCACAACGTCATCGGAGGCCCTACGTGGCGAGAACTGTTTCAGCTCTCCCCTCTATCGGGGCCTTAGCTGATTTTCTACTAGTTGTAACCAACCACACTGTCCTACGTACTCGATTTTTAAGCTAACGTAGTTTGATGTTATTTAGTTGTTCTCGTACGTGTTTTATGTGCTTTTTATCAATAAACTTTAACTCTTTCTTTTTTTATTTGTGGGAGTACTTTAATTCCCTGCATATATTATAACATTGTTTTATTACAAATTGTAGTACTGTACTTTTAAAACTTTTCCCCACTACTATTGGCAAGATCGTTAATTTTAAAAAATCAAGATCCATAGGTAGAAACATAAATAAAGAATAAAAAAATAAAAAGTAGAACAAATAGTGACAATTTTAGGTATCCAACTTAGACCGTATAGATGATTTTGGATTTGGGTTTATACAGGCCTCTTTTTGGGAGGGGGTTGCTGTCACCCGCTAGATCAATTCAGCACCTAACATATGCAGTTCCTAACTCATTCGTACTCACGTTCATTCTTAAATACATTCACCCTTATTTACATATCGCCTATTCAATAAGGGTGGTGGAAAGATCGATATTCCTCAATCACCCTTTACACATATACACGTAACCTAATTGAGGGTCGATGGAGTACTCTATATTTCACCATCGACCCTCTCACATCACATTCACGCTAACAAGTAAATTCAAGCTAATGAGTACATTCACTCTTAACACAAGTTAGGTGTGCACAACTATTTGTACTAACAGAACAACCTTATTTCCTTGAATAATCGGAACCAAGGACCCAAATGCTCGCTGCCGGGCACAAGCACAATTCTCAAAACTGGTGACATACCTGCGCGCTCTATGCATGGAGCCAAGGAATTGCAACCTTCAAATAGGTGGGACACATCGAGGAACCATTTCCACCATTTCATTACATGCCTTACCGATACATGTGCTTTGGCCCAAATGTAAGTGTCCTTGTGCCAATCTCACATGGCCTGTTCTTAATAGGGTGAGGATGATCCTTCTTCTACGAGTCAGAAGATCCGAGGCTCGACAGTGCTTTTGATGCGCGAGAGCTTCTCTGTAAATCCAGCTGATTGACGCTGCCATTTTTTTAATCGTGTTTTTTATCGCATTGTTAGCCAGAGGGTCAGATCGTGGTGATTAAGTCTGATTAAAACTGGAAGTTGGGTCGTCCGCTTTTTCATTACCCTCCTGACCTATATGTCCATGATGTAAATGAGCAGTTCGCTATTTCTGACATATTTTCTTTTTCTTTTATTCAACTCGTCCGTGTTTTAGTGTTTTTTAAAATTATTATTAAAGGCAATTAAGGCAAGCAACCACTAAGGTCCCGTTGCACCAATTCGGTTTAAACTCAATTGAGAAATGAACCGAGTTCAACTCAAAGATTGCCGTTTTTCAATTTGTCTCGAACAGCGTTCAAACGGTGATCCTAGTTCAAATTTGTGGGTTAAACGAAGATCAGAGTTGAACGATGTCCATTTCTTAATAATATAACCAGTATGTCATATTATTAACTACTGTTTTGATCGTGAGTGGTACAACCCTAGTGGCCATAAGGGTTGCACCAGCCACGGCTAAAACCATGTTCATTGGAACGTCGTTCATAATTTGCACCAAGTTCACGGGAGCGTTGCACCATTTGTAAGGGACCACAGTTCAACTGATCCTAGTTCAACCATTAGTTAGTGGAACTGATTGTAGTCTATTTGTACGATTATAGCTAGTGATCGAATTTATGCATTGTTTACATTGGCTCTTGTACCACTTCCGTAGACTTATATTTATGTTTATTTATGTGTTTTTACATTTTCCTAAATTTTTCTTTCCTAGAATGTGTGAGAAAAATTTTGTTGACATCTGGATCTTTCCATATTATCAATCAACCACGGTTTTTAACTTTCCTTCAACAATTTCTTCATCTTTGAAAAAAGTAATTAAAATAGCAAATACACCACTAAAAAAGGATATTAAATGGAGTACGTTTTTTTAAATTTGCTGGTCTCTAGGTTTGGAAATAGTAATTTAGAATCACCATAACAAGTTTTTTAACATTGAAAAAATAATTATTTTTCAAAGTTTTGCCTATTAAAATGCTTATTTCACCAACGTTTACAATTGTAGTATTAATCACGTCTTATTGGAAATTTGACGTAGTTTTCACTGGTCTCAACGGATTTGTCCAAAACCTTTCTGTTTTGGAGTTATCATTGTTTATTTGAAGTAAGGTCTTGAAATTGAAAAAAAAGTTTAAGAATTTTTGGTTCTATTTTAAATGTAGAATCTACTGGCAAAATTTGTAACACGAGTAGTCGAACACCCAATATTATTATGGACGTCGGAAGCTCTGATCTCCATTCAACCCACGCTCGGCAACCGTTTGAACCACGATCTCCGTTTGAACGCGGTTAAGGACAAATCGAAAAAACGCAATTTTTTAGTTGAACTCGGTTCATTTCTGAATTTAGTTTAAACCAAGTTGGTGCAACGGGCCCTAAGAGTCATAATCTGCCTTGAACGTATGTTTAGGGTGACGATGAACAGAAACCGCCGGCCAGCCCTTCACGAAAATCACCACATGCGCTCCTTTCCGGCTCAAATCGAGCACAGACAGTAAGAATATGTTTGACAGTGTAACGATATTAATTTCCGATACTCGGGAATCGTTATCGATGCTCCCTCTGCGCCGGGCGTCGGGAAGAAGTTCGCCGAAAAACGTGCACGGTGAGAGAGCCGATTGAGAATTGCCCGAGCGAAGACCTCCTTCTACTGATCTCCCTTGAATTTAATTGCATAGTGAGTACCGTTGTCTTTCGTTTTTGCATTCGTCTATTAAGATAGTGTTTTGGTTCATATCACGTCACAGGCCCATTTATATTCATTTATATTTTAATCCTATTTTAAAGGTATAATAAATTTATTTTTGGTCAAGGAAGTAACCTTTTTTATTTTATTTTCACGTTTCATCTTTCGTTTTATTTCCATTCAGGAATAATAAAGGCTGCGCAACTCTGCTAATTTGTTCCTATTGTGGGCAAGATATTTTGGTTGAGCTTTTTGAAGTCACCTGAAGGTAAGTTTAATTTAGAAAGGACCTCCAGGGGATAGGAAAAGTTAGCGGGATGTCACAACCCTGACAGATCGGTGGAGGTTCTTTTGTGATGAGAAAACAATTCGTGAGTCTGCAATTACCTATTCTGAGGCGAGCTAGGACCGTTTCTTCCTTACGGGAAGTTCGAAAAGTTTGAATGGTGGAGGACCATTGTTTTATATCTTCCTTAATTTCTCGCAGCTGTTCACACCATTCGTTATGCCACTTCCCCAGAAACCCGATTTATCCATATCCCTTCCGTGACCGCCGATTTGGCCACCACGTCAGCACGAATGTCACAATGACCCGGAATCCACATGAATAACACAGTGATATTGTTCGACCGAAAGTCCCTCGGGGCTAGGAGTATTTCCGGGGTTAAGGGTGATTGATTCTGTATAGGTGCAGCGCAGCTTGGAAATCCGTGCACCCGCCCAGTCGTTGTATGACAGGGAATACAATATCCTCACTTTTATTGAGCACAACGAGCTCGGTGGTGAAGTTGCTACTTATTGCAGGAAGAGCAAACTCATTACTTTTGAGTTGCGTATTGGGTTGTCCGGAAAATAATGCAGGATTTTGGTATTAAACAAAAAAAAAGAAACTAGTTACTTTAAAGCAATGTTCTTTAATCAAAATAAAACGTGTTGGTAACTTATTAATTCCGTCTGAGTAGAATTCAGAATTTTTAGAATTGATAAAGTCAATAAATGCATTTTCCAGTTCCGTTTGATTTTTGAATATTATGTGTTGTAAGTAGTGGTCCAGGTGTCTAAAAAAATGGTAGTCAGTAGGCGAGAGGTCCGGAGAGTAGGGTGGGTGAGGCAAAGTTTCATAGCCAAGCTCCAATAATTTTTGTGACGTTACACGTGACACATGTGGTCGAGCGTTGTCATGCAACAAAATGGGCCCTTTCCGATTGACCAAAGAGGGCTTCATTACTGCCAATTTCTGATGCATGGTATTAATTTGGTTACAGTATGATTCAGCATTGATGGTTTCGCCAGGATTTAAGAAGCTGTAGTGTATTAAACCAAATGAAGCCCACCATACCGTAACCATTACCTTTTTTTGATGAGTTGGGGGCTTTGGAAAATGTATTGGAGCTTCTCCTTTGTCGAGCCACTGTCCAGAACGTCTAGTGTTATCGTAGAGAATCCACTTTTCGTCACATGTAACAATTCTGGCCAGAAATGGGTCATTTTTGTTTCGACAAAGAAGTGATGCACAAACATCAAAGCGCTGATTTTTTTGGCGATCGTTTAATGAGTGTGGAACCCAATTTTCGAGTTTTTTCACTTTTCCAATCGCCTTGAGGTGGTCAGCGACGGTCGTTTTACTGACTTTGAGTTGCTCTGCAAGTTCTCGAACAGTTGTTTTGGGGTTTTCTTCCACCACTGATCGCAGAACATCATCATTAAGAGAGGAAGGCCTTCCACGACCTTCTTCATCTTCAAGGCTGAAATCTCCCTCCCGAAATTTTTTAAACCACCTTTGCACAGTGCACTCATTAACACAACCCTCGCCCCAGACTTGGTTAATGTTTCTAGCCGTTTGGGCTCCGCTTCGGCCGAGTTTAAACTCGTAAAAGAAAATCGTACGAAATTCTCGCTTTGACATTATAAGGATGACTGAATTATTTCCAAGTAGCGGAATGCTACAGAGGTAAACAAACAATATCATTTGGAAGAGGATTAATAAGTGTTGACATTCATACAAATGAGTAATCCTGTAAACGTAAACAGAATATTTTATATAGATTTTTTTAAATGAAAACTTAAAATCCTGCATTATTTTCCGGACAACCCGATACAAAAGCAACTCCCACAACGATTGAATTCTTGGAGCCGTCGGTATAAACAAAACCTGTCAGAGGTGCACAGTTTAAGGAATTCCTGTTTGTATAACTCAGGCGGGGCTCTTTTAGAAATATAATCAAGTTTAGAGAGATTTTAGGCTCACCTAGTTGCCAGACATTTATCTTTTAAAGCGGAGGTACCGAGATGTCAAGATCAAAAAACAAGGAGGAGACACGTATAACAAAGTGCTTTCTGAGGTCTTGAGTATTATCGCTGCTGTGTGGAGATGCAGTTAGGAATAAAGGTGATATTGGGTGCAGGAAAATGGGGATGCTGTGATTGGTGACTAGACTACTAACTACAATTTGAGTAGCAATTGTATAAATTCCCTTTTCCTACCAAGGGACAATACCCATTATGTGTCTCCAACAGATACAACAGTACAGCTTTGGGCTAAATGACCTTTTTGTAATTTAAAGTATTATTCCCAGCTAAATGTAACTATTTTCCGAAAAATCATATCGAAGTAGAAATTTCGAAGTGATAACGAATTCGGTTTAACTTCAAAATATTCAAATTATAAAATTGCATTTAAATTGCAGAAACGTTACAATTGTTAATGTAACTAAAAAATCGGGATTGATTTGTTTAAATCAAAAATTAAGAAAGATTTGTTCAATTTTTTGACGTCTTTTGTTTATAATGCAAGCCCTCCTTTTTGTTTAAAACCCATTAAAATGGTAATAAACTTTCTTACCAAAGAAGAAAACTCGTTGCGCCATAAATGAAATGAAGGGGGTACCAAATTCTTGCCGCTTTATGAACAATATCACGAAAATGACTGCGTAGAGCAAAAACCCTATGGATGTGGAAAAGTACATGGTTTCACTAATCAACATTATCGTCAGGTTGTCCTGTAGCGAAAAACATAAATTTAGTATTAATGACAATGATTCATAACATTTTTTAGTTGGGGAAAGTAACCATGAATACTGTTTGTATGAAATAGAATCACCTTCATTCACCTTGACAATTGCTATTAGAAGTAGTATCGAAGATGGTAGCAGTATGAAATCACAAACAAGTTTGAACAAAACTATCCAGTCTGAAAAACAAGAATATATTATTTTTCCTCATGAACATAAACAAAGTATGTAGTTTACAAGCAAATCCTACGCAAAAGCGTTTAAAAATAAATTGTCAAGCATAATGGGGAGTGAGCATTATTTATGTTCCTTTCAAAGAAAATATTCTCGTCATGTTTACCTGGTTCCGCTCTTTTTTGAAAGAAAACACCGATGAACAGGCACATATGCACGATCGAGTATATCATCATGATGGTCGCGAACATGATCGCACCATTTCTCGTTGTCCAGATCGTCATTACACACGTACAACTTGGTCTTGAAAGTCAGGCAGAAATAGATGAATGTGGACGATTGTGTCGACTGACAAAATTCCTCTGGATGTCTTAGTCATTTTTCACTAATAAAAAGAGCCGAAAGTTTACACAATAAACGGTATCTTTGTTCATTTTCATCAACAAATTATTATTTATTATGGTTGAACGGGTGACTAACTGAAACTTCCGCAGCCTTTTTGATTGCTTGAAAAAAATGTATAAAACCGCTCTTTTTGAACTCTTAATTGTAACTGTAAAGTAAATGAAACAAATCGCTAAGGTTTTTTAAAAATCGTTATACATTATATTGTTTTATTACGATCTGTGGTACTTTTAAGACTTTTCCCCACTACTTTTGGCAAGAGCGTTAATTTAAAAAAAAATCAAGATCCATAGGTAAAAACATAATAAATAAAGAATAAAAAATAAAGGAAAATAAATAGTGACAATTTTAGATGTCCAACTTAGACCATATAAATGATTGTGGGTTTAGATTTATACAGGCTCCCCCATGGGGAGGGGGTTGCTGTCAACCGCTAGGTCATTTCAGCACCTAACATATGCAGTTCCCAACCCATTCATACTCACGTTCATTCTTAAATGCATTCATTCTTATTCACATGTAAATATATAAGAGTCCTTGTGTCAATCTCGCATGGCCTATTCTTAATAGGGTGAGGATGACCCTTCTTCTACGAGTCAGAAGCTCCGAGGCCACTCATCGGCAGTACTTTTGATGCGCTAGAGCTTCTCTGTAAATCCGCTGTTTTTAATCATGTTTTTTATTGCATTCTTGCAGCCGAGGGTCAGATTAAGTCCGGAGGTTGGGTCGTCCCGGCCTTAGCTGCCTCGTCCGCTTTTTCATTACCTTCCTGACCTATATGTCCGTGATATAAATGATTAGTTCGCAATTACTGGCATATTTTCTTTTATTCAGCTGGTCTCTGTTTAAGTGTTTTTTAAAATTATCGTTATTAAAGGCAATCAATCACTAAGGGTCATAAAATGCTTTGAACAGAAATATGTTTAGGGTGGCGATGAACAGAAACCGCCGGCCAGCAAGAGGGCCGACATGACCGTGCCGAACTTCCCGAAACACTCTTTTTTCTTTCGTTTCTTAAATGTGTATTATATAAGTCGTTGATTCCAAAGGAAATGATAAAGTTCTATAAGTTTTAGCAAAATTTTTCATTACATTTATTATAAATGTACAACTTTTATGACAAAGAACCAACAAGACCATTTTTACGAATGCGACAATGATTAATTCTTTAATAGATACAGGAATCTCAACAACAATTTTCTCCGACATATAAAGAAAAATTAAGGAAACAGTAAAAACACAAAAGTACTAAATAAAAATCAACGGAAAGTGGTACAACAATCAATGCAAACAATGAATGAATACTATCACTAGCTATAACTGTACAAAGAGACTACGAAGGAACGACTTTACAGTTAACTCGGTTTTAACCGTGGCTGATGCAATGGGCCCAGTTTTTGGGAATCAATCAGCTGGTCAGTTGCTTACTAGTGTCAAAGACATACGGACTATGATTTTCTTTCCTATCTGCCAATGACTCCGACAAGGCAAGTCTCGGTGTATAAAGTCCAATGTGTTGAAGTGTTATAGTTGTGTTTTTATGAAACAGTACAAAATTCTTCAATTTTCATTCTCACACTCAAAAAGAAAATCTTCCAATATATCCTTTCTAAGTAAGGCAATTAATATACAAATGAAGGCGGACTAAAAACCTTTGGCAACTTACTTAGATCAGGCATTGAAAAACAAAATTACAACAAATATTTCAATACATTGAAAAAATAATTAAACTGTTTAAACAATAATCATACGAAACACATTTAAAAAGCTTGTAAACAAGGATGGGAGCCGGTGGAGTAGTACTAAACATGTCGTGCGTCATAGTGTTGCCTCAGCTACTCTCAACATGGATCATTTCCGATAAGGAAAAGTCCCAACATTTACGAAACATCTCTTCGAGGTATTCACACCTCATAACTTAATATGATAAATTTAAATCAGATTCACTTATGACACCTGTACCACTAGTTCTGCCACCTAAACCAATAACCCCCCCCCCAAAAAAAAAGAAAAAAAAAAGAAGAAGAGATTCCTTAAAAAAATCACCATGTCATGATTTGATAACAGCTGAAGTTCTTCAAGAATGTGGTCTTTCTGGCTTTTTTATTTAATGCAATTTTGAGAACTACACACTTTACCTTCAATGGAAACTTTTTACATCAAAATTATCCCAAAGCCCCATAAAAATTTAAACTCTCCCTCATCCCCTCGTCCTACCAGTTTGTTACCCATTGTTCCTAAATTATTTAAAAAAAAACTAAAAATTTAGAAAAGAGTTATCTCTATTGCTACTTCAAACTACATCTTACCAGACCATCAATTTGGCTTTCGAACCATTCATTTCACTACTTACCAACTTCACAGAGTTAGATTATGGCATGAGAGATTTTAAAAATAAAATTATTTTTAGCCCAGGTTCATGATTATACAATACCTTAAGAAGAGATTTTTCGTAGTAAACCAGGGATCGGAGACTTCTGAAATGGAAGAAGTGCTTGCAGGTGTGCCACAAGAGTCAATGCTCGCTCAGTTTTGAACTCAATTTTTAGTTCTGATATGCTCACAAATGAGAATGATCTTATTGCCACATACCGCCATATTAACACATCATCCATTTACGACACAAGCTTCACTTATGATACAAAACCAATTACCAACAATTGAAAAATGGAGTCTTTGGAAAATAAAGTTCCATCAAATTCACAGCCTATCACCTTTACACTCCCTATGGAAGTAGGAACTCATTATATATAAAACCATAGTCAGACCAATGCTGTTATACGCCTGTCAGGTATGGAGCTACATAAGTAACACCAATATAAAGTGCCTACAAACAATTCAAAATAAATTTTTAAGGTTAATTACATCCTCTAAAAGAACTGTTCTTATAAATTATGTGCACGAAATTTTAAACATCCCATACATTAAGGATGATATCAAAAGGATTACTAGCTCCTTTTATGAACGTAGCGCTGAGAGTACAAATATGACAGTAAAGAATGTAGGAAACTATAACCTCAACAAAAATTGGAAACACAGGAGGATCAAACACATTTTAGTATGACTGCTTAGTATATTTATTCACTGTGATATTATTTATTAAATTGTTAATTTTACTGTTTATATATGTATTTATTTATTTATTTATTTACCAAGTTAGTAAATGTCAGACTAGGTATTGTACAAGTCTATTCAATGATTTTTAACTCATAGTAATTAGTAATTATTTATTAACTTGCTTATTTATTAACTTATTTATGAAATTAGCTAATATTAAAGAAATGTGTTGTTTATGAAACTTATCTATTGTACATATGTAGTCAATGGACCCAGTAACTCCTGTAAATCACTCGAAAGGTTGAGCCTTTGCCTAAAGGATTGTAAAGTGGGACAGTCGACCAAAATATGTTTTACTGTCAAAATGGTGCGTTCTCCACTTCGCGTACATCGAGGACAAGTTGGAAGGTTGTTGCCTATTAAAAGCCTAATATGGATTAGCCTGATATGGCCTATTCGCAATCTAGAGAGAATCACAAGTTCTTTTCTCTCATGTTCCTCAGTTGGCCATTTATCTACAACTAACTGGCTTAATTTCTTTCATACTATCTCTACAGACATTCCATCTTGCCGCCAACTTTCGTTTGAAAATGTTTTTAACATAAACGACTATATCATCTGGACGGAGAGGAAATTGATCTGTTCTTTGTGGATGGTTTGCAGCGTTTCTTGCCTGTTGATCAGCTTTTTCATTTCCAGAAATACCGACATGACTAGGAACCCAAACAAATATCACATGTTTGTTGAGTGTTCTGATTTCATAGAGATATTTGTGAATTTCTAAGATGTAAGGGTCAACCGAGAAATTATTTTTGATTGCTTCGAGACTACTTTACGAATCAGAGCAAATAATGGCATTACCAATTCCTGGTGATTCCTTTATAATGCTCAATGATCTTCTGATTGCATGAAGTTGAGCTGTGTATACGCTAGCCTCATTCGATAGAGACCAGCTGAAGTTATACTCATCAGCAAATATCCCACACACTTCACCAATTTCATTTTTAGACCCATCGGTATAAAAAACTTTATAATTGGGATAGTTATTTAAAATTCGCAAGAATTCTGCCTTGATCATCAGAGAAGGTGTTTCTCTTCAACAAGGCCAGATCTTCGATAATTGTGGCAGTAGGTAATGCCTACGGTGGGATATCTAGCAATTTTAAACCCTCAACCGCCGGCAAGGTATTCCCTCCTAATCTCAACATTTCAGTACCGCGGATTCAGAGAGGTCTTGTCCTAGTTCTTAGGAACGAGTACATATCTTGGTGAGGGTTACGGAAAACTGAAAGAAATAGAAGATGGAAAGGCTTAGACCAAAGTCTAGCAACAAACCTAAGAATTGCCTTCTCCCTGAAAAGTTCCGGAGGAAGGACACCGGCATCATTGCAGAGACTATAAAAAGGGCTTGTTCTAAACGCCCCTGTTGCAATCCTGATACCTTGATAATAAATTCTATCTAGAGGTTTTAAAGTTGATATTCGCGCTGAAGAGTAAACGGTCGCGAATAAATTATACCTCGTACACAAAGTCTTACACAAAGTTACGGGTTGCGGGACTGCCTCGAACACGTGCGGGAGCGAAGAAGAGTCTGGACCTCGTCGTCAAGCGCGTCTCTAACAACAAAACCCGTCACTTCACGGCCTTTTAGACGCGCGACGTACAGATCACAAAATTCACTTAACAATAATTATATGTTATTTGTAACTTTCCTATTTATTAATGTATTCTTTCTGCGAGTGGTTTTTAGTATAATTTTCACCACGGTTCTTATTTCTCTAGGCCAAATCAACAAATATTGTAAATATACGTAAGCCCTCTGCCACAAGGATGTATAATGTCCTAGACATTTCCCCTTGTAGTCACTTTGTACAAAATGTATGTGAAAGTATCTAATAAATAAACTCGAACCAACCTTTACACTCCGCCGTGAGACTTGTCTTAGCATATACATACTATGAACCTGTTCCTCAATCCGACAAAGTTAACTATTTAGTACTTAATTTGATTGAAGATTAACTTGGAATCCACAAACACCAGTAAAAAACAGACACTCAACAAACGATTTAAAATATTTTATTACATACTTAACTGACAATCAGAATTAGCATCAAAACTTTCATCATACAGATACTTATCCAAACCTTTTTCATGTACGGGTGCCAAGTTTATGGATCGGCCAAGTATTCCAATATTCAAAGATTACAAAGTTTTCAATCCAAAATCTTAAGACTAATTGTTTCTCTAACACGCAAATACGATTACTCCATTGCTCACAATTGCCTCGTAAGCGACTGAAAAGAATATGGATAAAAGTCCTCTTAATTGAGAAATATCATTTTATTAATCCACCAATGGGTAGCTGTCTCTATAACGCCCGTAATGCTTCAATCATAAATTGAAATCCTATTTGCTGGTTGCATATAATAGATACGCACCAGTGTAAAATAAACATCAACATTCACATCATGAAAATAAAAGTTTCTGACCTAGGAGACTCTTCTTTAAAAGCATTGCACCCTCTGTAAGTCGCAGGGTGATCACCCCCGCAGTTTGCTCATGTTGCTTTGGCTTCTCTACTTTTTTTTAAGTTTGCGTGAAATAGTTGTGGGTAGAGATAAATTTTTTGTGTTAATTGGTAGAGGTGGTCTGGTTGAAACAGGATTTATTGTTCATACATTTATACCGACAGATTCACAAGAAAACACAAATATAATTTTTTTACGAAAGAAAATAATCGATTATTAGATGTCAATATCTATCAGATATATTGCTACTATCAAATTAAAAACGTTTATTATTTACTGTTTTTTCGGAAAAACGGGAATATGAGGATATTGTGGTGATGGAAGGGGATAGAGTGGGTACCCTGGTGGAGCGAACGAGGATACTGGAATTTTAGGGTCCCTGTAAGGTTTTCTTCTTTTCTTGGCTGGTGGATCCAGCGGGAAAAACGTTTTAGGAAGAAAGGCAGGCGAAGCACCTGTAATTCCTCCAAAGGGCCGTTTGATTATAGGTCTAGGCACGGGATGTTTGTAGGTGTAGCCCAATTCGTTCTCTTCCCAAGTGCCATATAGAAAGTTTCCTCCCACTGGGTGTAATGCTCCGATGTTTCGTTCCTGTTTTGGTTCTTCCTTAGACTTACTGTCCTTTTTATCTTTATCTTCTTGTTTTCCATTCGTATTACCTCCTTTACCGCCAATATTTACGCCTCCACCACCGCTGAAGCCGCCACCACCGCCAAAATTTTTAATGTGCGAATTAATCTCTGGACGTTTCATTGTATGGGGATCAATGAATGGAGGTTGACTTTTTGGGTTGGGAAACGCTGAGAATGGCTCCTTAATTTCTTGGTTTTCGTCTAATGGAATTTCGAAGATATCTTCGATATCCCACTTATTTAGATCTAACATATCCGTCCGCTTGATTCTATATTTACGAAGTATAAGATACGAAGGTATAAATATACCTGAAAAAAAGACGCAACAAATTAGTATCGTGAGTGCCCTTGTAGTCAATTGTCGTTATCCTTACAACCAAAAATAATCCGCTGAAATAGAAAAACTGAAAAACTCTTTTTGAAATTTGGGCTATCCCAGTCCCAATTCCTATAGAAAATACTGGAAAACATGATAGTATATATCAGTATGCCAAATCCAGCGGTGAGCAGCATTATTTCGGATGACTGAATAGCAAACATCATTTCCTGATGAAATAAAATTGAATTTGGCAGTTTGTATTGTTCACATCGGAATTTTTAACTGACAACTTACCTTTTTTACGGCAACAATCGACACAGACGAAGAACTAAACATGATTAACATGCATAACATCTTCAATAATGTTATTGTATCTGAAGCAAAACGTTATGCATTAAGATGAGTGAGAAGATGTAGAACACTCGCTTATGGTATTGTACAGTGACCGAACAACTTTGCAAAATGCTTGAATTAATTTCGGATCCGCGGTAGGGCTGGTATACATGTAATTATTAAATAAGAACAAAAAAAAATCCGGATTCAACATTTATTATGTCTTTACTAATTAAAGTAATAGATGCCAGCACTTTAATCTAAATTAACAATATTCTTTATAACTAAATTTGATTTACATATGAATTTATTATCTTATAAATAATCAAGAGTTTAAGCTCCATAATATTTGAGTTGACTTCTTGGCAAGAATTTAATTATCAATTCCGTAGATGCGGCAGGCGGGCAACAACAATAATAAAAGAAGAGCAATCTCGAGCACAACGTATCAGCTCGAGATTGTTACCTCATGTCTAGTTGACGTCAGCGGATAGGATATGTAGCTTCTCTTATGATTCATGCGGCGGTTAGATAAAGTGCCTTCACGATGGCGGATTTTGTCTAAGGCAGACGACACGACGGGTTTGGTAATTTTCTGGTTATCCAAACTGAACACCGGATTGACACTTCACAAAACAAGAGGTTTTCGTTCACGCATGCGCACAAAGAACGCGGTCTTGACACTTTTAAAGTTGTTCAGAGACTGTTACAAGGCCTACAAAAACAAAAGCACCTAAACCCATGGCATCTAAATAATTACTTTAATATTGTTGGCCCCAACATACCGCCCACCAAAGTTAATCATTAAATTTTAGAGTCATCATCATTGTCTCCTTCTGGGAGCAAAGACGACAATTTAACCACTGGACGAATAAATTCACCTTCTGCGGTTCGGACCTTGACCACGCGGACTTGACCATCCTTTCCTGGCATGCATTGTTGTATTCGTCCAATGGGCCATTGTAGCGGGGATACATTGACTTCGCGAAGAAGGACAATCCATGCATCTCTGGAGAAATTGCTAGTGGGATAATCGGTTGAGGGGAAGCTCAGTACTTTCCTCCTCTAACCTCGATCCCAGAGGGGCTCCAAACTGAACACCGGACTGACACTTCAAAAAACAAGAGGTTTTCGTTCACGCATGCGCACAAAGAACGCGGTCTTGACACTTTTAAAGTTGTTCAGAGACTGTTACAAGCCTCTGATCATACACCATCACCAGATCATCACCAGAGGCCTACAAAAACAAAAGAACCTAAACCAATGGCATCTAAATAATTACTTAATATTGTTGGCCACAAGAAGTATAATTTATAAAATATAATGCTACGCTAATTCACTAGACAATTAGTTTATCGCAACGTTTATGAAATCACAGGGATCAAATACATATATGTTTAATAACAATTATCGTAGATATAACAATAGACGCGTAATAGATAAAATGTGTATAGTTGCACTCTCGCCCCCTTTAGAAGCATGCTTGCTTTACTTCATCTCAACCCAACTTACTAGCTGTAGTGGAGCGTATATCGATAATAGTTGTAATTTCCCTAAAATGAACTTTTAAAAACTCAAATAGTGGTAGTTTTTATAACTGTCACAGTCGGTGACCTCTCGAAAGTTTTGAATGTACATAATTAACATTCCGTTTTAACTCGGCAAACGAACTTAGCAGTGTTAGTTGCGTGTATATGATCTTCAATCTCTACATCACCGGCAACTATCTTCACTTATCAGGAGCCAAATAACAATGAATATGGTCATAGGAGTTCCTTGTTTACATTTAGTTTAATTCACAATTCTTGTATCCAATTTACATTTTTTCTCTGTGTAATGAACAAATATGATGGAAATGATGAATGATGGAGTGGGTGCGGTGTTCAATCCTTTTTAAAATGATAGTTCCTACTCACAGTAAGTTGTTTTGCAACGATCCGGATTTCGAGCCCTTAGCTCATCATCAGGTTGAAGGATTTCTACAACCACGTCTCTCGACAGAATCGCAAAAGTGAACCCGCCGATACCCCCGCCAACGCGACGTTCCGACGAGAAGCTGGTTTTTCAATGGCGCTCGATTAGTTAGGGAATTAACTGCGATGAATCTGAAATTCAATGAACTTGAGTCACATGATGTTCCAGTATTTATAATGCTGGGGGATTAATGTTTGTAATTAATAAAATATTAATAGCCGTTTAACACGAAAAAAACTTCTTATATTAAAAACAAATAATAGAATCGTTAAAATGTGATTAACGGTTATTTATTACAAAGAAATTAAAGGGAAAAGAGAATATTTTCTTATAACTAAAATTTAATTTGAGTAGTTAAGTCTAAAGTTTCTTTAGTATTATTTTCTTTTAGATAAGTCGTGTATAATAATGTACTAAACCTTGTTTTAATGGGCACCAGCTGACGAACATTTCAACACAAACACCTCACGTCACGCATTTGTTTTTACTTTTTTTTCTAACACTAAATGCGACTGACTAGTACCTCCGATCAAGCGTGGCTCCACTCTCCGTTTAGGCCTCTGCCTTCCTCTTCTACTGCCTCCTCAATCGTCGGAACAATCTGCCTTCTTTATGTTGTGCCGTTTTGGCGGCCTTTACGAAATGCATGTCATAAATACTCCAGGTCAAAAGAATATAAAGAACTATCGAAAATAAAAAAGTACTAAAAAATTACCTTTGATCTTCTCAGGGTTAAAGTTTATTTGAACCAAATGCACTGATGAGGTTTTCTTGCTATCGATACAGATACATTATGAAAAAATGTCAAATCAATAATTGTGGAAAATGTGGAGAGAATGGCATGGCAAAGCTGTTCGAACCGCTCGAAATGCCTAAATTGTGCTGAACCTCATCCTGCATATGACTGGGGGTGCTTAGTGCACCAAACGTAAGAAAAAATTAAGTCCTCAGAATAAATGCCATTCAGTCAAGCAAAACTAACACTAAAAACACGGGAAATTAAAGTCAGATACACTTTCTTATTCACTAACTGTTAGTACCTTTCTAAGTTCTAAGTTTGAATAAACCCTCGACCTCAAAATTCCCTATGATCATTTTCAGCCTACAATAAATCAACTATTAGCATAAGTCAATAAAACTTCGATAGCACAAGTAACCAAACTTGCTGAACGACTGATAAGAAAAAAATATTTACTTGCAAAATAAGTAATGAAAGGAGATGTACAACAACAAAACAGGTAGTTACTGATCCTCAATCGAACCGAAAAATCCTTGTAAAATTTTTGAATAATACTGTACAACAACAATCGACAAGCAAAACTAGACTTGTCCTCTCAAAAAATCTCACCTATATGGCCACTAAAACGAAATCGGCCTGTGTCTCAAGGCTTAACTTTTAGTCAACGTTCCTTACAAAACTCTCAAAATCCCCACAGGATCCTAATCTTAAAATAACCAATTTTATATAAAACAGGTCAAGAAATAAAAAACATAAACAATCACTTTAACAAATAATTTTAAAGCAATGAATTAATTGAACACATATCACATCGGTTTCTTGTATTTCAAATTTCAGGTATTTACGCCTGTAAAATAGTTCGATTTGAAATCACAGCTAGAGGTGACCGTTGATTTTAAAGGAAGGGGGCTTGGTTAATCCAGTTGGTCTCAAGGCATGAAAAATGTCTGCCCGCTCTTACGACCCATCGAATATTACGATTTCCTCCGTTACCTTTAAAGTTGCTTTTTTATTCCTTTATCCAAAGTCAGTGCAAGTAGCCATTATTGGTCACAAAAAAGACCGAGAAGTCCGATTTGAGACCATCACGATTTGCGAAACACGTTCCTTCTGGCCGCGGCCCGTTCGAGCTCGATGCTTCCGACGAGACGACTCGTGACTGGTGGTAAGTACCCTCTTACCTTTGCTCTTAATGGTGACTAATTGATTCCTTGCAAAGATTCTATATTATTTCCATTCAAATTATTCATAAAAATTCGAAGGTGGGGTTGAGATGGGAAGTTAGTGTCCGAGTGGATCAATGTCACGGTAGCTCAAGTGGTAGAGTAGCGGCGTATCTAGCCGAAGGTCGTGGGTTCGAATCCCGCTCTTGACACTGACTTTTTTATCTCAACAGAAAACCTTAATTAATTGAAAAAAAATTAATTGGTCAAGCGGACCACGAAAACTAGTGAATTATTCTTAAGTTCACCTATTTTATTTTGTTAGAATTAGTTTATTTTCAGTTCATTTTTCAGAATTTTTTCGGCACTAGCCGAAACATCAGGAAACGGCATATGTCCGGAGTTACAGCCATCCAAAACTTCCGACTGCCCACCACCGTCCGCTCCTTAAATGCTTCTTAGGACTTGTCAATTTCTATAGACGTTTCATCCAAAATTGTCGATCTTCAATCTCTCCTTTACACGCCACTACCGTCAGACCTTCTACTCAAATAAATTGGACTTCTCAACTAAAACACACATTCTGGAAAGTCCAATGAAGTCTGTCAAAGACTGTAACCCTGGCACACTCCTCACGCAGGACAACAACGGACGCATCAAATTTTGCAGTAGGTGGAGTGCTACAAAAACATGCAATCTGAAAAGTTTGACAGAATATTGCCTGCCGTCTATTCGGTTGTAAAATACTTTCGACCATTCTGAACGGTCAAGACGTCATCTTAACCGGCCACAAAGAAATGACCTACGCATTTCAACCAAAACTCGACAATGCTTCGCCCAGATAAATTATATCAGACAATTTTCCACTGATATCCGTTATATCAAGGCTGCAAAACAGTTGCGGAAGACAAGAAGATGACACAATGGATTAACTCAATTACCATCGACAAAGGAAGACAAATCACATAAAACCTCAGACAATCGCCTGTTACCTCCAGGAGGAAGGTATCATAGCACGCTCAAGATAGTTCTCAGCTGCTTCTACCGATATAAAAGGACTTAAGTACTACCTCTGGTAAATTTCAACAATTAGTTTTTATTTCTGAAAATGGTTATTCATTCAAGAAAAAGTTGCTATAGTGATTATTACACGAATCATGAAACAGTGACTAGTGTGGTGGCTTGGAACACGGGCTGGTCACGATACTGTCTCGCCAAAGTTATGTGTAAATCGATCTTTTACACCGTCATGGCCACCGACCTTATGGTCAACTTTTTAAGCCTTTGTATTACCGATTCTTGCAGGTAAAGAATTTATAAATGACTAACTTATAAGAGACAGTTAAACATTGTTTTACTGTTATGTATTATATGTATATGATTAAGCTGTTTGCTGCTACCAGTTACTCAAAAAAACAATGTTTAGTTAGTTTCCCCCGTATAAAGTAATGTCAACAGAAGATCTCGGTCCTAAGTTGTAGGAAATATAATAAATAAATTAACTAATAGTGTATTACCTGGTTCGTTTCCGACGTAATACGTATGGATGAAGAGGCACATTTGGGCACTGGCGTATGCCAATAGTATACATAAGACAGCCCTGGTACATCCTCTTGAAGGAACTGGAATTATTGAAATTTTTAAACCCATGTTGATCACGTTCGTACATTTCGATATCAATGATTTGAAGCACTTCGCAAAATATCAGATGGCGTCTCAGCTGTTTTAGTTATTAACATGATTGTCTATTTTATTATTCCCTTCTGATCCTGTAATAAGGATTATGGATTGGGGCCGACACTAAAGAAGAAAAATCCGAAACCGTAATAGGCAGAGTAGTCAAATGATGCAAGGAAAAAAATTGAAAATATCACCCAATAAGTATGCTACTGCTCCCATTGTCAAGACAGAAGGAAAGAAGATAAAATTAAATATCTAGATTATCTAGATTACAATTATCGATAAATTCATCACGAGCAGCAATCGGCGAATTAAACAATACATGACACATACTCTGATATATTTCTTTATTGAAATATTTACTCTTATACGATCTTAAAATAGGGCATATAGCGATGAAATGAAAATTACAGTTCGTGGTCCGATTGACCAATTAACATTTTTCAATTAATTATTAAATATTAATTTCGTGGGTTCGAATCCCGCTCGTGACACTGACTTTTTACCTCGACCAATACCTTTCATACAAATATTAATTAATTGAAAAATGTGAATTGGTCAATCAGACCACGAACTGTAATGGATTTAATTATTAAATTGAAGTATATCTTCAGGAAAGCTATCCATAGCCATTTCATTTGTCGCGGAAAAAATGGCAAAAAGGGGGGACAATTCCAGAGGTGAGGTTGAGATGAGAAGTTCGTGTCCGAAAGGATCGAAGTCACAATAGCTCAAGTGGTAGAGCAGCGGCGTATTTAGCGGAAGATCGTGGGTTCGATTCCCGCTCGTGACACTGACTTTTTAATCTCGACCAATACCTTTCATAAAAATATGAATGAATTGAAAAATGTTAATTGGTCAATCAGACCACGAACTGTAATGGATTTAATAATTAAATTTAAGTATATCTACACGAAAGCTCTCCATGGCCATTTCATTTGTCGCGGAAAAAATGGCAAAAAGGGGGGAAAATTCCAGAGGTGAGGTTGAGATGAGAAGTTCGTGTCCGAAAGGATCGAAGTCACAATAGCTTAAGTGGTAGAGCAGCGGCGTATTTAGCCGAAGATCGTGGGTTCGAATCTCGCTCGTGACACTGACTTTTTAATCTCGACCAATATCTTTCATAAAAATATGAATGAATTGAAAAATGTTAATTGGTCAATCGGACCACGAACTGTGATGGATCTATTACATTATATACAATTACATGTATTGAAAATTACACTTTTTTAAATTATTCATAATTTAAACAAAGAAACAAAAATGTATTTATTTATGCGATTATTCCTTGAGCGCATATGTATAAAAATATATTTTGGTTTGTTACTCACCATCAGGAGTTTGTTCCTCGCTATGGCATGAAGGGTTGTGTAAAACAATAATAAAATTTTATTTCATGAATTATAAAAAAAGATTTTAGCAGTTTTCAGCATAATCTCAGTATTGGTTACATTTTATCCAGCAGGCAGGTCTGTCAGGGGTTCCGTACTGGTTGGGGAAAGGTGGGCCCGCAAGGTAACTGGCAGGGCCCATGGCTGGTGATTCGATCGGCGAGTATCCTTGTGGTATCATGGGCGGAGCTGGAGGCCTGGGATATGCTGCCAAATTCCTTTCGCTTCCACCGTATGGCTCTCCATCCTCTGTTCGTGCTAGAGGAGGAGGATAGAAATTAGGAGGAACAAAGTTGGGCCACTGGTTGCAGATGTCGAACGTCTGCGGCACTGGTATCGGTGCTGGCGGGTTGTAAATGTAACGTTGGCCAATGTCACCATCTACCCTGGTCCAGCCAGACTGTGGCTTTCGCATTGCTTCGGGACCGGTCTTATTATTTTCATCTTCTGTTTCAAAATCGTCTAATCGATTCGGCCAAACAGCGTTCTTCTGTATCCTCTCTCTGAACTTTCTGTACGGACGGATCGTTTGAAGAGCAATAAAGATCAACACTAAAAATGATTTAAAAAAGTAAATAACAATTCACAAGTAGTTCAATAAAACATAAAACAAAAACGTTTCTTCCACATTTATCGGCCGACATCATGATAAAATTGCTTTACCGAGCGTATATATTGAGTTGATATAAGCATGGAACATATTGAATGATCCTTTAAGTTAGAATTTTTAATTATAAATTACAACAGTAATACATTTAATGAATATATCAGTAAATAGAACTTGACAATTAAAAACGATCAACTATGGAAAATTTGTATTTAATCTTTTTAAATGTTTAAAACATTTGTGCTTTATAAATTCATCATTATTGTTTCAAAGTCCTGATGAAGAAGACATATTCCTGTTCGACCAAAGTTTTCTTTTCAATTACCTTTTTTTTAATATAAAATTTGTGTTTAATCTTAAAAAGACAATCAAAATATAGAATATCAAAAGACAAACGAAATCATAATCGTATTTAATTTTTAATGGTATTCTACAGTGTGGCAATAAAATATTTGTAATGCAAACTTTTAACAAAGCTTACAGTTTAATTGATATTCTTTTTAATATTATGTTACCAGTCGTTTAGCCGCTACATCTAAAATAATTTTGGTTTTTCGTCAGATACATACTACATATTCTACCGCTTAGAGCAGTAGAACGTTTTAAACGTTAAGGACTCCAGTCCCTTGTATGACCGTAGGACTTGTGTGATATGTGATCACTAACAGAAATCTACAAAATTTGAATGAAAATATTTTTTTTCTGAAACCGAGTGTATTTAAAGTAATGAGACCATTAATTTGCAGGAGGAGCACCGCAGCAACCCCCTCCTGGTTGAGGCGGCAGGGGAGTTCCAAATGGGTTGCTGAAAGGAAGGACAGGTCGCGAGATGGGGAAACCTTCGGGCTGTTGCTGAGACATGCAACCTATAGGCATGGCGGCTCTTTGGGAATATGGTGCTGGCGACGGGGTTCCGGGAGGAAGGGGCAAAATTGGATTGGGAGCCATCGGGACCACAGGCGGCATCCCCGTTCCCATATTCATCGGTGACATTACCATCCCCATCGGCGACATCCCCATCCCCATCCCCATCTGAGGCATACCCCCCATCTGAGGCATAACCCCCATCTGAGGCATAACCCCCATCTGAGACATCCCCATATTTTGTTGTCCCGGAAGCAGTGGTGGGCCGATGTAGACTGTCGGCGGTGGTGCTGGTGGATCGTCGGGAAATTTAAATTCTGGGGGCCCATCTTTTTGATCCGTCCTGATCTTTTTCGGAAATGAGTGAGGTGCTCCGTATCCAAATTTGGGAAGTCCACATACGCCGCCGAACGGTACAGGAAGGCCTTGCATTATCCCTTTAACCATCAAAGGGTCCCCCCCGCCATCGAGTTTGATCCCTAGGCCCAAATCTGTGGTGCTCGAACTCCATTCGACGGACCTCGAGAAATCACTGCCACTGGATTTGCCCGTACGCCGAGAAGAAGTGATATCGGACCATCTATCGTGACGAATGAGCTCCGATCTCACTATTCGGTACTGATGGATCGATATAATGGAAAATATCAACAGACCTGAAACATCATTTTCCATCATTTGCTAGTTTTCGTAAATAAACAATTTTAGTGCTACCACATTTGCTTGTTTTCTTCATTCATATTGGTTCAAGTTAATTAATATATATATATATATATATATATATATATATATATATCCTCTAACAAATCCAAATTAATTGCTATTCATAAAATCATGAGTGAAACATAACTATTTAATGGAAAAATAAGTATAACTACCTTGATAAATTTCAAGTATTATTGGTGTACATACTTCAGCCTGTGTATACGCGTTCCATCTACACGTGCATATGTTTCTAAAGTTATGTTGGATTCATTCATTTATTAGGATTATTATTTATTAGGAAAACCGGAACCATAACCAAATAATAGGTTGCAAAAAAAAGATTCTAATGAGAATGATTTCCGAGCGAGCACTGCTATGAATTATAAGAAAACGAGTCGTCGAAATCAGAAAATACTTTGTACTTGTAGGATTTCCATGACATAGAAAGATCTTGGTGTAAATAGGCCATATCTATATTGATTTAAAGGGCTAGATAATTTAAAACGTGTACATATGATCACACACATAGGTTACAATAGTCATTTTTGTGCGCACAGCTTATGATTTTAATTGTAAAGAAATACTGGAAGTCATAATCTGTGGGCTCAAACATGGCCATTGTAGCCACGAATAAAATTCTTGAGCCGTGGCATAAATAGCTTTTTTACCATAACGTAATATACATAGAAAATTAGTGGGCGTTGGTTGGCGAATATGGCAAATTCTCAAGTAGTCGGCGACCGCAGAATAAGTACCGATAGTTAAACATAAATGATTAAAATAAAATGACGAGTTAAAAGCAAAACTAGCTTTCCAATCTCTCTCAGATGAGCGTCCATAAAATACCAGTTATGCAGAAATTATGAGAAAAAAATTGCAAGTCTTTAGTTCAAAACCATCTTTTAAACTTTGTATTAAATCTGTAAACCCAAACATCTCAAGTGCGGACACTAAAACTTTAATCAAACAAAAAGTCAGCCAATGATCTGCACGTTGGAATAATTAGAAACATTCCCGAAGAAATAAATTTAGATACTATTTTCGGTATTTAATAAGCTAAAACTCGAAATCTTGAATTGAATATAAAAGTTAATGAAGTAAAATCGCAAGAAATAGGGGAAAAAATTAAATCAAGAAATTATTACCTCAATTAGTTTAAAAATGGTAACAAAAAGTTGAAAGTGGGTTTACATTATATTATGTTTATTTAAATTACATCAGAATCACAACATGCTTTTTATGTTCCCGAGGTGGGAATAGCCAGAAAAATCGAAACTAAATTAATTTTGTTAACCAATATGCTTAATAACGCACACACATAACGACTGTAGATCGAGTACGAAATTATGTATTAATAGCTATAGAGAATAAGAAATATAAGAAGAAAAAATATAACATTCCTCACATGGTGTTAGTTAACAATTGATTCTCACCTGTAAAGTATGGACTCAGCTTCAACAAAATATCGATTAAGGGTAGTAAAGCACAAAACAGAAAAAGTACGTTTAATATAATGAACTGTTTCAATTAATTATCTTTATGTAAGGTATTAGTTGAGATAAAAAAGTCAGTGTCACGAGCGGGATTCGAACACACGACCTTCGGCTAAATACGCTGCTGCTCTACCACTTGACCTATCGTGACTTCGATCCACTCGGATACTAACTTCCCATCTCAACCCAACCTTTCGAATTTGAAAAATGGCAAAAAGGAAGGAAAATTCGAAAGGTTGGGTTGACAAGTTCGAATTCCCCTCGTGACACTGTCTTTTTTATCTCAACCAATACCTTACATAAAGATTAGTTAATTGAAAGATGCCATTTGGCAGAGTTGGGCAAAATTAAACTAATTCAAACATGATTAAGAATTTTGATTGAAGTTTAGTCATGATTGAATTAGGCATCATTATATGATTTAATCATAATTAATACAATCATGAGGTATGACCAAATCATACAATGATTAATTTACTCATGACTTCATTTCACTTAATTCAATCATGATTAAACTTCAATCAAAATTCTTAATCATGATTGAATTAGTTTGATTTTGCCCAACTCTGGCTACAATGACCAACTTACCAAAATCCAACCGACTCCGGATAAAAATTTTGAGATAAGAGTCGTGCTCAAGGCCAACCTTCAAAAAGTGTTATCATAAACGAAAACCAAAGTTGCATAATTATTCTAAATGTCTATTTTATTACAATCAACACCCCTAGATGGTGTATTTTCCAAGTAATGGAGAAATCTCTTCTTTTACGTGGAATAAATTTTAATTCAAAGAATTATTTTTTCTATTGATCGGTTATGTAAACATATTTACTTTTCAAAGCGTAGCTTGTTCTAGGATTTTTTTATTTTATTTTATTATTATTATTATCATTATTTTTGGCTTTTCATAACGACGGAGTTTTACTTCTAATTGGAAGATAGATTTTTGTTAAAAAAGGTGATGAAGGATTTTCGTTTTGATGAAATAAATTTCTGTTAATAAATTTTTTAAAAGTGATGAAGTGTATTTTTCATTTTTTGAGCACCCATTTGAACATGATTTATCGAAATTTAGTCATGACTAACTATATTGTGACTAAATTAGTCATGCCTCTATTTAATTACTAGTCATGACTAATTTAATCATCAATCACATATGGCGACTAATGACTAAATTAGTCACTTACTACCAATCATGACTAACGGTCTGAGTGATCAATCATTAGACATGACTAATTTTTGCCCAACACTGGGGGGGTATACTAAACCCAAACGAAAGCGCAAAAAATATAATTTGGAGCTTTATCCCAAAAAATGTATTTGAACGACTCTTTATAATGAAACTAGCGGTCCTGGCCGTTTGGGAGAATGGTATAGTAGAACCTTGTAATTACGTAGAATGTACACCAATATTTATTAGTTTTGGACTATTTCTACACTGACGGACTGCTGAAAATGGATAACAGCAATTATAGCATATGTACAAGAGATGATAAATGAGGGCTGAAAATCCTAACCTTCCCACATTTTATTCGTAAAATCTCATTCTGTAATGTTAAAATTAAATATTTTTAATATGATTCTTTTATCTAATTAAACATTTGAACCTCGAAAACACAGCTGGTGGTGGTCCCCCCTGGCTCCCAGCTCAAATATGAACGAAGGAAAAAACGAACCGTCACTAAAATGTTAATGTTCTCTTGCAAGATATTATTTACTTGTACCACTTAATAATTATTGTACATTACCGTTATATTGTAACAACGTAAAATAAATTTCCTTAAAAAAATCTTCCAACATTTTTTGAATGTCCCTGTGTTGTTGAAGTGTTTTCACAAACGACAGTAACCAGTATATCGTCCTATCATTCCCTCTTTAGCTGTATCAATTTTTTATCCGTTTTTTTAGGGTTCTTTATTCATAATTTTACTTTGGCACTTCTGGAGTTGTTCCACCACTCATTTGGTTTTTGTGGGCGCTTTCTGAGATGGAGAATTTTGTATTTGTCCTTGTTATCCCATGTGTAAGACTGGAGCATATATATATATGGTTTTGCAAGTTATCCCCTGGCCAGTGTGTTTTTTGATTACTTAGATGTGTCCAGATACCCAAAATATTATCAGCTTGTGTTTCCCCAGGGGTTTTTGGTATACATTCATTGACTCTAATCTTTTTACATGCTAGTGCTTTTTTGGCTGCTTGGCCGTCTAATGTTATGAGGATTTCTTTGCCAGTGTAATCTCTTTTAAGATTTTCTAATGCACGAGCATTGATAATATTTATTTCAGCTTGAAAGACCGTCGTGTAGTTCCGTACTTGAGGGTTATTTCTCTATTTGACAAGCACAGAATATAATCCGGTTAGTTCATTGGTTTTGGGGCCATCTGTATGTCATGTCATTGTAGTTGATTTTCTCCTGATTCCTTTTTCTCCTTGAAAGACAGTGAAGACTTTATAGGATGTTCAAGGATCATATAGTCCAACATTTCTTGACCCAAATTGTTTTGTCTCCGACCAATTTAAGTTTTTTTTGAGTCGGAATGAACTTTTCCTAGCTTCTTCTTGTATGAATATTTTCAGTGCAGGTTTAACAGTATTTCTAATGGAGTTAATGTGGTTGTTTCTTGTTTATTTCCTCTATGGTGCACGGTTTGCCAATCTTTATACAGTGCCTACTTTTTAGGCATCTTGTATTTGGTGTGCTTTGTTCTACCAGATTAGTGATTCAAAGGATATAATGGTCTTATTACTATCGCCATATTTAACCAATTTGCCATTTTCTTGTAGTCCCCAAGAATTTATGTTCTTCGTATGTACGTAATACGTACCAAATGAGCTAGGAGGTTACCATCAGGTCAGAGTCTAAAACTTTCCAATTTCAAAAATAAAAATTAAATACTTCTGCTTATTAGAATCACAAAATTAGTATTCCAAAAGTTGAAGTGTATTTCCAGTAATTAATCGGCTTTCTTGACATATCTAAGTCGGTCATTTTTCCTCCGATGTGGTAATAATGATAATATAGTAGATTATTTTGTCGCTTATTTTTATGTTGTATGTTGCTTCAAATATCAGCTTAAGTTTGCTATGCTATGAAAGCTAATAATTATTATTGCAGGCAGCTTTAGTCGTTTAATGGAATGCATCACACCAAGTTATGTCGCAAATTCTTATCTTCTTTGATAATTTTGATTCTTATATTGTTTGATCTCTCTTACTAGATAACAAATAAATTTTACCTTTCGTTTCATGTTGTACAGCTTGATAAATGAATATAATTTTACAAAACGCCTACGCGGTTGAGAATTCAAATTTTTGTTGTTCAGTAATGTTTTGCATTTTTATGCTGAGTCGTATTTAATATGAGAAAATTAATGATACTCAAAATTGAACCTACCAGTAGATAAAAACAAACATATGTTTTCAACAGACAATGAAAATTATTTGGTGTAAATAGTTAAAACTTTGTTTACGTGGTTTGAAACGACTGTTTTTTGAAATTATGCACTCACAGAAGAATAACGTTCGTTGAAGAAGGAAAACGACAAAGGGAAGGCCGTATCGATTTTCTTTGATGAACATGATCAGCAAAATGATAGTATACAGCACGAATCCCACTAATGTCGAGATGAGCATAATTTCCGACACATTGACGATGGTCATGTTATCCTGTGGACGAAGCAAAGTAGACGACTGACAGATAAGTATTTTTACACCTATCACAGTTATTCACCTTTTTGACAGCAATGTTGAGTTGGAACGCTGATGAAAATATAATAAGGTTGTTCATCATTTTAAATAATGATATCCAATCTGAAAAATAAATTTATTGAAAAATTGACTGTTTATTTTATTTGTTTGTTTTAAGTAAAATTAGTTTTACCGGCATGTCATAAAAAAACTTACCGGGATCTTTATGGAAAGCAAATGTTAGCAGGAAAAGTAAAATTTGAAATAAGGAGTAAAAGAATAAAGCCCACCCTACTATCTTTACACGAGCACTGCCCATTTTAATGCCAACATCCTAAAATGATTGAAAATTAACGTGCAGTATAACATTTGATTAAAAGAGTATTTTTGCTTATTGAATGGCTGAGTCATCAGGTGATGACTTCAATGGGCACGCTTGTGCAGGCAGAGAGAATATATCAATAAATTGTCAGGAATTTAGATTTTTACAGAGTTAGAGAGTAAATGTGTATTATTTCCATCGGTCTAAGGTGTAAGTGTAATATTGTGTTTTAACTGTAATGGTACTGTAATTTTTGGATATAATTTGGATTTAGGAGGTCACTGAATTTTTGTGGTGCAAAGGAGAGAGATATTCGTATAAGAACAATGTAAGCAACAAAACGAGGCTGTTTTTGAAGGAAGAGAAGGGTGAGGACTGGGCAGAGGTAACTCAACTAAACAACTCAGCACACGGATGTGCATACCGAATCATCCGGGGCGGATGTAGAAGAGGATGGCCGAATCGTATGAAATGAACTGAGATGCTCCAAGAGGGAAGCGGGAAAAAGAAGTTAGTTAAGAAGAGGTTGTTAAAGTTGAGATTTTTTTTTCAAATAAAGTTTATCAGCTCACTTCAGTCCAATTTCTAAAGCCGCTAGACGCTAACTTTAATCTTTTTCCTACCAAATCGGGGACCGTTCGCTAGCTTACTTGGAGTCGAAAGAGCTTCATTACTTTAATTTTTTTGGTATATTTCTGTATCTAGCGAAAAATGGTCCACTGTCTCATAGCTCCATAAAAACTGTTCTATTTTCACTATTGCTCTGGCTTCCTGAGAGGACATTTCTCACCCCTTGCTTTCCCATTTTTCCATTTTTGTAAACAATACTATGCTCTACACTATTTTACACCATTTACTCTTTCTTCCCCTCCGTCCAGTTCATTGACACAAGAGGCATAGTAGAGGCGAAATCCTTCCCCCCCCAAAAAAAAGTGTTACGTAGGTTTTATAAAAACATTTTCTTTATCTTGCCAACGTTTCGAGCTTTATTGTAGTCATCTTCAGGGCCTGGGATTTATAAACATTGTTTAAATTTTACAATAATACATGTAGGATGTTAGAAAAGAAGAAAAAAATGAATTTATAAATAGAAAATTTTATATTCAATCAAAGTATTTGTTTTCTGCGTAATCTATTATTCTTGTGTGTCGACAGGTAAAATAAATTGTTTGGAAAAGTCGAGCAATTGTAAGATAGGTCAATTTTGTAGTAATAATTTAATTTTGTCAAAAGATTCTTTGTAGTCTTTATTTGTGATATTTATTTTGTTGTTTCATCTTAAAGCGGCAATGAGGGCCGTGGTAATTTTAGCGTAATTTTAAATAATTTAATATATAACCGATAATAACCGGTGAGGCGTAAAAACTGCTTTATTTGTTTTGTTGTTCTTGGAATTGAAAATGTTTGAATTGCTTTTAGTTTTAATGGATTTGGTATAGTTCCTTTGTCTGAGATTAAATGGCCTAAGTACAGTAGTTCTCGTTTGAAAAATTCCGTTTTGACAAGTTGCAATTTAAGCTTACGTTCATTGAATTTTTCAAATATTGGTTTTAAGGGTTTAAGGTGTTCGTTTAAATTGTCTGAAAATATAATTATGCCGTCCATACACTCTAGGACATTCTGCAAAAAATTATATTCATAGCTCCCTGAAAAGTTGGGGGATGAATTTTTTAAACCGAATGGCATGCGAAGAAATTCGTCGTGGCCATCTTCTGTTGAAAAAGCTGTTTTTGGTACGGATTCGGGATCCATCTGAATGTAGTGGAAGCCAGAGTTCAAATCGAGAAAAGAGAAATATGTAGCTGTGCCAGTTTTTCCGAATAAGTCTTCCATGCTTGGTAAAAGATATTTATTTTCAATGTGTGGTGTGGAGTTTAGTGACCGTTAGTCAATGATTATTTGGAGATCGTGAAATGCGGTCTGGTGTGACGTAGGTTTTAGAAAAACATTTTCTTTATTGTGCCAACGTTTCGATCTTTATTGAGATCTTCTTCAGGGCTCAAAGTGTTTGTTTTCCGTGTAGATGTCTCATTCTTGTAGGTCGTGTTGTGAGTGATATATTTTTGAGAGTTTATCTAATATTGTCTTATGATTTTATTTTCTATAGTCTATTACATCTCGTAGTATTTTTCCAGAAGATCGGTTTTTTTGGCAACTACCCAAATGAGAAAATTATAGGGAGAGTTTGAGTAATTTTGTTTTTCAGTAATTTATCAATTTCAATGTGTCCATCGTTCGAAAAGCTTGCGGATGTCTATGATTCTTGCTGTATACAGGAAGTTATTCTTTTGTTATTATTTAATGTTTTAGTAAATTGGTACTACTTAAAGGATCATTTTAACGTTTAATTATTTCTGGGAATTTTTAAAGTAAATCTGTAATTTTACATCTTTCTTCCTCATTCATATGATCTGTACGTAATAACTGAGGAATTTCTTTCATCATTTGCTTAAGATTATCGGAACGAGTGGTCACGAGTTTCTTATATTCAAAAATTGTTTCAAATTCTTCTACTTCCATCGGCTTACGACAAATGGTGATAAGGTCGTTGGAATATATTACGCATTGGCATTTAATACTATTTATATTAACAATACTATATTTATTATTAGCAACTGGCTTAGTTAGTCCGGTGTTCAGGTTGAGAATTGACCTAAAGGACCGAAAACTATATTAAAACTGGTTTTAAACTAATTTCTTCGGTATTAATTAAAAATAATAATTCTTTCCATCCTTGTTCATATTCTAGTGCTTTTTTCTGGATTGCTTTCATAACTAGTAGTGCTTTAATATCACTTAATTTTTTACAGCCTGATACAAGTTCATATTTAGGTGAGAAGTTGAATAAATATATTTATATTTTAGAAGCAGTAGGAAACACATTCTCGGTATTAAAAAGGATATATTCAATACCATGACATTCGCCATTTGATGTTTTCATGTTTTAACAGTAAAAGTTTCTTTAAATTTCGTAATTGTAGGCGGCACTAAAGAGTGGTTTATATAATTTTTCCTGATCTAATAGATTATTGACCGCTTTTCTCAATTTTTTTTGCGTTATGATCTATGCATATTAGCCATGTGACAATTCTTGTATGTGTGTTCAAATTGGGGAGGGGTTATCGTGAGAAAAGGGCCAGAGGCGACGGTGGGAATCGAACCCACGCGTGAGAGTCTCTCATCTTAACCACTCGGCTACCGACCACTTTTCCCAATGAAAATTTGTTTTTTCATGTCATCTTTCTAACTGGATTGTCTCTGGTTTTCTAATGAGTTACTTCTTAAGGGGAAATGAAATATTTTTGAAAATTATTGAAATTTGGTCTTGATGGGACAGTTCTCATGGAATATTTTGGGAATTCCATTTTGGATTAGAAAACGGGGGTTTAAAGAGGCTGTTGCTGGAAAGGTTTACTGATTTGTTTGTCTGAATATTGGGTTTTCATTTCAGCTGGAGGCAGTTCCTTCAAATGTTAACTAATGACATAATACTTCTGAGAAGAATCGATCGCTCTGAAGCTGGTAACTAGTAAGGTACACTAGGGCAGAAGACTGCAGTCCCTGGAGGTCATAAACCTCGCTTACTACTATTCTCATCACCATCACCTCTCTCTTTTTAGATAACAATCTTCCCAGTATTACGCTGAACATCCTGTTACTGAAGAAGCTTTTACGCCATGTCCGTTCTTCGCGGTAGAAGAATAACAACAAAACATCAACCCTATGTAGTTTTGTTTATCTTGAGTTGAAGGACCATCTTGTAGATGAAGTTGCATCTCTGCATGAGCATGTCTCTCCGAAATACCGTCTGATAGCGACAACTCATCCCTCGGGTCTCGGAATAATTTGAAATACGTTTTGTTTGTTCTGATCAAACATTGTATGCATGTATCATGCAGCATATATTAAGCATATTTAAATTGTAAAAACCAGTTGAAAATTGAAAATGTATTAATCGATAAGTGAATCGCTCACAGGCGTATTATTATTTTATTTTTATTTTTTTTTTTACGGCGAGCAATAATTGGAAGACGTTGTCGTGACCCATGAGCATAAACAAGCCTGGCTAGATAGGAGTTAATCCAAGTGATCAGATTAACTTCATAAGGATTTTAACTATTAACAAAATAAATTGCTACACGAAGAGGCCCTTAACGGCCTACTTTTTGCAACAAGAGTAAATTAAATTTTTAAATTCTCGTCATTATCTGGTAGGAACAAACCGGACGGGGGGGGAGGCTACTAAACACTAAATCCGGCTTATCGCACCACTGCGTAAAAAACGCGACAGCGTGCACACGAGATCGTATATCTTAAAAAACGCGACTGCATTTTTCATATGCGGTGACGTGAAATGTATAAAAAATGCAATCGCTATGAAATAAGTACGTACGTGGTAGACTCAAGTTTGCGTGCGAATTTCTTTTTTCCCCGACATATTGTAAATTGGACTTTTAACTCATAATCTTACAATTTTCTAAATACAAGATGGCAAATACACAACACAAAACCACAAGAAACAATGTTTGTACCAAAATTACAAGCAATAACCGAACGAAACATACAGCCGACACCTCCTCTTGGCAGACGGACTAAAGTCCATTGTCTTTTGTAAATTTAAAGGTAAAAACGAAAATGTATAAAGTTCAATAAAGTATTTCTTTATTATTATTATTATTACAGCCAACACCGATGTCGATCGAAAGTAGGCAATTGAGGAAACAACGAATGTTAAAACCAAACAATGTTTTCATTTAAAATGCCAAAGTTAAACAACACCCCCTAAGTCATTTATAATATGGACCAAACCAACACAGAACAACAATCTGTCAATCAGGAATCACAAACACGAAACAGTGCTGAAAATGTACAGGGCAAAACACAGAAATATCCGACACATCATTTTTTGGAAGATCCGGGCTCTCGAATGCTAGGTAATGACACATACAGACAATAGTTATCTTCCGTGCATAAAACTTCCGGGATGTAAATTAAAAACTCTACTTGATTGCGTTTCGACCAATTTAGGCGAAACACTAAATATTCTTTTTAATATTCCTAGTCAAAGTAAGTTGTTTTCAACATTCCGGATTTCGAGCTCACAGCTCATCATCAGCTTGAAGGAGCTCTACAACCCGTCCTCTCGACATGAATTGCAAGACTGAACCCCGGTCCCCCGACCATCGCGTCGTTCAAATGAGAAGCTTGTTTTTAATGCCGCTCAATTATCACGTGCGAAAAGCGGGAATATAACTTCCTTTTTTGGTTGTTTTTTCCTTCATTGGTAAATTTACTATTATTATTATATCTTACGTAGATAGATTAATTAATTTAGATACTTAATTGAGCTCGTGAAGTTGTTTGAGTTTTCTTGGTTTGACTTCAACGAGCCCTGAAAAGGGGTGCCTTAGTTGAAAAAAAAAAATTGGTTGAAGAAGTTCAGTAGTTATTTGTGCAAATCTATCGACGAAAAAATTACAGTTTTTAACTCACTTTAACACGAATGCTGTGGGATATATAACGGTTGTAAATAACTACAATAATAAACCAAGAACTCTTCAATTTAATTTTAAATTCAATCCAACAGCTCCTTTGTGGCTTGTGGCCTATTTTACACGGCGACGTTGCACGAAAAAAGAATAATACTTCCTGATGACAAAATGAAAAAAACCGCAATCCTCCTCCACACCCGCTGATGAGATGCAATAGAAATGAAAATGAGGAATTATGTAAATGAACGCGGGAGACTTCTTGAGATATTCAATATCTTATCAATTCCACGATTCCCCGCTGGTTTTTCGCTTAGCGCCCAATAATCTGAAATTCTCGCACAGGCCGACCATTCCCGCACTTATTAACATCCTTAATTGTAGTCGATTAATTCCACTTTCAAGTGAGATAATTATTTCTCCAGCGGAAAACCCTTTGGAAAGTACTTTTCTAAAAGAAGTACTATAAATTCATATTTCAAAAACTCATAAAAGTAATGTAAATGAATTGCCATTTTCGCATTGATATACACGTTCACAAAACTGCCCAATTTTAAACATATGACAGTAAAATTAAGTTAAAACGAAAACACTACAAGGCAAACAATGGCGCTGTAAAAATGTCTGTTTACATGCGAGCACGACTAGATGTTATTACATTGATTTTTGGATATGTTTGCGAGGTGAGTTTTCTGTACATTGGCAAAGGGAAAAATCTCCTATTCTTAACAATCGTTTAAAAAAGGAGTATGCAACGTGACCTGGCGCCGAAAACGTTTTGTTTTTATAAAAACATCCTTCAAAAACAACGAAACAATGTTTTTAAAATATGTGTGGTGATTAGTGACCGTTAATCGTTAATTATTTAGAAATCGTGAGATGCGGTCTAGTGTGATGTAGGTTTCAGAAAAATTTTTCTTTATCGTGCCAACGTTTTGATCTTTATTGAGATCATCTTCAGGGCCTGGGAATTACAAACATTGTTTACATTTAACAAATACATTTTGGATGTGTAAAAGTGCGTTTATACAATGCAAAATATATTTTTTATATATTCAATCAAAGTATTTCTACTCACTCAAAGTATGTGTGGTGATTAGTGACCGTTAATCGTTAATTATTTAGAAATCGTGAGATGCGGTCTGGTGTGATGTAGGTTTCAGAAAAACATTTTCTTTATCGTGTCAACGTTTCGATCTTTATTGAGATCATCTTCAGGGCCTGGGATTTACAAACAGTGTTTACATTTAACAAATACATTTTGGATGTGGAAAAGTGAATTTATACAATGCAAAATATATTATTTATATATTCAATCAAAGATTTCTACTCACTCAAAGTATGTGTGGTGATTAGTGACTATTAATAGTTAATTATTTAGAAATTGTGAGATGCGGTCTGGTGTGATGTAGGTTTCAGAAAAACATTTTCTTCATCGTGCCAACGTTTCAATCTTTATTGAGAGCATCTTCAGGGCCTGGGATTTACAAACAGTGTTTACATTTAACAAATACATTTTGGATGTGGAAAAGTGAATTTATACAATGCAAAATATAGAAATACTTTGATTGAATATATAAAAAATATATTTTCTTTATCGTGCCAACGTTTTGATTTTTATTGAGAGCATCTTCAGGGCCTGGTATTTACAAATATTGTTTACATTTAACAAATATATTTTGGATGTGGAAAAGTGAATTTATACAATGCAAAATATAGAAATACTTTGATTGAATATATAAAAAATATATTTTGCATTGTATAAATTCATTTTTCCACATTCAAAATGTATTTGTTAAAAGTAAACAATGTTTGCAAATCACAGGCCCTGAAGATGAACTCAATAAAAATCAAAACGTTGGCACGATAAAGAAAATGTTTTTCTGAAACCTACATCACACCAGACCGCATCTCACGATTTCTAAATAATTAGTTTTTAAAATAGTTATTGTTTGTCTATACGAAGACGTAGATACATCATCGTACGTTTTTACTGTTTGAAACTAACCAATCTAATTATTTTTGCAGTTTCTATCAGCAGCTGGCATGGCCGCTACCGGCAGTATGTGCCAGCCTATGCACAGGCATTCTCCTTCTTGGTACGTTACAGCTGTCGACTATTGCGTCGTCATTACTCTCGCACTCAGCTTCTTCTTGCTGTTCGCCATTGGTTTAACAGTCATTGCGAGTGTTTGCGCGGTGAGAACATTCCATCTTCTCATCGTACTAATAACCAGGCATAACGTCATAAATTCGCAGGGCAAACCAATGCTGCTGATCCACACACAGCGAATGTTGACGATTTTGTTATCTATCAGCGTTTTGGAAAGTTGCACCTTTTATTACCTGAATATTTTTAACATTTCAGAAATTTGCGTATTTTTCTTCATCGTACCGATACCAATGATATGTATGTACTAAAGAACAAAATTAAAACTCTTCTTTAAACTTTTTTTCCAGTATTCACATTGGGAACTAAGATACTCCTTTACAAATATTTTAAACTTCAGATTACAAAGCCGCAAAGCGGTAACGTTTCCGAATCATAAAAATGCCTGAGGTAATTTATTTTTTCTTAACTTTGGTCAAGAATATAGTGTAATATGATGTGTTAACACATGTTTTTTTAAATAGTAAACTCCAAAGTGAATTTCTTCTTTTACAAATGTGTACGAGTGACTGCTGTGCTATAACGCATTTCTGCTGTTGCAACTTAAGAGTGGCGTCTTTGACATCCGGAGTCATTTGCATAGTAAGTGTTTAAGTTAAGAACAAAGTCAATTTTTAACTACTCGGGAGGTTTCTTGAGGTTATAAAATAAAATTATATGACCTATTAACCTCGTGGATATAATTATTGACGAATAAGTAATATGAGTGTGTTTCAAGATTCTTGCCATCTTGGGCTTGCCCGCCTTAAGTGTTACCTACAATTCAAAAAACAAACGCGGTAAGTTTTTAACCTATGTTGTAAAAGTTGTTAAAATATTTTTATTTTTATAGAATTTCCAAACATTTTGACGTTGGCCACATTTTTCTTCGTCATGTTTGCTACAGGCTTTTCAACGGTTTTAGGCATTTGTACTGTAAGAATAAAACTTGGCTACTTACTTAACTAATGACAAATAAGTAAACTTTTAGGATAAAATGACGTTGGTAGATCATGCACAAACTATGTTTACCGTTTTGTCTGGGTATTCCGTTGCCTCAACGTTTACCTCGATCATTGCGTACAGCAGTCTGCAGTTGCACGTAGTCTGCCCGCAGTTTCTTGTTATGATGATAGTATTTCTTTGTATGTAAGACTAGATAGATGTCATAGTATTTATTTATATCATTGTTTGTTTTTTAGTTTTTAGCGTGACAAGTAAAATTATCATATTCAGCTATAAAATTTCCCGTTTGGAAATCGATGACAGAGATTACTATCCGGACCCATGATCTGCATACTCTGGCAAAATCTGCCGTCAATTCTTTTTTCATGCGATTTGTATTACGAGAGCGCAAAAAGAGGAAGTAATTAAAAATATTTTTTGGACGATTTAATCAAATAATATTTTACAATTACACAATACTTTGCTTTAAAACATAAAATAATATAATCTTAGGAGGATCTACCCAACTGATGTCCTAAATTTGTTTACAAAATTAAAACAAATAGATGATAGTTTATTTTATGAATTCTTGGCAATGGATAACTGCACCATATTTACTGGAGCAAGCAGTGAAATGATATGTCGCAAATAATATTTGTGCCAAATCGGTATGAACATAAACATATAATAATGTAGACTTTATACTATTTTTTAGAAAGTGTTTCAGTTTTTTTTCAAAATAATTGATTGCACTATATTTAGATGATAATTTCGTCATACTCTAAAATGCCGTTACTTTCGTGAAAGAATAAATGCTCAGTGGTGTTACCTTGTGAGAATGGTTATTAAAATTATATCGGACACCAACTCTGTGCAAAACTTTGATGTTTCTCGTAAGTCGACTTGATTTCCTCCCGTTTGCCATCAGGTGACACAACAGTGGGATGAATCTTGTTTATTTAGAGTAGTTGCTTACAATATTAATGGTCTTAGAAATAATATTTTGGAATTTTTTGAAATATTTTTATATTTTTACCTTGTTGGAATCTTTTATTATAGAAGTTGAATTTGATTTTTCAGTGAGTACTTTGGAGTGTACAACTTGAGGTGGGTAGGAGCTGTATGAATTTTGAAATTTTGGACAATATAATTATATTAATAGGTTCCTTTGCACCTTAAAAATAGTATTAAATCAACCAAGCATTATTGAAAACAACTCTTTTAATTTTGAATGACCCTTCTACATTCTAACCTCTAAAACGTAAGGGTCGAGTGTGTTCCTTGGGTGATGTAAAATAGGTTTAAAAATTTTGTTCGTGTATTTAGGTGTCTAAATTTCCGAGGTCAACAGTATCACACTTTCGAGATAGTCCCACAGCATGAACTTTGAATTTCCGTTATCATTTGTACTCAATTTTAATCCACATGACTGAGTGGGCCACTATAGTACTTTTCCTCAATATTTACTGGCTTGTGAGAACTTAGCTGAAGATAAAAACGGAACACTCAGGTAATTAAAGTTTGTTACAAATGCTGTAGAATCACTTTTGTACATAATACTTTTTTCAACAGAGTACCCAGCTCAGGTGATCCCATAACCAATGTGGTATTAATAGTTAAAAAGTTATCTGCAAAGTATTGATTAAGTAAATTTAACTTTTCGTGAGTTTCATTTCAAGAAGAATGAATGGTCGTCAGCGTACATCAATAAATGTAAATATTTACACCTGTACATTGGTAATCCAGTAGAGTTAGTAAAAAGTTGAGCGATGTCGGACGAGAATAGAGTAAATAATAAGGGACTAAAACTTTGCCCTATAACACTCCTTCAGATGCCGGAATTCTTTGGCTGGAATGGGCCTCGCCGCCTACGAACATAACATCATTATCCTACAAATCTCTATTAATGTATTTATTTTCGATTAATTCCAACATTTTAAAGTTTGTACCATAGTGCAGTCGATACTATCAAATGTCTCTTCAGATCAATAAAAACTGCATAAGGTTTTCTATATGTAGTCTCAAATAACTATTTACTATCTCTGATATAAAAATGTTATCACGACATCCTCTGCCCTTCCTGAAGCCCATTTGCACATCGGGTAACACACAGTGTTCTTCAGCCCACATATTCGGTCGTTCATAGATGATATTGGTAAAAACATTTGTAAGACTGTGGAAAATAGCGATGCCACGATAATTATATGGATCTCGATGGTCTCTTTTTTGTGAATGAGTTTCAATTTATTGTGTGATCAAGATTTTGGTGTGGTTTCGGCAGTTAAAATTTTATTAAATATGTAATAACTGAAGAACGGTAAAACAATTGTTTCCATTGACTTAAGTCTTAAAGCATTCATTGGGTATTAAAATGTTTATTAAATAAAAATAACGGCGAGGGTATACTAAACTTACAAGACCGCAGCGTTCTCACTAATGGTATAACCTGCTAAGTGTAACCGAGAAAAAGAAACTAGAAAATACATATTTATATTTAATAAATACACGGATTGTTGAAAATAATTTATACATAGTTACCAATTTTAGATTTTTGTTAGTTGTATCAAAGGCAAATACAAAAAATTGTTAATAAACTTTGTTTTTGTTTTATATTAAATCACTCGTACATAATAAATAACCGGTTGATGTTAATTTTTAGTAATTATTTTAGATTTTTAATTTTACTTAATTGTCGGCGTGTCGGAAGCAACCGGTGGCATCGACTGACGAAAAAAAACAATGAAGCCGGTCTTAGCCGGCGATGTGGATAAGCCCGAATCCCCTTTATCGGTTGTCGGCCAAAACAAACACAATAGGACCATTCCCCCGAGGCTTCACTCTCACCGAACGGTACGCCCACCTAAAATCTGCCAAATTTTAAAGCAAAGTGTTTGGATATCCTCGAGGCTCACTTAACAAGGGCCTGTGATGTTTTTAGTGTCACCACTCGAACATCTTGATCAATACCTGGATGGATTTCAACTACTCGATCTAACTTCCAGTTTAACGTAGGCGTGTTTGGTTCTTGTAAAATCGTTGATTTTTGGTGGAGCTGTCCGTTTTATCCACTTCGGGCGCGTGTGGAGGATAAGGAGATACTCATTTGACCAGCGCTTCCAGAAGACCTGCACAACTCTTTGGATCAGTTGCCAACGAGATAACATATTCTCATTAGCATCTTGGAAGTTCGGCTCCGGAGCTGCTAATATTGCTGATCCCACTAAGAAGTGGCCTGGTGTGAGGTAATTATAACTTCTGGTTGTGCTGAAATCCGGCAAAGAGGTCGGGAATTCATCACAGCTTCGATCCTGGTGAAGACTGTAACCAGCTCCTCGAAGATCAATGGCCTATCACCCAACGTTTTCTTGAGTTGTGTTTTGGCAGATTTTACTGCTGCCTCGTACAATCCTCCGAAGTGAGGTGCATAAGGTGGCTGAAGTACCATTTGTTACCATCTCTGTTGGTCGCACGGTTAATGATGCTGTGCTGTGTCATGTTAGATCGAAGCCATGTATATATTTCCTTCAATTGTCGAACAGGTCCAACAAAATTCAGTCCGCAGTCCGAGTAGATGTCCGAGGGTAGTCCTCTTCGAGCAACGAATCTATCGAATGCTGGCAAAAACGCGCCAGTGGCCAACGCAGAAACGACTTCCAAATGGACAGCGTTGACGGCCGTGCAAACGAAGACACAGCCTTCGATATCCGTGAGTTCCGGCGACTGTTGAGTTTGATTAAAAAGGGGCCTGCATAATCTACACCCACTCTGAGAAATGAGCCCTTGTGACACTTGGGAATGTGGTAAGTATGTAATGAAGGGGTTCGTCGGTTTGGCCCTTGCTTTAAAGCATCTTAGACAGCTCCAGAGTTTCTTTCTAACCACGCTTCGGAGATTAAAATATATATTTACGTTGTAAATGAGCTTGAAGAGCAGCGAATCCTAAATGCAAGGTGCTTGTGTGAATATGCTGAATCATGTGGGAGGTGAATTTTGCTTGAGGTGGCAGGTAAAGGTTAGCTGAGCATGAGACTGTCTGCCGCCCACCTTGATAATCCCAGATTCATCCAGAAAAACTCTTAATGACTTGAATCTTGAAGACAAACATGATTTGGATGTATTTTTTTACAGTGCCTCACAGGCATTCCGTCAATGTCATTTTATTGGTGTCAACTCGCACCACCCCAACGATCCGCGCTAACCGACTCGGACCACCTCCAAAGGGTGGTTTTCCTCCTTCCTATCCTCATCCTTCCTATTCCGGCAGCATTAGGAAGATGAAGGTAAAACCTGTACATGTCAACAACTGCCCCTGGAAAAGTCCACATCCTCCCCACTTCTCGGGGACCATTTGCCATTTGCATGTGGAGCACCCCCCCGAGACACCCAAGCCAGCCAACCCAGCACTCCTGGAACAACGCAGGCTCCTCACCTCTTAATTAATTGGTAAATAAATAATTAATAAATAATCTATATAAATTTTCAAATATTAACAAATTTCAATATAAATAAATATTTCCAGGTAATAAACAAATAATCAATTGGTAAGTAAATAATAAATTACTAATATAAATGTATAAATACTACTTCATAAATAATAATGTAATAATGTAAAACATTAATAAATTAATAATTACGCATGTATTGCAATTAAGACTTCAGTTTATTGTTATTTAAAAATTCAAACAATGTTTTATAAACCATTTCATTTTCAGAACCTATGAGGCTCTTAAAATTGAAGGGCTTCTCTACCTCTTTGTAACTTAAGATTCGTTCAAACAGGGCATTTCTCGCTTCTTCGTACTCATATCAAACAAATATGTTGCATTGTCTCGGGTTCATCGCATGTTTCACAATTTGCGGAGGGTTTTCGACGAATTCTGTTCAGATAAGCCCCACATAAGCAGTTATTCGACCTAATTCTGATAATCGATGAAAACAACGCCTTGCTTCCCCTCATTGCGAAAATCCATGAAATGGGACGGGGTTCAATCCTTAAAAAAAGAACCACCCTCTTTTCATCAGATTTGGGTATTTTGACGTTCTGGGCTTTCTCACCCGATGTAGCTTCCTTTGCCAACGTATCAACAACTTCGTTATGCACCACTTAAGTGACCCCGACACCGACCAAATGTTACTTTCTTGTTTTTTAGAGGTGATATGTTTTGCCAACTATTTCCGTCACCAGATAGTCACATATAGCCTTAGGAGAAAAATTGTGGATTTGAGAAACCGAGCTTTTGCTATCTGTCAATATACAAAACAAAGTCTTTTGGAAAGAAAAAAATATTTAAACTGAGAAGGCTGATCAATCACCAAAGAAAATATTAATCAACAGCGGGGTGCTTCATCGATGTTATATAGTCCTGAAGGCGGTATATTCTGCCGAAAGCTCGACAAGAAAATAAATATTGTTTCTGTCTTCCTGGCCACATCTACCTTTTGGAAAGAAAAAAATATTTAAAACAAAATCTCTTCTATTGTGACAATATAATGCAAGGCTTTTAATAGAGCATGAATTTCTGCGGAAAATATAGACACCATTGAGGAAAGCATAATTTTACTACAAAATTGCTTAGTAGGAGATCTTTGGAACTTATCTGTAAACTTAAAAAAATCAAAAATTATGATCATCTGAAATGGGGGTAAACCGCTGCCTCTGAAAAATCTGAAAAATATAAGGGTAATAAAATCCAAGTAGTGAATAGGTACAAATACCTGGGTGTTATTTTTATTCCGCGTCTTTCCCTATCTCACCATTTTGAAGCAAGAATTTTGGCTGCAAAAACAGGTTTAAACTGTGTCTGGGTAAATCTCTTTGTTGTACAAGCTTGTACCTTATGAAACCAAACTAAAAGTTTATAACGGTGTCCTGCGCACAGTGGTATGTTACAGCCCTCAAGTATGGGGTTTCCAGTCATACGAGGTTGTGGAAAAATGTCAACGTTTTTATGTTAAAAAACTTTTCAACTTACCATCTTTCTTCCCAAATTACATTCTAACGCTAGAATCCTGTTTGCCTCCTCTATTCTCGTATACCTTTTCCCTCCACCTAAAATATATGTCAAAGATACTGAGCCTTCCAGATGATCGACTGCCTAAAATAATCGCTCTACAGATAATTAGAAAGAATATCTCCTGGTATAATTAATGGGCTTCTCCAACCCAGAAATACTCATGCTCCTGGCAAAACTCCGGTGTTCGGGAGAATCTCTCGGACCTTTCAGTGCTTCCTTACAAAATAATCGAAGTTCATCGAGAAGAAGCTGTGAATAAGGCGAAAAGCACAGAGAGGTTCTACTTGTGTAAGGAACTTTTCAATGAACACCCACTGTCATATAAACCGAGCCTTTACCAGGACCTTAATATTAGAGATTCTTGTGCTATTAAAACTAAGAGGAGAATTGTTATATTTGAAATTCAAACCCTGGGTTTTGAATGATCCTCAAGATGAAACTTGTCCACTTTGTAACAGCCACGCCAGGGAAGATTCATATCACTTTTTGAGAGTCTGCTCTCTTCTCTCAGAATTGCGGGCATCTTACTTGGGTAAGAAAGTCATCTCCAGAGTTGAAATACTGGAATATCTTTCTAACCAAGTATCCCCTTTACCGCTAATTTACTTTGCTCGGCACGCCTGGAGAGTGAGGTACGAGTGGCTTTCAGATATGCAATAATTGTACATTACTTTTACTTTTACTGCTTTGTTTTTTAGTACTCTATCAGTTCTCAAAAGGTAATTTGTTCTTATTTAATTCTTTTTGTTTTCTTCTTTTTTCTCATATTTCCATCTATTATGATTCATACACCTGCTATATGTTAATTTTCTCTTCGAATTTTTTTTCTTTTAATATTTCTGCATTTGTAAGCTTTTAAGCGGTAAACTCAGCAGACGGCTATTAGCCATGCTTATTATACTTTGTATCAGTATTTCTCTTTTTTTTTTGTAGCAATTCTAATAAAGTATTGTGTATTGTATTGTATTGTATTGCTTAGTAGGATCATAAATGGCACATCCGAATTTATCACTTATTATCAAACCATTCGTAAAAATCAAATGGTTATTGGGCAGTCGTAGATTCAATTCTTCTAGGCATAATGAATTTGCAATATGCGGGGATATTCTGCGTAATCTTGTAAATAAGTGTACTTGGTGTACTAATAGCTTTTTGATAGGTTGGTACAGGTAGTGGAGCTGATGTTTATACATTGAAAATGTATTGGGAATATCAGACAAAAAGGCACATACTATTGGAGGGGGTTTCTTTTTCTTCCAATAATTTTCGGTCTGAACCACCTCCGTCGATGCTGAAATTTTTGGTAAAAGAGCACTCTCAGAATGTTGCCAATTTAGTGAATTATTTATGGTTAATCTTTTATTATTATTGCTAGAGGCGGCTCCCCCACTTCCGCGGAAAGGACTACCTTAGGTGTGCTTAGTACCTATTCCGGCTAATGCATGTATTACTAAAGGTCTGAATTTTTTTAAGTCTGTATCTGA